AAGTGCTACCTTAGGTAGCTATATAGTACCTGTCAACAGTTCTCTTTCGTCAGGGCTACATTTTCCAATGGCGGTGAACGAAAATCAAGTAAATAATCAATAGTAGCTAGACAAAGCGAAAGCGATATTGAGCGCAAACGCCAAGAAGTCATAAATGCGCAGCGCCCACGGAATCTGTTAACCTGAGGTCGGCCAACCATATAGGGTAGCTAAGGTTGTCCGTCAAATGTCCACTCTAGCTCAAAGATTAAATTGTACGGAGTACTCCGTAGCTAAAGAGTCAATAATAGCGCCCGAGTGTCAGCCACCCAGACAGGGCAGGTACCTCGCACTGTCCACCTGCATTGACGTCCAACCAGACGTTGAAGCTAAAATTGAACCCCTGGCGTGCGCAGCTTGGACACATGTCAACTGGTACCAGACGTACGCAGAGGCAGGTTACGTATACGTTTAAGTAGCTTAAAACAGCTCAGACGACTCTATTTCCTCCTCCTCTACATCGCACATTGTCGCCTGAATCACTGCAGACTGGCACTCGCTTAACCATTCCTTTCTCATTTGCAGACAATGCGCCAAGAATCTTACGGTAGTTTTTCTTGATCAGCAGTTTCGACCCCTCCGCGTCTGACAGGATAAACTCGCGCCTCGAAGCGCAGCATGATCATTCGAGCAGCACTGAAGACGCCAGCGCATCACGCACAGTTCGCAAAATTTATACATACAAGAAGCCCCAACAGATTTCTGTTGAACTTTGGGCTGGAATCTTTGATGCGGAATGCCTTCGACACCCCCGTACAGACCACCCGAGCTCCCCGAATCTCCCACGCATGACTCCGACTCCGACCTAGATCTCGACGTCCACGAGCTGGACCCCATCTCGACGGAGAACATCAGAGGATCAAATCGAGGCCAATCCTCCGGTTCATCTGAATCAAGGCCGTCAAGAATAGCTCTCCGGAACTTGCGTATGGGAGGCTTGCGGCGTGCTAACAAACGCGGCGGCCGCGGATATGGCGAACTCGGCCAGAATCGAGACGACTTCGACGAACATACTCGTAGGCTGCTAGATGAGCATGATGGAGCTGGAGGCAGCCATGCCGACGACGACGCTCCTCTTCTTGGCGGCCATCAGAAGTCTCACAGTCGGCGACTGTCCATGTCTGGCATACGGCTCCCCAGCTTCTTGTCTGGAAACAAGCCCCCCCAACATGGGGACGATGACGCCGTAGATGAGCAAGATGAAGATGATCCTTCGGCTTCAAGACATGTCGCCGTTGGATCTATTCAGTCAACCCGATTCCCGGCCAATATCGTTTCCAATGCTAAATATACAGCGCTAACATTTCTTCCCGTTACACTGTATAATGAATTTTCTTTCTTCTTTAACATGTACTTTCTTCTAGTCGCCTTGTCGCAAGCAATACCCGCTCTTCGAATTGGTTATCTGTCTACCTATATAGCGCCGCTTGCTTTTGTGCTTTGCATCACCATGGGGAAGGAGGCATACGACGACATTGAGAGGCGGCGGAGAGACAATGAGGCCAACTCCGAAGAATACCGAGTGCTGACGTTTTCTGATCCCGACCTACGATCTGCATCAGGTAAACCACACCGTCGAGCGCTCAAATCGGATTCATTGAATAAGAGGGGTTCAAGAAGGCAAAGGGAATCGCGACACGACTTAACCGATATTCAGGAGGAAGATAATACCCACCACCCTTCATCTTTCGTTGAAGAAGTGATGCGCAAGTCCAAGGATCTGAAAGTTGGCGACGTTCTCAAACTCAGCAAAGGACAACGGGTGCCGGCTGATGTAGTCATATTGCAATGCTACAATGTGGAGGGACCTACCTCATCCACCCCCACCAAGGAGCCATCGGAAGAGGAGACCCTCTTTGCTTTTAGCGAAAATGAGCCCGATGGAAAGGGCAAAGAGCCAGATATAGGGATACAGAAGGATGAGGGTGATGCCGGTGGAGGCTCTGGAGAGACTTTTATCAGAACCGATCAACTCGATGGTGAGACAGACTGGAAGCTGAGGCTGGCCTCGGCTCTGACGCAGAGTATCGCCCCAGAGGAGTTTGTGCGATTGCGAGTTATTGGAGGGAAGCCTGACAAGAAGGTTGGCGAGTTTGTGGGCACTATTGAACTGTTTCCAACGAGACAAGACGTGACGAGCCACTACTCGATGTTGAAGCATGACGGTAATTCAAAGTCGGCACCTCTGTCAATTGATAATACGGCTTGGGCCAACACAATCATTGCCTCTCAAGGAACCACCCTGGCAGTGATCTTGTATACTGGGCCACAGACAAGGTCTGCCTTGTCGACGTCCCCGTCTCGATCCAAGACTGGCCTTCTCGAATACGAAATCAATTCACTTACCAAGATCTTGTGCGCTCTCACCCTAGCATTGTCGGTGGTTCTTGTTGCTCTGGAAGGGTTCGAAAATACAACGGGGAACGTGTGGTACATTAAGATCATGCGCTTTTTGGTTTTGTTCTCAACTATTGTCCCTATTAGTTTGCGAGTCAACCTCGATATGGGCAAGAGTGCGTATTCAAGGTTCATTCAACGCGATCCGGGAATTCCAGGTGCTGTTGTACGAACCAGCACCATACCCGAAGATCTGGGGAGAATCGAGTATTTGCTCAGCGACAAAACAGGAACTCTAACGCAGAACGACATGGAGATGAAGAAAGTTCACGTCGGGACTGTATCTTATGCTAATGAGGCAATGGACGAGGTCAAATCATACGTTCGTCAAGCATTCCACATTCAGCCTACAACAGACCCAACGTCACGGACCGTCCTCATTACGCCATCCTCAACCTTCTCGAGTACTGTCAATGTGGGCGCTACTCGCACACGACGTGAGATTGGAGCCCGCGTGCGGGACGTGGTTCTCGCTCTGGCGCTGTGCCACAATGTCACTCCTACCGTTGATAATGAGGATGGCAAAGATATCACATCGTACCAGGCATCGTCCCCCGATGAAATCGCCATTGTTAAATGGACAGAGTCGGTCGGGCTGAAGTTGGCATACCGCGACAGAAAGGGCATGACGCTTGAATCAACAGAAACAGGACGACCAGTGGTCCGTGTTCGTATTCTCGATGTGTTCCCATTTACATCTGATGGCAAGCGCATGGGGATCATTGTCCACTTCCACGACGACGTGAAGAATATTAATCCAAGCCTGAGCTCTGGGGAGATTTGGTTCTATCAAAAGGGCGCGGACACAGTCATGGGCACGATAGTCGCCGCCAACGATTGGCTGGATGAGGAGACGGCCAATATGGCTAGAGAGGGATTGCGAACACTGGTTGTGGGTCGGAAGAAGCTGTCGTACCAGCAGTATCAAGAGTTTTCATCCAAGTACCAGGAGGCTTCCATGTCCATTGCAAATCGCGATGCCGGCATTCAACGCGTCGTATCGCACCACCTCGAAAATCATCTCGAACTGCTCGGCGTCACTGGTGTGGAGGACAAGTTACAAAAAGACGTCAAGCCGTCACTAGAGCTTCTTCGCAATGCTGGTATCAAGATTTGGATGTTGACGGGAGACAAGGTAGAAACAGCTCGTTGTGTGGCTATCAGCTCCAAGCTGGTTGCACGCGGGCAGTACATCTACACCGTCGCCAAACTCAAGCGCAAGGACGGCGCTCAGGAACACCTCGATTTCCTGCGTGGCAAAATAGACGCATGCCTCCTTATTGACGGCGAAAGTCTTCAGCTCCTGATGACTCATTTCCGAATCGACTTTATTTCCATTGCCGTGCAGCTTCCCACTGTGGTAGCATGTCGATGCTCGCCCACACAAAAAGCCGAGGTTGCTAAGCTCATCAAGGAATACACCAAGAAGAGAGTCTGCTGCATCGGGGACGGAGGCAACGACGTATCGATGATTCAAGCAGCAGATGTGGGTGTCGGTATTGTCGGCAAGGAAGGTCGCCAGGCGAGTTTGGCTGCCGATTTCTCAATCGAGCAATTTTATCATTTGGTCAAGCTCCTCGTGTGGCATGGGCGGAACAGTTACAAAAGGAGTGCTAAGCTGGCGCAGTTTGTTATCCATCGTGGTCTGATTATAGCAGTGTGTCAGACCATGTACAGTATTGCCAGGAAGTTCGAACCCGAGGGCTTATACAAGGTGTGCATTATTTTTCTCCCTCCATCTCTAATCTGACGATACATGCTGACTCATTTCAGGACTGGCTTCTCGTCGGCTATGCAACCATCTACACCGCTGCTCCGGTCCTGTCCCTTGTTCTTGACAAGGACGTCGACGAAAACTTGGCCAATCTATACCCAGAGCTGTACAAGGAACTTACCGAGGGTCGATCCCTCTCATACCGCACCTTTTTTGTATGGGTCTTTGTGTCCATCTACCAAGGCGGTATGATCCAGGGCCTGTCGCAGATTCTGACCGAAGTAGACGGGCCGAAGATGGTGGCTGTGAGTTATACTGTGCTGGTGTTGAACGAGCTCATCATGGTTGCCATTGAGATCACCACGTGGCATCCGGTCATGATCTTGAGTATTCTGGGTACTTTTTTGGTATTTGTGGGCAGCATCCCGTTCTTGGGAGGATACTTTGATCTCGGTTTCGTCATTACTTGGTACGTTCCTGTGAAGCTCACTCCGTCCACCCCGTATGCTTGGGTTGCTAATGTGATCGAAGGGGCTTTGCATGGCGCATCCTTTCTATTGGAGCGATATCCCTGATCCCTCCGTATGCAGGGAAACTCATCAGGAGGGCGATCAAGCCGCCATCGTACAGGAAAGTGCAGAATCGGTAGGTGACGTTGGTCCGCATTTGTGGCGTTGGGGTTTTGATGCATTAGCGGCATTGGGGCTTAATATACTCTTTGGCTTGAATTGCAGTGCTAGATTGACTCATGTTCCATAATGTACACGTTGTATTCTTCTTGTCTGTAGTTTGTTACGATGGCTACGTTGAATTTGAGGCGTCACATGTTATCTGTTCAAGTGATGGATGATTACAGCTTCAAAACAAGCCAATCGTTAGCCAAGACAGGATTCTTCCTCTGCAACACACCAGCAACACCGCCCACCGTCCCCTGCGTCAGTGTTCCCCCGATCCATTTCTTATCTCCAGCGTAATATGCAATGAATCCATCTGGGCCGGAAACCATGAGCAGATTCTTTCCGGGCCTATCAGCAGGAGAACACTGGCACTTGGTATCTGGGTCTTCAAACTCAGACGCGTGCACATGGAGGCATTGATCGTGGAGTTGGCATCCCGGACTAGGCAGTGCACGCCCACCACTAGCCAGAGCCTCTCCAATGTCTCTTTCCGTGAACCGTGTGCGTTCCTCGTCCACAGCCACGCGGATGGTAAGCCGTTCGCCGTACCTGGCCTTCATCCGCGCGAGCTGCTTCCCCATTGCGCTTGGTTCTTCCACCTCGGCCGTCAACTCGGCCGGCGCAGCAGTGCTCCAAAAGTTCCACCAGGGCTTGGACGAACCACCCTGACGACATTGTTGAAGCTCTTCCCTTTTCCGTACAGCCCATAGCAGCTCTACGCTTGTCGTGGCGTCTCTCTCTAAAACGGCCTTGGCAACCTGCATGCCGGGAACTACACCGGTGCCCCCGGCAAGGAACACCACATTCTTCTGCTCTCCTAGCCTTTTCAACACATCAAACCCCTTGTGCGGTCCTCGGAGGTAGACGTCCCGCCCTACACCGAGCCTATTTAGATAGGTAGACATTTCTCCACCTCCTATAGCGCGAATGTAGAAGCTCAGGGTGCCATCTTTGGTGTTTTCCCCGTCTGCCGGCGGGAGAGGAGTGTAGTGCCGGGCGATTTGGACCTCGGGCTGCTTGAACTCGACCGACCAAAGTGGATACTTCCACTCTTGTGAACTGGGGAGCAAGTATGGCAGCGAAGGGTCGTGGTGGTGCGGTGAAATGGTGAAGATGGCCGAGGTGGGAGAGATGGGCTGGCGGGAGGTGATGGTGTAGGGGATGAATGAATCGCTGTTGAGGGTTTTGTGGCTCGTCGGCGCGAGGACGTAGTATGCCGCTGTGCCTATGAGACCGATGGCGATGAAGATGGATGGAAATGCACGAGCTTCCTTGCGCGTGTGAGTGGTGCAGAGGAAGCGTTTGGGTATTCGTAATATTGGTGCTTGTGGTTGAATGGAGCTGTATTTGGGTGTCCATTTGCAAGAGGACCGCAGGATAATGCGGAAGGGCGCTGCCATGCTGTGAGTGGCAGCATGCAAGAGAGCAAGCTATTTCAGACCAAGAAAATAAATGAGACGGTCATTTCCAACAGAAAAAACGTCATTTGTACATCGTGTTGTCCTATTATACGTTTTTTTTTTGGTCGAGATCCAAGTGTGGACAGGTGAAGCTCGCGATAACATCGGCGGTCACGTGCATCAATAAAGATACTCGATTTCGAAACACCAAACTAAGAAATGAAATATCCTGTATTTCATTCAAGTCACCCTATATTAGAGGAAGAGGATGGAAAAGTCTAATGTACAAATTCTACGGAGTAGTATACACGTCATTCTAACATCCCAAGTCTGCTGCATGATGCATCAGTGATCACAACCTCAATATCCTCCTCTTCGCATCTATTCCCCCTCTAAACATATCCTCGACCACATTCCCCCTTATAATAGTCTCCTCCACCAAACCCTCCACATGCTTCGGTTCAACCCTCCCATACCAAATCCCACATCCTGCAAGCGGATGCGGCCGGCCTCCTTGCACCTCATAACCAGGCGGAACATACACAATCACGTTTCCGGCAAATTTGTGTCCTCCAATATGGCTAATCAATCCCACTCTAGCAATGCTCTTTCCTGAAACGTCTCCCCCTATCCTCTCTGTATTTCCAAAGGCGAGGTTCACCTCCACCGGGGCAGTGACGACGTCAAAGTCCCGTAGTGCAAGTTTCTGTTCAAACTCGTCCCTCAAGACTGGTCCCACGATGCCGCACCTAGCGTCTCGCCCCCCATGGCCGCAGATGAGAACCAACACATCCTTGACGTCCTGGACCCCCGGCAACAGGCCCTGGTAAGCCTCTTTGCGCGTCAGCCTGTCCCGGTGAACGGGGGACAGGCCGTCGTGGGCAGAGTGCAGCTTCTCCGGGAGCAAGAACCCCTTGGCAAGGGCCTCGACGCTGTCAAAGGAGATCCGGGGCAGGAAGGGGATGTACTTGAATGAGGGCAGGAGGTAGGCTGACGTGGAGTGAAGTTCGGAGCGAGGAGGTATGGAGGATGGGAAGGAGGAGTTGATGACGGATATGTTGTGGAAGGGCTGTATTTATTAGCGCCATCACGCAGAAAGAGGCCCGGGTAAGCGGGAAAAATTGACAAGGACAGTGCAAACGACAATGAAGGTGAAAAGACACTCACGTCACTATATCTCCCCCCTCGACCGAACAATTCCTTCAAGTCTGCCGCCAAATTGTCCCCGTCACACTCATCCTCTATCCTCGACGTCCAGTCATCACGGCCCGTGCAAACGAGCACTTGTTCCGCATACCCTGAAATCACGCCATTCAAATTACTCTTGAAATCAATGTCTAAACCCTCAGGCATGGCGGGCGTAGCAGCGCATCCACATGTTGGAGATGGGCATGACGACACCGTGGGGAACGGAGGAGGTTGCCGCGTCGCAAATGATCGGGTGATCCAGAGGGGGGCGTGACGCGTTAGACGAGCGGGAGAGCGCAACGCCATGGGGATTGACATGATGGCTTGCTCGGGGTGTTTGGGGACATTTGTGAAATTGAAGGTCGATGAGAGTGACGTTATATGTGATTGTCAGCAGTGGTCAGCTCGGTCTCCGAGCATCCCAGAGGTTGAATGATACAGATCGTCTCCACTGTCTTGTCATTCTCCACGGCGCACAGGCAGCGCAGAAACGCATTGTACAACCAGCATACAACGACAAACCAGGAAGAGTACACCGCAGAAAAAAAAAAGAGAAAAAAAAACCGCTTTGAATTCCGGCCCTGAGCCGCCTGTTGTTGAATATCTACTCGTATCTACTATGTAATTCTAACCCTCACGGGCTCTGTATGCAATCTGTCCAAAAAGGCCCCAAAGTTGCCCATACTCAAAAGTGCCATCACAAATGCCGAGGTAAACGCCATCTCTTGCCTGCAGTATGCATACACTTTGAGTCTACGGACCCTTTCGATCACAGTATCCTGGTCTCGGAGCTGCAGAAGCCGCCCAGCTCATGATAGTGAGTACAGTCGTGTATGCCATTGCGACGAAACCAAAGATGCATAAAATAATGTCGGAGATTCTCCACCACCGGGTTCGAGCAACGGCCTTATAATGCAAAAGGGGCTACGTGACGTTAATACTTGCGTAAAGAAATGGTGTTTATGGGAAAATTTGACTCACAGGATAAATGTATACCAGCGGAATACAGGCAAAGTTGCCAACCAAGGCGACAAACTTGTCGAGGTGGTTAGCACCTCCCCAGGCAATTGCGGAGCAGAGCATCACCATGAAAAAGCGGAACACATTCTTCTTCCATTTGATCCAAGGATTGTACTTGCCGCTACGGGTGAACAGCTCCGTTTCGATGATACGAATTGCAGGGAAGATCTGTAGCGGCGTTGAGAGTAAAATGGCACAAGAATACAGCAACTGTACTCCATTGACAAACTTGTCGTCCTGTGGTAGGTTGAGCAGAACAACGGTCTCGGTCTTGGATCCATAGGCGGCATATGAAACAGCTCCCATGACCGTGAAAAGAACTGTAATGATAACCATGACGAGGAAGAGAACGCGAGGAAACTTTGTGGGATGCTTCATCGATTCCTGGATAGGGATGATAAGACCGATGCCTTCAAAAGTGAAAATGGCGGTTCCAATAAACAGGGTCCAGTCTTTTTGGTTGAACATGATGATGTCTGCCAGACCATTTGCGTTGAGGGTAATGATGTCGTAGTAAAAGAGGTACGCCAAACCAACCATGATGAATGCATCGGCGATGAGGGCTGTGAACCCCAGCTTTCCGATGTCACGTAGAAGGGAGAAAGGAAGGAATATGGCCGTCTGCATGAGAATAAGCAACGGGATGGTGATTGACGCCTTGCAGTCGGATACCGCATGAATAAAAGCCTGCAGGTTCTGGGCAGTAAAAACAGTGTAAGCGGCCACGAAACCTATCTGGCTGATGACAATGGAGCTCAAAATCAGACCGCGCATCCACTTGCCGTACAATATGCCGCCCATGTCGCCAAACGAGCCCTCGACGTTTAGCCGCGTTGTCACCAGGAGAACAAAACAATAATAGCTAAGAATGCTCACAAACAACAACACAAGGTTGCTGAAGAGCATCCCGCCGTTGAGGTAAGCTCGAGGCAGAAACAGGACACCTGTACCGACAAAAGACTTTAGTAACAGCAATGCGGCATTCATGGGACTGTTTTTGCCGCTGCCGCCGCGGACTTTTCTCTTCCGCTTCTTCTTGCCCAAGAGAGCGCTGTCTTCGGTCGGTTCCTCATCTCCGCCGCCGCGATCTTCTCCAGAGTCCCAAATCTCGTTTGGTCCCAAGTTCTCATCATCTTCCTCAAGTTCCTCGCCAGCAAAGTGGCCATAAATAGACAGGAATTCGAGGAAACTCGACGTGAACAACCTAGGTTGGTCAAGTGTTCCGGGAGAGCCGGCTCCACTGCTACCCAGCTCGGCGTGTTGTCCGCTCGGACTGAAAGCTCGCCTTCGTAGGTGATCACGCCTGAATCCGCCAGGAACCTTGATAGCGCTGATATCCGTGACTTCCTCCTCGGGTTCAGGTCGCATGTGGTCATAACTTTTGCTGCGATTGAGCTTGCTTTTTGCTTCTGCCTGCTCCGTCCACTTGTAAATACCGCGGGTAACGTCGCCGCCTTGTAGCTGTAAACTGGAGAATTCTTCTTCATTGACCTTGCCCGCCCCGACGTCTGTGGGTTGCTTGCCCTTGATAGTTCCCCTGGGGGACGACTCTTCTGAAGTAGGGTTCTCGGCATCACTAGGCTGCACCAAGTGTCGCTTTACGATTTCATGGTCTTCATATGGACCAGTGGCGGAACCGGGGCCGAGGCGGGACCTTGAGTCCAAGGAGCCATAATGCGTAGGCGTGTCTGCTCGAGTGGGAAGGGCGGGAGATTGAGATGGCGGAGGAGGAGAGCTGATTCGAGCCGCGGGCGTACCGTGACGGGGCGGTGACTGTCCCAGAGAGTTTGAAAGAGCGGCGGCCAAGGCAGAAACACCAGGCCCTTGAGTAGAGCTTCCGCCGGTGAATGGAGCTTCGGTCGCTTGTAATGCATCACCTCCGGGAACGGGAGAAGCGCCTCGAACAGGTGGCGGCGCTGGGAGAACGGGCTCAGCAAGACGAGCAGTCAGCTCCTCTCGAGGAAGAGACGAAGAGAAGGACCGAGGCTGGCCAGGAAACGGCGATGACAGCCCCGGGTCCAGATTAGGAGTGTCCTTGGGCAAAGACATTTTGTCGGCAGAGTGCTCGGAAGGATTCGGATATGTTGAGTATTTGGTGGCGCGGGTTTCTTATTGTATCTCGCGCCAGGTGTTGCCTGTTTGTCAGTGAACAACACGGAGGACGAAGGCGAGGAACGGGGTGGCAAGGCCGCCAGCAGAGGGGAGTTGCAAGGCCAAGTTGTCGATGGCGCGTCTTGGACTGGGGAGGATGGAAATAAAGGGCTCGCAATAGTCGTGTCGCTGCCTCAGCTGACCGTGCCAATTGAGCCTCAGTCGAAAATGTATTGGTGTGGTGGTGGCAGAGGATGACCGTCGTCGGCGTCTTGAAGGGGGTGGCGCGCGGGAAGCTGGGGTCTTTGGGAAGATTGAAAATGACTGGAGTGGGCGCGGAGAGATAGAGCCAGAGACCGGAGCTTAGTGGGGGACCAACAACGGGCCAGACTGACCTGACCAGTCGACGCTTGTCGAGCCGAACTGATATCAAGAGGCACTGGGCCCACACGGCCACAGCAGTCCCAGTGCCAGCAAACGTCGAGCTCAGGACCCTGGACCCTGGACCCTGGCCCTTGTCCTAGTGTCCAGACGTCGGCCAATGTTGATGGCCTCATTAATATCGACGTAATATCCCACTTGGCCTTTTTGTAGTTGACTCCTCCGGCAGCTCGCCAGTCCTCGAAGGTCGATGTCCCAAGTGTCCAGTGCCTGTTTAGCAACATTTGCACGCTGAGAGCGCTGTGCTGGGGCTGGACATTTCAATGTTTGATGAGTCAGCTGGTTCACTTTGCATTGCTCCGAAATCCACGACAACGGCGGGTCTTGACCGGACTGCATCATACATCAAGTACTCGGCTTCCGCTTTACACTCGGTGCACATGCACAAGGTTCATCGGCATCCTGGCTGCATGCTAACCTACAAGTATGATGCCCAGCAGCGCAAGAGCGTGGTGCTTCGTTGCGGTAGCCCATCGCATCAACACAAAGATGCGGAGAGACTGAGTTTTGCCCCCCTCAGAGGATTGGCTGATGATAAGCTGGCAACCCGTATTGCAACCATTCGCCACGTTGAATGCAGACGACGCTCGATTTGTAACTATTGGCACGACATGGCCCCTTCGTCTATGCAGCTTTGGTATGACTGTCAAGCAACTCTGCATGTATCTTGGACTGTCACCTGCTATTATTCGAAAGACATCTGTCCACGGTCGAGTCCGGGGTATCGCATCTTGTAGCTCGCCAACAGTGATTACTTGGGTAGCCATGGTCAGGCATGCCTCGAGTCTACGTCTACCATGGCTTCACAAACCCTTGCCGGGACATCAGCAGGTGATGGAACATGAGACCAAACGCTTCTGTGGCTTGGAATGTGAGTGGCTGCATGAATCCGGGGGCGGCAAAATGATGCAACGGCTTGCTTAAACGGAGTGCCATCCCGCACACCAGTTTCTCATCACGACTGGACGGTCCGATTGCATCCGGCCGCGGGGGACGGGTCACGTTGAACAGCAAGAGCACTTGGTCCTGGATCCTATTGGCGTTGGGATGTTAATACTATCATCATGTAGGTCGGCATCCTTGTGGAGTACTCGGTGTTAACATTGATAAGGGCGCCGGAGAGCACCAGGTAATCAACTACTAAGTACCAGACCTCAAGTGCTGCCGGGTCTCTCGGCATGGATCCTTCAACGTTCAATGTTCCAAACGATGTTGGCATCAATTGATGTCATCCAGGCCCGTCGACGGTATTCTGGCAGCTGTGCTTGTTTCATCTAGCGAGTTTAAGCCCCAAGTGCTCTGTAGTCCCGCGGGATTGTTCCACAGGTGACGGTTGGCCTGTACCAGTTGCCATACGAACCGACATGGACATTCATGTGGACCATCAGCCCTCTGAGGCTCTGATGATCGCTGATGATTGACCGCCACGGTTGCGGCTGCCTTGGCGGTCGTCGCCGGCGAAGGCGCGCCCCAGGTCTGACGTAGGTGGGCGTTGCTCCGCCTGAACCACTAATTGACCTCGCAATCCCGACCGTCGTGAAACCACGGCGAATTGTGAATGAGGGCCAACCTCGGGTCATCTGCAGAGAGTCAGCGACAGAAAAAATCTCCGCGTTTCATGGCCTCTAGCTTTTATCAAAGTCCCGACTCAACTTGCCAACATTGAAGCATCCCGCCGGAACAAGAGGGCGTGGCTGCATTTTCTTCTCGTTGAGAGTCTGGTTTGCAAATCATCGCCACACCGCCGAGGAGCTGGCATCAAGCAGAGCTTGTCATGTCTCCAAGTCACCGGCCGACAACGACCTGCGAGCACATGCTGCCGTGAAGGGCGCCATAGTGTGATAATCACATTGTTGCATTTCTCCTTCCTTTCCAAATACAAGCCCGCCATGCCTCCAACGCCCGACGACAAGGGTGACCCTCTGGCTTTGGCCATGGATGCGAGGAAGAGCTCCAAGCTGGGCTTGCTTTCTGGCGTATACATTCCCGTATGCTTGAACATTATGAGCATTCTCATGTTTTTGCGGTTCGGCCTCATTCTGGGACAGGTTGGATTTCTGGGAATTTTGGGTATACCAACACCCTCCCTTTGTCTCTTGCAACACAGAATTATTGACCAAGCCTAGGACTGTTGGCCACTGCCTACTGTGTTGATCTCTTGACCACCTTGTCCCTGTCGGCTATTGCTTCCAATGGCGAGGTCAAGGGAGGCGGAGCATACTATCTGATCTCGAGATCGCTTGGTCCCGAATTCGGAGGCTCCATTGGAATCTTGTTCTTCTTAGCCCAAGCTCTCAACACTGCCATGAACATTGTTGGTTTGATCGACTGCATTCGCCTCAATGTTGGACCTGGCTTCCCAGGAGGATATTGGGCAGGATATGGCTTGCAGACGGCAGCATTGGTCACTTGCACCTGCATGTGTCTTTTGGGATCAGCTACTTTTTCAAAGGCGTCTAATTTATTGTTGGCTATATTGACGGTAGCTGTGCTCAGTGTTCCATTGTCTGCCATCTTCAAGGCCCCATTTCGAGACGACGACGCTGGCATTGTATACACGGGGCTCAGTCTCAGTACTTTTGTCAACAATCTTCTGCCGAGTTCTTCCAAGCATGTCTATCGGGGATTGCCGACATTTCGAGACTTGTTTGGTATTTTGTTCCCGTACGCGCATATCCATTTCTCGGTGCGTATCGCTATGCTAACTTCTCTCAGCGCCACGTCAGGCATCTTTGCTGGTGCGTCAATGTCTGGGGATTTGAAAAATCCAAGCAAGGCCATACCAAAAGGCACACTGTGGGCCATGTTAACAACCTTTGTTGTCTATTTTGTTGTGATTCTCTCCATGGCTTGCACCATCTCCCGGGATTCCTTCCTCGCAAACGACAACATCATCTCTCTGACGAACCTGTCAGCGCCAATCGTCCTCGCGGGGGAGTGTGCAGTGACCTTTTTCTCCGCCCTCATGGGCATCATAGGTTCTGCGAAATTGTTCCAGGCCTTGGCGCGAGACAAGCTATTGCCCGGACTGTCCATTTTTGGCAGAGGGACCAAGAAGGCCGATGAGCCTATCCTTGCTATCTTTCTCACATATGTCATTGCGCAAATTGCCCTTCTTGCGGATTTGAATCAGATTGCAACCTTCATCTCCATGGGTTATCAGGTGAGTGTTGGCGCGTTGGACATGATGATTGGTGCTGACAACTTTTCAGATGACCTTTTTCGTTATGAATCTTGCTTGCTTTCTTCTCAAAATTGGCTCGGCCCCAAACTTTCGTCCCAGTTTCAAGTTCTTCAACTGGCAGACGGCCTGCATTGGTAGTCTTCTGTCTGCTGCCGCCATGTTCTTCATTGATGAGACCTACGCAGCAATTGCTATTTGTGTCCTCATTTTCGTGTTTCTACTGATCCATTACTTATGCCCTCCCAAGCGATGGGGCGATGTGTCCCAGAATCTCATCTACCATCAAGTGCGAAAGTACTTGCTGCGATTAAAGCCAGAACACATCAAGTTTTGGCGGCCACATATCATTCTGCTCATCAATAACCCCCGGCGCCAGACGCGGTTAATTCAATTTTGCAATTCCATGAAGAAGGGGTCTCTTTATATTCTGGGCCATGTTATCGTAACAGACGATTTCAACTCTGGCGTGCACGAGGCTCGGTTGCAGCAACAAGCCTGGACTCGATATATTTCCGAATTTTCAAGGATCAAGGCCTTTGTTCAGCTTACCATGTCCCCTTCGATTACTTGGGGGGTACGCAACTTGGTTCTGGCTGCTGGCCTTGGTGGCATGCGTCCGAATGTTGCTGTTTTGGGATTCTATAATATGGATGACCTGCGGAAATCAAACCCTGCGGTACCTATCCCGGATGTGCCTGCATCGCCATCTGACAAGATGAGACGCCCGTCAAAGTCGCAAGGCAAGGTCGCTAAGCGTAGGCGCGGAGATACGTCTGCACGACTCCTTGAAGGGACACTGCCTACCGACGTTATTCGAACCGAAGACATGGTATCTCCCACCGATTACATGATCATATTAGAGGATCTTGCTTTGAAATACAGACTCAACGTTGCCATAGCGCATGGATTTGACAAGCTAGAGACGCCCCGACATGATGGGTCTAATTCCAAAAAGTACATCGATCTGTGGCCCATCCAAATGTCTGCTGAACTATCTTCAGATGGCAAGAATGTGCTTACGACGAACTTTGACACTTGTAAGTTCCCATCATGTTTCAATAGGAAAAAGAGGAAGTCTTGTACAGACTAACATTTACAGATACCCTTATCTTGCAACTGGGGCACATTTTGCGTAGCGTTCAAGCCTGGCGAAGGGCGTTTGCCCTACGTGTTTTGGTATTTGTAGAGTATGAGCATGAAGTCGAGGAGGAGAGTGCTAGAGTCAAAGCTCTCCTGGAGAAATTGCGAATTGATGCACAAGTCCTCGTCTTCTACTTGGCTTCTGGCCATCTCAACACGTATGAGCTTATTGTTAACGGAAACACCAATGATATTGATGCCGAAATCATTGTTTGCGAAGCCCTCAAGGATGAGGAATGGTGGGAGGACTTGCAGATACTTCGCAGACAGGCCGAAGAGCTTTCCTCGAGCGAAGAGCTTTCGCAACTGGCCCAGTTTTTGGACTCGACAAATGGGCGACCTGGTGCATACAATCCACACGACGATGCAGGGAATACGCGCCGTCACAGTATGGCTGAATTTGTAGAAATGCACAGGAAGCCGGGCATCGCCACGCTCTCCAAACTCGGAGTCAGCATGGGAATTCACACTACCCATATCAACGAAGAAGTTCTGCATGAGCCCGAATCAGACACCGAATTTGATACAGATGTGGAGGGCTCTACTGACGATGAAGAATTCGAAGTAGGTTCTAGGGATTTTTTTTGGGGCTCGAGAGATGAATTGGGAAATCCAACACTGCGTCTATTGCTCCAATCTTCGCAGGACAGTGGTGCTGCAACGGAGCAGTCGCCAACAAAGTCTGGGCGAGGAAGAAGGTTGGGAGCCATCGAGTCGAGCGCTCAAATCCCCTCATATGGCACTATGAATACGTCTCAGACGTTGGCAGACAATCCCGAATCCTCGGCAACATGGCATGTCCCTGAAGTTGCTGAAATCGTCGCGAGCCCACCAGAGGCAGAGACCAGCGTTAAGATCGACTCCTTCCCTATCTTGGATCCTCTTCAAGTTCCAAAATTTCCGCAGGGTGGTTCTCGGCGATCACGCTCCATGAGCCCTTCGAGGGACGTCATTCGAGATGGAACCGTTACACCAACGAGACCGAACTTTTCGCGACAGTCATCTGCTGCTCGATTCTCTAGTCGACCAGTGCCTGAAACCAAGATTATCGCCGAAGGCGAAGGCTCCAAGATTAGTTTCGCGCCGGCTGCATCAAACCCCCCGACGCCACGAGCTGAACGACCAGCGTTTTCGAGACAATCCTCGCTCGGCAAGTTTTCAAGTCGTCCGTTGCCTGATACTAAAGTCAGCGGCGAAGAAGGCGCAAGAACAATTTCATTTGCACATCAGCCAGCATCTCAGCCACCGTCCCGAGCGCATTCGGGTTCCCATTCACGACATCACTCGAGACACGGCTCGCAATATTCTGTGCATGGTCAGGACCAAGCAAACCTTGTTATCCCAGAGCGTTCTGAACCATCCACAAATCACGCACCAAAAAAGAGCATTGTTGAAGATGGCGGGTCAGCCACCTCGGGACATGATGTTGCGCTCTCATTCAATGATTTGCCTAGTCGAGCGCAGCACTTGATTCTCAACGAACTCATGCGGCAGCATTCCAAAGACACGGGCGTCTTGATGACAACGCTGCCTATTCCTTCAGAAGGCACTAGTCTTGACGAAATGTCTACAATCCAGTATCTTTCTGATGTTGAACTTCTCTGCAACGACCTGCCGCCTACGTTGATGGTACTCAGCAACAACATGACGGTCACAGTGAGTCTTTAGATCATTTGCGAATTGCGCCAACGCATTTGTTGCATACTTTTAGGATTTGAAGCTCTTTATTCTGGTTCTTTGTAATGTAGCAGAGCGCTGAGACACGATGCAAAGCAATTATTTTATTCCCCCTTTGTTAGACTAAAAATTGACGATATTCACTACAAGCATCCTTTGTTACCGGGTTTCACACCTCATACCTGCTCACTCACACCAATGACAAAGAATCAGATTGGGAAAAACAAGAAAAAGAATTTTTCTTTAAAAAAAAATCACAACACCCATTCACATTGATCGCCTTGGTTGACCTCCATTCCCCTTGTTCCCTCCTTCGATGATGAAACAAAGAGCTCCTTGAAGGCCACATTTACGTCTCTCCAAGGATAGCAGGTTAACGTGATTTTCTCTTCTCCTTCATCATGACATCAAAATGCCTTCCAATACAGTATGGCCGCACTTCAACACTACGCACGAGCGCCCATCCTCTCCCAACCTCACAAGCCCGGTCAAAATGGTACTCGTCGACGACACAAATATGCAACCTACAGAACAACCGCATCAGGGGATGTTTAATGAACAGGTGGAACCTGAGCAACATGATGGAGTGAATATTTTTTTGATGAAGCGGCGTGAGTCGAGTAGATATCGTGATGACGGCAACACAGGCAAACCAGCAGAAGCACTCTTGGGACTGCCAACGGAGAGAGATTCCATGTGGGAAGATGATATCCCCTATTCTGGAAGGAATTCACGGTGTGATGAAGCACCGCAAGGAGGCTTTTCTGAACAAGAGACGGCAAGCATCCCACCAGTTCTCGGCCAAACACACACTAGTTTCTCCCAGCGTCGGGGATTTCCACGGCATAAGACTTTTCCTGAAAGTGTCTACAATACTGCGCCACCTGGTACGGATCCCACGACGACGGGACCGAGTAGGGAGTCCGAATTTAGTGTTGCGGGAGAATATAGCCCGCGTCCCATGTCAAGGCCAGTCGGGAAACCAGGGGCTCACTACAGCCTGGCCGACATGGACCAATTCGCCTCGCCGCCGGCTACGAATACCACATTCGCCAAGGGCATCAACAGTGCGTCGTATCGGTGTGCGCCGCTTCGGTACACCAGACACAGCTCAAGTACAACAACGACGGACAGTGAATTAAGGTCTGATAGGGGGCTGTCGCAGCGTACAAGCGCGACGACGACCTGCAGTTCGAGTGTGCGGAACTCGGCTAGGAGGTCGAATAAAGGAACGAGACCGCCTTCTGCGGCGAGCCGAAGGGCCAGTTCACGAGCGTCTCAAGAGCGATATTATCCGCCGCCCAGAACCAGCAGAACTTCGAGGGGCAAGCAGATAAGCGGCTGGTCGACGTCGAGGAGGACATCGGATGAGAACGAGCCGATATCTCAAAAGAGGCCCCCGCCCCGAACGATAATTAACAAATACAGTTTACCAGAAGCCGGGACCCAGCCCATGCACACATTGGGTGAACACTTGGCGATGGTTGAAATGGACATGGGGTCGGCAAATGGGATGGAAAGATGGTGTAGGAAATGCCTTGAATCTCACAAAGAAATAAAGAGAAAGGAGGAAGAGGAGAGAAGGGAAGAAAAAAAGAGAATTGGGAAAATAGACACTCAAAAAAGACGAACTTCAAAAGAGTTTCAGGAACAGATTCGGCTGCTGGTTAAATTTGGGAAGTTGAGTGAGAAGCTGGGCGTTGGAGGCGAGACGAGCTGTATTCCCTCCAAGAAGAGATGTGCTGGACACGAGGTGAGATGCATTGGATACGAGAACAAGTCTGCTGCACACGAGGAGAGATGTGCAACGCACCAGAAAGGAGATGCTAAACCCGGGGAGAGATGTGTTGGGGGAGAGAGAATATGCGTTGGACACGGAGAGAGGTGTTGGGGTCACCAGCAGAAGGTGTCAATGAGCAAGGAGGAAAAGGCCATTGCCAAATGGAGGGTAGCAAAGGGGGGTGATGGGTTTCCATATGGTTTGAGGATTGAGAATCTACCGCATGACTCGGTTGCTAGAATAACACACCGACGGTGGTTATAGAAGCTGATGAGAGAAATTTGACCTGGAAGCACTACGTTCGGTGCAGGGAAAGCATGTCGTATTTATAATGTAGTATATTGGCGATGTATGGTGGACAAACCTTGGGCTGGGGGAATTTGTGTATTTTGTATTTTGTTTCGTTTCGTTTTTTATTTTCCTCTTCTAATAATAAAACAAGATAATCAAGTGCTTTCAGCTTAAAATGATAAAAAAACGCGCGTACGTAGAGTCGTAATCGTGCCCATCGGCGTATCAAACCGGCCTTTCGTTTCTATGCAACGTATAACTCTAGCCCAGCCATGTCTATCATCACGTCTATCATCTTCATCTAGTCTACAAGATGCGCTTGACGCTCAGCTCGCCCTTATTCACGCCCTCGGCCTCCAGGTACCCACCGGCCTCCAGCTTCTTCCTCCACCTGTTGCCCTCGTGCCGTGCCAGAATGACAGTCATCCGCAGCGTCACGTCCCTGCTGGACGGGTGCTCCTGCTGCCCCTGCCCCACGGGCGTAAACGTCCACCGGCCAAACGCCCAGTTGAGAATGTACCGGCCGCCAGGGAGGCCGCCTGGCCGGGGCGCATCGGCATCCGAGTTCTCAGGGGCCGACGAGAGCGTGGCGACGGCCTTGATGCGGTACACCTCGTCCTTTGGGGCGGCCCGCAGGAACGCGAGGAGCTTGGGGGTGGACGTGGCTGCCGAGGGGGCCGCGAGCTCAACCGACAGCACTTCGACTTCGTTCTGGTGGCTGTGGGAATGGCCGTTGGTCTGCCCGCCGTGTTTGTGGTCGTGGTCGTGCTGTCCTCCGTTGACCTCGAGCTCCATGTCCGTCTCGGTCAAGTCCCTCGCCAGCCCGCCGTCCACGCCAAACACCAGATTCATGTCAACCCACCCCTTGTCGCTCTTGGCCCTCGCCACGTCAACCTCCAGGTCGCCCACCCTGTCGACGCACTCCTCGTACCTGTCCTCCCCCGCCGTCTCCCACTTGTTAAACACAATCAGATCTGTGTAGCGCGCCTGAATCTTGGCCGTGTAGCTTGTGTCCTCGTACCCCTGCCAGTTCTCTACGTCGATTACGCTTATCACGCCGTCTAGTTCGTACCTCCCCGCGTCTCTCGCCAGGCGGTTCACTTCCAGCGCCAGCGTCGCGGGGAACGCTGAGCCGCTGGTCTCGATGACGATGCGGTCGGGCGTGACTGTCCGGGCGAGTTCTTCCAGCGCGGGACCCAGCTGGCCCACGAGGTTGCAGCATATGCACCCGTTGAGCATCTCCTGCACGCCCGATATCGCCGAGGACGAGGCGAGTTGCGAATCGATTGCGAGGTCGCCGAATTCGTTCTTGAGGAGGGCTAGCTTGTAGGCTGGGTTCTTGGCGCGGAGTTGCGGCATGAGGTTGAGGATGAGGGTCGTTTTGCCGGAGCCGAGGAACCCGGTGATGATGGTGATTGGAATCGGCGCCATTTTCCCCAGCCAGCTAGAGACGACTCGTGTGGAAGAATCGCGGGTGACGGAGCGGGATTGCAGGGCGTGCGCTGCTTGTTAGATCGAATGCTTTTCTCTCCCCCCGGGATTGAAGGTTGGGAGATTCTGGCTGCTTATCTTATCAACCCCACGTTGTATCGGAGGCAGTTAGTTGTTACGGAGGAGAAAATGGGGGGTTGAAACGCCAACGGGCTTGACGTCATGTAGTTGCATAGCCCGCCTTGTAATTGACCATGGATCGGGATATATGAATCAGTGTCACGCTCTTCATTTTGAATTACGCTTTTCACACTCTCATTATTGTCATTGTAACTAAACAGGGAGTCTGCGTGCTCAAAATGGCGTCTAGTAACGACTCCAACGCCCAACAAGAGAATTTCAAGACCCAGCTAGACAAGGCGGCTGTGGACCAGCGAGAGCGAGACCAAGATCCAAAACTGAATCCAATCGTGGAAAAGAGTAGGCAATGCGTTCCCATACATCTCTCTAGTTGACTTTAAAAGTCGCCTAACAAGTGCAGTTGCCGAGTTCATTCCGGCCGCAGGCAAGGTCCTGGCGCCCAAAGAGAAGTCGCCTGGAGAAGAACGGGATGAAATCCCTGGTCCGCCCGACAGGCCTCATCACGACCACAAGATTGAAGAATTTGTTCGAGACCAGCATCGGAGCAAGATGCCGGGAGGCGATTTGAGTGCAGTAGCGCAGGATTGATTAGCATGCAGCTAGAGCAAATGTACGAGTACCGTCATGCATCGCGCCTCTCCAAGACATGAATGAATCTCAGATGTTCAACTGCAACGTTCATTTCGCATTTCCAAGAATCCGGCCCGGCCTTGATGCGATTTGGTTTCAAGATGGCAAGCCCGAGTCCATGATACAGTGTGGTCCTATCTCAGTCGTATGTTTGCTGTCCGTCACGTCTACAAGAGAATCACTTTACTTTTCATCAAAGAGATGTCCCCCCTTCTTGGCATTGTTCCGCCTACTGCTTCGTCCGAAAACGATCTTGCGGAAAATTTCCTATATCCAAGGGTTTTACTCTTCTGAGCGCTTCCCCGTTGGGGAAAGGCAACGCGACACCGTGGGAGGTCTAGGTGAAGGTCGTGGCAGCTCAGATAGCTTTTTGATGAAGAAGAAAGGAAGAAAAAGAGAGAAAACTTTGAGCGGATGCACGGGAAGATATAGAAAGATGGATGTGGACCGCGCTAGGCTGTACTGGGTTGGTGGATTCCTTGTCCCTGCCCTGATTGGTTCGCTGGTGGTGGACTGAAAAAATGCACCAGTGCTGCTGTGTGCCGCTCATTCACGCGTCGTGTTTCCCAAACGTTTTTGAAGTCCAGGACAGTATTCAGTTCAAATATAACTAAAACACGTCTTCAAGGCTAAGTACCAATACTTATAGGGCCAAAACAAACACGTGCCAGCCAGTTCATGTGAGGCGGTCCACTGTACTCCGTAGGTTGCAAAACCTTCCAGGATATCGTAGCGTCTATGACGGAAGTTTTCAACTCACGCACCCCGAAGCCTCGTCTTCGATCTAGACTCGCCCGAGCAACCTCTCAATCCTTATACAGAACCATCCCCCTTTGGATACAAGCACAGTCCGTGACAATTATTCCCCTTACACTTGAACCTCAAATCTCCAAAACACTTTTGCCCCTGCGGGCACGTCTCTGTCCCTGTCTGACAAGTCGCCGCATTCCTGGGGATGCAAATACCAGGAACATCGCATGCCATGCCGCAGCTGTTCGGCTCTCGAGGGTCATCCATGCATATTGACTGCGTATTGCACTCGTGGGGTTTGTCCGTGAGCCCTCCGCACGAGGGGTATGCTATCTCGTTGACGGCGCGGGAGGCTGGATATGCGGCAGCCAAGTTGGCAAGATAGCTTGCCATGATGATTGCGAATTTAGGTAGCATCATGTTGAATTAGCCAACTCTGGTAGGTGTCGTTGTGTTAACAAGATAAAATAAGGTGTTTTCCGATGTCGAATCCAAGTAGAAAGAGTCCAGGCAGCAAGCTTGGGATGGTCAGTATGCGCAAGACGCAGGGGGAGAAAAGAGGTAAGCGGTCGTTGGGCACACACACGAGTGACTCCTTCCTGAATACTAAACTGGCACATTTAGCTTAGAATCACGCGTCAAGTAACACAATAATGGAAGCCTGGCAACCCCATTCAGACTAAGAACATCTTGGTGAAACACTCATCGCCCAAACGCGCCACTCGTACTCTCATCTGTCATTATGGTTTCCGTAGCCCTTTACCCAGCAGCTCCTCTCCAACTTCTTGTATAAGCTGCTCGTTAGGGAAGAGCTTCGTCTTGGCCAATATGGTTCCTTGCGCGTCTAATGCTCTCAAAAGATCAGCCAGCTCACCGCCTAAACTGATGCCGAACACCAGATGGCCCAGAGCAGAGAGCATGCCTTGCAGAGCTTCTACCGACTTGTCCTCCTGCGCGATAGCCTCGAGCAGCGCAGCAGCCAACTCTACTTGATCCTCTTCGGGGAGACCAGCGCTAGAATCTCTGTCTCTTTCTCCACGGCCAGCCAGGGCAATGTTGAAGAGGAGTGATGCCGACGCCACTCGTATATTGTTGTGGGCATCATCTAGGAAACTAGTGGTTACTAGTTGTACGAGCGCAGAACGTAGGCTGGCATGCTGTAGAACTTCGTGCGCAAATAGCGGCGTGGAAAACATGTTGCATGCCATCTGGATTGTTACTAGGCGCAGGGCGTATGGACAAGAGCCTAAACTGTTGACGGAATTCAAGACGGTCTTGATGGTTTTGTGTTCTGCTTCTTCGGAGGAGTAGGCACTCACACGAGGGTCTGACAGCGCGCATCGGAAGAGGTCAATAACTGCGAACAGGACCTCGGGAGGAAGTTGCGAAACCGAGTCCCGGATGCAATCTGACAGCTCCTCAAGTTCAGGAAGAACGGCATCTTGGGGACCTAAGGTACTTCGCGCTTCCAAGAAAGATTTGAGCTTCTGAATCTGCGGTCTTTTGGCAACGTCGCCCATCTTCGCTTCCAACTTCGCCATTGGGGGCACTTTCGAATAGAGAACAGGCCGGGAATTCGGATCGGAGAAGCTGGGTAGTCGTAGATTCTCGTGCGGATGAGATGGATGTGCCGCGTGTACAAGAAGTTGGATGTTATTTCGCAGAGTTGTTTGGCTAGCTCCGCTCCATCTAGTTTCCTCCTTGCCTTTGAGCATGGTAACAAAGGTTGGTGTTGCTCTGACGGAGAAATTGTGCGAAATACTCATGGATTGGGGTTGAGAGACGTCTGCCTTGATAAACGTGACTTGGTTGCCAAACTCTTCCGCCAGCCGGTCATACAGCGGATACATCATCTTGCATGGCGGACAAGTAGCAGAGGTGAAAAACACTATGGCGCATGAGTCTCTTGCGCCGTCCAGCAGGCGCGTGAGCTCGTCTAATGTAGCAACAACCTTGACTCCGTGCGGCCTTGATCCGTTGCTGGAAACCTGAGCACTTTGCTCCAGGCCGAGGATAGATCCGTTTGATCGGCCTGCATTTATTCCTTGAGTCAATTGAGGTAGTAACATGCGGCCCATGGGTGAATCTAATACGGCCTGTGGCATGCTGACAATATGACTGGGAATGCCTTTGCCGACAAGAAAGTTGGCAAAGGAGTCGCTGAAATTGTTGCAATTGTGACGAAAGAGATCATATGCCTGGACAATGCTAGTCAGAAAAAAATGATTGCTACTGCAGCTGTCGTTGTAACCTACCTCTAATGTGAATATAGGCCGCAACGAATCCAGGTACTCCTCGATTATGTCCAACGGCAGATTGGTGGTCCCCAGGTGAATCTTCTCCAATGGCTGACCTAGGTGAGATGACCCCGGTGTGATGGCAATGATGCCGCCATCATAAACGTACTCGCGGCCATTGAGCTGAATTGAGGTGTGGTATATGGCATCGAGTTGGAAGCCTAATAAGCCCATGGACATTTGCCGGGCCAATCCGCGGGAGAGGTCGTATACCAGCAGTTGAACGTCCATGTTTTTGTGTTGGGCCAGATGTCTGGTAGGTAAGTGATCAGGTCTTTCGAATTACTTCTGGTTGGTTAATCTCTATGCATTTTGTTTGACTTTGCGGGTGTCGCGGGAGGCAGCTGCTGATATGAGGGTTTGGAGGCCAGGCAACATCGAGTACGTGAACCGAAGCTTCTGGAGTGGACGTGTCCTCGTTTAGCGCCCAAATCTGGATGCTCCTACTCCGACTCCGATGATTTGAAACTCCAGGCTTGCCATGGTCGTCGCCCCGGGACTGCGTCGTCACGTGCACCGCCCAGAAACACTGCGAAGGCCTGCTTTAACTTGGGCTACACTTTTATTGTCTGGATAAAAAAATCTGACGACTATCGGCGGCCGAGCGTGTAAGAATAAATTAACTTGCAAAGTACGGAGTACGTAGTTTTAGTCTCCAAAGAATGTCTCAGCCACGGCTTTGTTCTGAATGGGTCTGGTAATTCCGCCTCGGCGACTTCGCGCCGCCATACCCTGTCCAGAAATACACCACCCCGCGCAGTGAGTTACTTTACTCGCTGTAAACGCCTATCGGGTACCATCCCCGGCGGCATTCCTTGAAGGGCAGGTCCAGAACATTGAAGCGACATGACTGTCTACTCCCTGCTGGGCCTGCTTCAATGTACTGCGGTCACCGTGGCCAACAAGGTGCGTGGGGATGGCGCCCTAGAGAGTCCAGACAGCGGGGGTACGACTTCCGGGATGAAGACCCTAGTTTCTTCGACTTGGGCAATTTCAAGGAACATTAGAACTCCCTCGATTTCACACGCTATGATTTGTGTAATTTGTTGATTTATTTAGCCACAAACAAGAAAGATGCTTTCTACAGGTCTCTTGCTTGGCGGTCTGGCCAGTCTGGCTGCCGCCCAGTTCCCACCTCCTTCTGAGGGCGTCAAGGTCATCAAATCCAAGCTTCACGAGAACGTGACCATTTCATTCAAAGAGGTGAGACCGGCCCTATCTTCTGTATTTGGATCAATCAAATGGCTAATAACCGCAAACCTTGTAGCCGGGGCTTTGTGAGTCCACACCGGGCGTCAAATCCTACGCTGGCCACGTCCACCTTCCCCCAGGTTTATTGGATGATGGCTCGGGCGAGAAGCAGGATTATCCCGTCAACACGTAAGTTTGTACTGAGAATTGGGCATTTATGCAATGCATTGAATCTCATAATGTTTAGATTCTTTTGGTTTTTTGAGGCTCGTCATGAACCGGAAAATGCTCCGCTGGCCATTTGGCTCAACGGGGGCCCTGGTGGCTCTTCCATGATCGGTCTTTTGGGCGAGAACGGTCCTTGTTTCATTGGTGACGATTCCAAGTCTACAATTCATAATCCTTGGAGCTGGAATAACTATGTCAACATGCTCTACATTGATGAGCCTAATCAAGTCGGCTTCTCATACGACATTCCCACCAATGTGACCGTATACGCTGGCAGTGAAGAGGCCATCATTGTTCCCACCAACTTTTCGACCGAAACACCTCAGACCAACCTTACAACACGAATTGGCACTCTTTCCAGTCAAAAGTTGTCTCACACCACCAACAGCACCCAGCAGGCTGCCCATGCATTGTGGCACTTTGCCCAGACCTTCTTCACTGAATTCCCTCATTACAAGCCGAATGATGACCGAATCAGTATGTGGGCTGAGAGCTACGGCGGCCATTATGGGCCTGGATTCATGCGCTTCTTCCAGCAGCAGAATGAAAAGATTCTCAATGGAACTATTGATGTGGAACACGCACACTATCTTCATCTTGATACTCTGGGCATCGTCAATGGCTACCTTGACGCCGTTATCCAGGAAGAGGCGTCCATCATCTTCCCTTTTAACAATGTAGGCGCAGTCTGGTACCACCAACGACCCGTGGTGTACGGATATACTAACAACCTCATAGACTTATGATATCAAGGCCATCAACAAGACCGTCTATGATGGGCTAATGCACAACTTTACCCGGGAGGGGGGTTGTCGTGACCAAATCATTCAGTGCCAGAAGGAGCTTGTTGGCATCGACAAGAATGCGCTCAGAGTGGCGCGAGACTTCCCCTCAGAACTATGCCCAAAGATGGAAGAAACGTGCGCGATGAGCGGCGAAATGGCTTTCGAAAATAGCAACAATGCTCGTTTCGACATCTCGCACCCCAAGAATGACCCATTCCCGCCTCCACACTACATCGGCTACCTCGCTCAAGAAAAGGCCCTCGGAGCCCTTGGTAGTCCTGTCAACTTTACCATGTCATCACAGACCGTCGCCCTGAACTTTTTCGCCACCTTGGATGAGATTCATGGCGGATTCTTGGACGCAGTTGGCTACCTTCTCGACTCGGGTGTTAAGGTGCATATGATGTATGGAGATCGCGACTTCGCCTGCAACTGGATCGGAGGAGAAATGTCATCTCTTGCCATCCCTTACTCGCGCGCAGAGGACTTCAAGAAGGCTGGGTACACCCCCTTGATTACGTCTGAAGGCGTGGGCGGGCTTACCCGCCAGTTTGGCAACTTCAGCTTTACTCGTGTCTATCAGGCTGGACACATGATCCCCGTGTATCAGCCCGAGGCTGCGTATGAAATCTTCATGCGTGCATTGTTCAACCGTGATATCCCCACTGGCTTGTTGCCTGTACACGACGAGTTGTCGACTGTCGGCCCTCCGGACACCTGGCACGTTAAGCAGGCTGCTCCCAAGGCGCCCGAGCCCAAGTGCTACATCCTGGCGCCTGAGACTTGTACGCCTGAGATTTGGGAGAAGGTGAACAGCGGCAAGGTGACAGTCAGGGACTATTTTGTTGTTGAAGATAAGGAAGTGGGTGATGGGGAGTTGTAAGACGCTGTACTTTTTAATGAGGGAATGATTCCTTTTATCACACGCAGCTATAAAAAAACGACGTTTCAACTTACCAAGAAGACCTCGAGTTGGCATTTCCGCTTGAATGATGATTTCCCAATCTAATTTACTGACCTTCCACATAAAGCGGATCAGCCCTTCAGTGTGTTTCAGAGCGCGGCCGCTACGTTGTATGAGGAAGGCATGAACCAGTCAGTTCATATCCACGATGATGGACAGGAATTGCTGCACTAATTTGAACAAGTGTTGGATGCGTCGCCTCGATATGGATTGGTGCTGGGCAATATTGAATGTTGAAGGCCCTATTCCACTCAACGTCCAGCCTGGTTTACTCAGTGATAAGGAGTCTGACGCGTCACGATGCGTGTACAGACAGTCTACTTTTCTAGACTCTTACTGTCCTTGGCCTGGTACAGCCCAATACTGTTTTAGATTTTACGCTTGCACGATGCTTGTATCATGCGTGTAATTTCATTTGACTACAGAGCGAAACATTAATTAATAAGGAGTCCGGTAATACATAGTATGTAGGGCTTTTTATTAGTTCACATGTTGCTTGGACAAGGGTCGACGCAAACTGGTGGAGTCTGGTTTGTGTCTGCACATTCGCCATCTGGCTGCATATGGACATGTGATTCGTCTACCCACGGCTCCTCTCCCCCCACCCACCCCCCAAGACATTCCAGATCCCCTTTTATCCTTACCCACCATCGTTGCCGTCGTCGACCATCCACATACCCGTCATTGGAAGTGTGGCTGTCATCCCTTTTTCGCCCAGCTATTTTTGTCTTGCGTGGCACTTTTTCCTCCTCTCACCTAGTGATTGACTGCCGTTTTCTCTTCGTTACACTCCCTCCAATACGTCGCCTGCGGCTTACTCTTCCTTAGCTTGCATACGTGCCACTCGTTACACACGTTTCAATCGTTGCATTTTTTGCGTCAAGTTGCTCGCTCTCGCGATTGAAGGGCGAGAGTCAAGACGGACTTGCGTGCCACCAACGCAAATCATCCCTCATGCGAAAGCAGTCGGTCTCGCTGCCGACGAAACACACCGTTCACGACCCTCACGAGAAACCTGATCGATACGGAAACGGTCGTCCTCAGGGTGTTTTTGCGAGGATGAAGGAACAGTGGATGTCACAGTCGCAAAAGACTCGATGGGTCAAGACTGCTGCAATTGTCTTGTCCGTTTGTCTGCTGTTCTACTGGCTGTCACCGAGAGGTGTTGACGTCCGCAGTGAGGGTGCGTATTAGACTATTCTGCGGTAGCAGGAAAGCATTTGCTAACGATATGACTTTTTGCAGCCCCTCACAAGACTGGCCACAAGACCGGCACCACGACGAGCACTACCCCTGAGGTCAACAAACCCAACGATGGCCAGGTACCTACCGACTCATCCTACGGAACCACTCGGTGTGCCAAGTCCTACTCCAAGGATAAGCCGATTGTTCAGTATGTCCTCATGATTGATGCTGGCAGCACCGGCTCCAGAATCCATGTGTACAAGTTCAACAACTGCGGTCCTGTTCCCGAGCTTGAGAGCGAAGAGTTCAAGATGACGGAGAAATCTGTCGGAGGTCTCAGCAAGTACGCCGACGACCCTATCGCCGCCGCCAAATCTCTGGATCCCCTGATGGCTGTCGCCATGGAGAACGTCCCCGAGAAGCTCAAGCGATGCAGCCCCGTCGCCGTCAAGGCCACCGCCGGTTTGCGCAAGGTTGGACCCCAGAAGTCCGACGCTATCCTCAAGCAGGTGCGCGAACACCTTGAGAAAGACTATCCTTTCCCCGTTGTCTCCGATGAAAAAGGTGGCGTTTCTGTCATGGATGGCGCCGATGAGGGTGTCTACGCATGGATCACGACCAACTACCTTCTCGGCAAAATTGGCGGTCCCGATAAGAGTGAGACTGCTGCTGTTTTCGATCTCGGTGGCGGCTCGACTCAGATTGTTTTCCAGCCTACCTTTAAGGAGGCCAAGGCTGGTGGCATGCCTGAGAAGCTTGCCGAGGGCGACCACAAGTTCTCTCTTGACTTTGGCGGCCAGAAGTTCGATCTGTACCAGCATTCTCACCTGGGCTATGGTCTGATGGAGGCCCGCAACGCCATTCACCGGCTCCTTGTAAACGACATGAAGAAGTCCAAGGAAGATGACACCACCTGGCAAACCAAGCCCATCGTACACCCTTGTATTACCCCCGGCCGCACTCGCGAGATCGAAGTCGAATTCGACAAGGATACTAAGAAGACGTACAACTTCACTGGTCCCGCCGAGCCCTCCGCTTCGCACGCCTCACAATGCCGCAGCCTCGCCGAACGAATCCTCGAAAAGGACAAGGAATGTAAGCTCGCTCCCTGCTCGTTCAACGGTGTTCACCAGCCATCTCTCGCAAAGACCTTTGCCAAGGAGGATGTTTATATCTTCTCCTACTTTTACGACCGCACCCAACCCCTCGGCATGCCCGACTCCTTCACCATCCGTGAGCTTCACGACCTAGCACAGACTGTCTGCAAGGGCCAAACGGGCTGGGGCACTTTTGACAGCGTTCCTGGTGCTCTTGAGGAGCTCAAGGGTCGTGAGCAGTACTGTCTAGACTTGAACTTTATGACCGTACTTCTGCATCACGGATACGACATGCCTATTGATAGAGAGGTCAAGATTGCCAAGAAGATTAAGGGCAACGAGCTGGGGTGGTGTCTGGGTGCTAGGTATGTCAAATATCCCTGGGAAGGATACTTTATTTGGTACTAACACTGCGTAGTTTGCCTCTCTTGGAAGCCGGTTCTGGATGGTCATGCAATATCAAGCAAATCTCATAGAAAGAGCTTCGGACACGGCGTTTATGAAGTCTTTTAACGTTTTAATCATTGTGTAATCCTTTTCCAACATGGACCATGGAAGAGTGTGTATGACGTCTTATTTCAAAATCGGGCAGGGGGCTTCAAAGATGAAACGTCATGAGAGAGCCGTTATGATCGCGGCAAGAATCAAGATCATGGGAAATTTTGGTGGTACAGTTGCAAACGAACTGACCGTTGTAAAGAAAAGAGGCGCGACAAGAATCATAGAAATTTCCAATATACCAAGAGGACCGGTCATATCGGTGCCGTCACCATACCTAAAACATCTTCAACCACTTCCTCAGGTCCCATGTCTGCTAATATAGCCGCTACGGCCTCCAACTTGCTGCCCCATTGCATGCTTCGCTCATCCTCTGGAGACGTAATTCGTATCCGGTGTAAATATACCTTCTTGACAGCAAGACCCACAAGTGCAGGTGCCACGAAGTCTACTCCATGAAGGGGGGCAAGACACCGCATCAACTTGTCGAGATGTTTTGTTGCATTGGGAGTTATGCCGTCTGCTACAGCGCGGTGCATGCGTAAGAAGGATACAATATTCATTTGATAACGGGTCACCTCGATGTCAACTTGGACTTGTTGACTGAGTTGTGCGAGATGGCTGATTTCCTGCACGCCCTGTTAGCACCTTGCCCTCAAGAGGAATTTGCGAGGCAAGCCGTACGCTCTCTGGTATCAAGAACGAATTACTATCATTCCGTCGATTCACGCTCTCCGCCGATCCCCGCTCCACCTCGTCTTCCTCGTCGATATTCACAAACCCCTCCTGGTCGGGATCATGCCAATGCGCCAAGGAAAAGAAGTCATTCAAATGTGGTGTAACTCGCTCTCCTTTCCCGGGAGCCTCTGCCTCCAACACGGGTATAAAGATGAACTGCTTGGGGGCAGTCTGCACTGAAGTCCGTGTAAATATGCGTCGTGTACGAAGTAGTTCGAGAGCCTGAATCTGGACAGACTTGGGCGCCAGGTTAAGATTCTTGGCGAGGATGCAGTTTGCGATTTGAGAGCTCGGCAAGAGCGGAGATGCGTGTAGGCTTCGCCGTGGGCCGTGGGCAAAGTAATCTGGTTGTTGGGGTTGTTGGGCGGATTTGGGAGGCAGGAGGAGAGCGGATGCGAAGTCGTCGAGGGTTGTGGAGGGCGTACAGTCAACGATGGAGCAGGTAAGCCCAAATGTACGGGTTGCTACGAGGCAGAGTTCGGTGGTGAGGAGGGATAGAGAGGCGGAGGGAGTGGTTATTATGCCGTGTTCGCGGGAGATGAGACAGAGGAGGAGGGCAAGCTCGAGGTCTGATAGATGGAGGATTTTCGAGACGATGGGTGAGGTGGTGGAGGCCATGGTTGGTGCTATGAATAGTTCATGGCGGTCAGAGGGAGCTTCAATGCCGGCTCAGTGGTATCGTGTGGGCTTTTGGAGGCTGTTGTTGTTCAACGTTGTCGTCAATTCGGGGATTGTAGCAGATTGGCGGATGGTGACGGCTTGATGCAGGCCGGGTTTAGCTAGAGTCAACCGGCGGAAATTCAATGTTGATGTCACTCTGGTGGCGGCACTACCCACTGCATGGGTCACACGGGCTCCATCTGAGGCACCAGCCACCAGCACTGACCAGTTGAGAGCACCTTGGTGGGCAATCAACGGACAAGGAGTCCTTGAGTTGACCTTTACTTACCTGCCTGGGTTGTAACAGGAGCTGACGTTAGACCCCTGTCATTCATAAAAGTAACCGGTGGTTGCAGTCAGTGTGTCTGCTGGTCAGTACTCTGTAGACTCGAGCTACTTGACTGGTCCATCCACCTTCCACCGCCGGCCTCAGCGTCCAGTCGCCGCCTCAAACAACCACTCCTCTACCACTCCTCTCTCACACATTCGCATCAAGTTACCGCCTTGCTGCAGGGTCTCGTGCTCAGCGACGCCTGGCCACTCCGTAAACCTACCCCAACAACTTTATTCCATTGTACCTGCTGCGAAAGGAGCACATCTACTCAACAGCCGCCTACTGCCCAATCGAGACGAGCTCGCGAGCTGCTCTCCCCCCTCGCCGCGTGAGCGCTGAAACGCTCCTCGTCCATCACCTCATTGACGACTCCTACATCCTCACCAGTAGCGTCCATACATCACAACTGCCAACATGTCTTCGCGGAAGAAGGTCCTCCTCAAGGTATGGCCGGATGGGCTCCTTGGTGATGTCGAAGCCTTGGCGTACAGACGGACACTGACGGGGTGCAGGTTATCATCCTTGGAGATAGCGGTGTCGGCAAGACGAGCTTGATGAATCAATATGTTCGACTACCAAACCCCCCGCCCCTTCGGCACAACAACTACACAGAGTATACTGATGGGTAATGGTGGGATACAGGTCAAGAAGAAGTTTAGCGCGAGCTACAAGGCTACCATCGGCGCCGACTTTTTAACACGAGAGGTCATGGTGGATGACAGACAAGTCACAATGCAGGTAGGTTGGGCGAGCTATCATCAGCATCCAGGACCGACAACGTAAATTGCTAATGCGCAATAGCTTTGGGATACTGCTGGACAGGAGCGATTTCAGTCGTTAGGAGTCGCGTTCTACCGTGGTGCTGACTGCTGTGTTCTCGTGTACGACGTCAACAATGCCAAGAGCTTCGAGGCTCTCGACAGCTGGAGGGACGAGTTTCTGATCCAAGCCTCACCACGGGATCCTCCCAACTTTCCATTTGTAAGTTCTGTTTTGGGCGTGGTGTTATGGGACGTTGGCTTACCCTGTGTAGGTTGTTCTCGGAAACAAGATTGATGTGGAGGAGAGCAAACGAGTGGTATGATATGACGACTTCTCCTGTTCTGAATGGGTGAAGCCTAACATGTAGTAGATTTCAAACAAGCGCGCCATGACCTTTTGCCAGTCCAAAGGGGATATCCCGTATTTTGAGACTAGCGCCAAGGAGGCCATCAATATTGACCAGGCTTTCGAGGGTAGGATCCCGCTCCACAAACAAGGGTGATATATGTACTAATGAAAGACAGTCATTGCCCGGAACGCTCTCGCACAAGAAGAGTCGGAGGAGTTTAGCGGCGAATTCGACGACCCTATCAACATCCACATCGACAACGACCGTGATGGTTGTGCCTGTTAAGAGGACATGAATGATATCAATGGGTGGAAGCGCAATGGGGATATGTGTCAGAACGTGTCTAAAGCAGCATATCCGGACCTGAAGAGGGCATCTTGTTTCGCGACTCGTCATGGGTGTGGAACACTGGGTGTCGAAGGTTCATTTTCGTTTTGGGTGTCTCATGAATATTTTCACTTCCCTTTTTTTTGGTCCATTCTCCTGTCTGCTCTGTTGTCTCGTCCTGACTTGTTATGCACTGCTTTTTCGAGTTCGGGGTTTAATTAGGTGTTGCCATCGATTGAAATGTGGAAACCGCTTTCCAGGCTTCACGCATTGCCATAGAGTTGATTAGAATGTATTTATCTCGACAGGTGATAGACGAGGTATGTAGTGCGGGTGACATAGGTCAGTCAATACACCGGGATGTTGACCCAAACGGGAATCAGCTCCATGTCCTCGGCTACAAACTTGGAAAATCATACGAGGGGTCCATGGTGGAATGACTGACGACTAAGTGATGTAAACGGGATCAGAGACGGTTTATAGTGGTGATATCTCGTCCGCAATGTGGCATGATGGCACGGGATATCCTACAGGGTAGCTGGAAACAGACATTAAATGGCTTGGTGCAGACCCGCAATGGCCGAGGCATCTAGCAGAATCCCTGTCAATTCCCCAGACTAGGGGCGGTTCTGGACGGCCTGCTCCGAGTGGCTCGATACTCCTGCGTCCACACCAGCCATACCGAAGTAGCGTTGATGAATAGCCAGAGAACCTCGGCTCCTCTCCCGTTACTTAAGGATGCCAATCCAAGCCGTCTGGTAGCTTTGACAGCCTTTCCCCTGGTCCTGTTTGTTTCCGCTGAGCCCATCTACCATAACCCACTCTACCCCGGGGTTTCCGACTCCTGTCATTCTGATTGACGTCAAGTAGCCTCGTTGCTAGGCTGGCTGTTTTGATACACTTTTACGTTTACTTCACTGTGGTGTGACCCAAGTTGCAGATATGTCTGATAAAATCCCGGCTGTCGTAGGTGCTGCTGTTCATTGGACAAGATCGATTCCACTTCCTCGACTTACGATGCTGACCGATGCAGGTCTCACATTTGGTGAGCGATGAGGCTAAAAGGATGATTGATGTGGTGGCCAAGTTTGTCGAGGAAGAGTGCATCCCGTGAGACCCCAACATGTTACCCATGGTCACGACCACATTTAGCTTCAGCTTTAACTGACTATGCTGCAGGGCTGACCCAGTCTTGGAGGCCCAGGTCGGCCAAGGTGATGATCGGTGGGAAAACCACCCGGCCATCATCGAGGAACTCAAGGAAAAGGCCAAGAAGCTCGGTCTTTGGAACATGTTCCTGCCCAAGGGCCATTACAAGGAATCCCCCGGATGGACTAATCTCGAGTACGGCATCATGGCCGAGTGGCTCGGCCGCTCACGAAGTGCTTCTGAGGCGTGCAACTGCGCTGCTCCCGATACGGGCAACATGGAAGTCCTCGCCAAGTATGGCAACGACGCCCAGAAGCAGCAGTGGCTCAAGCCTCTCATGGATGGCAAAATTCGCTCTGCCTTCCTTATGACGGAGCCCCAGGTTGCTTCGTCAGATGCTACCAACATTGAGTTGGACATCAAGCGCGAGGGCAACGAGTACGTGCTCAACGGACAAAAGTGGTGGTCTAGCGGTGCTGGCGATCCCCGCTGCAAAATCTACATTGTCATGGGCAAGACCGACAAGGCGAATAAGGATCCGTATAGGCAGCAGAGCGTGGTGCTGGTGCCTGCCGATACGCCCGGCATTAAGATTAACAGGATGCTCAAGGTCTACGGGTATGATGATGCGCCTCACGGCCACGGACACTTGACCTTTACCAACGTCAGGGTGCCGGTGGGTAACATGGTGCTTGGAGAGGGGCGAGGTTTCGAGATTATTCAGGGTCGTTTGGGACCCGGCAGAATCCATCACGCCATGAGAAGTATTGGCGCTGTACGTTTTTATATTTCCATTTTCTCCACCCTGCCCTGCCACCCTTGCTTATGAATTTGGGAACTGACGAGCTTTTTAGTCCGAGGTCGCTCTCGACTGGATGCTCATGCGTGTCAACGACGATCGCAAAAAGCCCTTTGGAAAGCTCCTCCGCGAGCACGGCGTCATCCTGGAATGGATTGCCAAGTCCCGCATCGAAATCGATTCTGCGCGTCTAATTGTCCTCAACGCCGCGCACAAGATGGACCTTCTGGGTCCCAAGAAGGCCCTCAAAGAAATCGCCCAGGCCAAGGTCCTCGTCCCCCAGACGGCGCTGACTGTCATTGATCGCGCTGTTCAGTCCTTTGGCGGTGCCGGCGTCTGCCAGGATACACCACTTGCCAACTCGTGGGCTGGGATCCGAACGTTGAGGCTGGCTGATGGCCCTGACGAGGTGCACCTGCAACAGATGGGCCGAAATGAAAACAAGCGTGGCAAGGAGGCGACGCAGAAGATTCAGTGGCAACGGGAGAAGACGGCAGGTTTGATGAAGAAGTACGGCACACAGACGGCCCAGCCGGGTGCCAACATTCGCCACGCCAAGATTTAAAAACAATGAGGATAGTCTAGTATAGGCTCAAAGTGTATCTATGGTCTTGATTGTGAATAAACGGTCTTTATTACAATGTGTGGCGAGCTGTTTGAATGGCCCTGTTCCTACAGAGTCATGCACAGTCGAGGCGGCCTTGAACGGCTAACACGCGGGCAATTCATCCAACTAATGCATGGCAGAACGTGTTTTCCTACTAAACATGAATGCTTTTTGCCAATCGCTGTATTGGCGATGAACCGACCCGGCATTCGTCTGCTATGGCAAAACAAGCAAAGCATATTCAGAGCTCAAATCATGAGCTGTCATTTTCCGCACTTTGGCAACCCTGACAACACTGACTCAACTATCCATGATAAATAATAACCACATCCATCATGCACCAGGCAACTACATGATGCAACGTATAACGCGTTCACAACTGCTCCAATCCACCATGAACTGGTTGGACCACAACGTGCAGCGCACAAAACACACCGCCGTCAGCGAATCAGACTGCCCTTCCCTCCCTGCGGCAAGCTGCGTCTCGCACAAGTCCGTCCCTGGACATGAATTGCTCTGCCGACATGGCCAGCCTGCCCCGTGCGTCTTGTTTTGTGGCGATGGCAAACCGACCAAATGCATCAATGTTACTTCCCATGGGGGATGCTCGGGAACCAATGGCTCCACATGCCACAGCAGCAGCCAGCGATGACTCTTTTGTGGACCACATCGCGTTGCCCTGCCGACGGCCCAAAGATGGACCATCCATTTACTTTCCCAAAGCCCAGCAGCGTGACATCTTAAAGTGCACATCTGATTTTTCCCCAATCCTTGTGCATACAACGCCCGTTATTGTATAACAGGACAGCATCCTGGTCCTGTTCTCTGTTTTGTTTTCTGCTCCGACAACCACATCCCGCGCATAAATCACAATAACGCACCGGTCACCAGGTAAGCTGCCCTCCATCTCGACGTGAATATTTAGATACCGCTGCTCCCGTTGTTATTAACGGCGTTTCTGACAAGTCCGCACGCAGAAACATATTCACGCTGGTCGTTATACATACTTTTTCCCCAACAAGAGCCCCCCTTCGTTTTTCTTCTCCCCTCAAAAGAAAGAAAAGAACAATGTCAGCCGTCCTCGGTGACAAGGACGTCAACGCCGTCATGGACCAGCAAAACGCCGCCAAGGACGTTAAGAGCATGGAGTACCACCGCCAGGTATTCCAGTCCAAGATGGCTGCTGAGACGTACGTTCTTCTTTCTTCGCCCGCCGCCGCCCGTCAGCGACTCGGCCCCCGCGCTCGGCTTGCTGATGCCGCCTCTAGGACCAAGCAATATGTTTCTCCGTCGGATAATATCATGAGCCCTTGTACGGCCAAGATTAACGCTTTGCGAAATAAGCACGCCAGCAAGTAGGTCTTTTTTTTCTTTTCTTTTTGGACCTTGTTTCTCTTATGGCGCGCGGGGCCACGGAATTTTTGTCTTGCTGATGCGATTGGCAGGGCCAAGCCCAAGTCTCTCTTTGCCCAGGCGAGTGTTAAGAAACTCAATGGCGAGAATTCGCTCGGCGCCCGGTCCATCCAGCAGTGATTGAAGCGCTGGACAAACTTGTACATCATTTGTTTTCCGGGTTTTGGTGTGCTTGCTTGTTTTTGCGGGTTTGTATGGACTCTCTGCGGCGCCTGTCCTTTTGATATAGCATAAGGGGAAGAGGAATGCTTGTTGGGGAATGGACTCGGTAAAGGCTGGCGTTATGGAGACAACTTTCATGAACACACATGACGATTTTGGCTTTGATTAGGGACGAGGATATTTCCCTTTTGGTTTGGGCTGATAATGATTCTGTTGAGCGCGATGCGGGTTGGATGAATATGGGGGTTGGCGGGTTGATTATTGGATTGGTTTCGTATTTCTCTCATGATGATCAACTTTGTATCCGTGCTGAAACTCATACTGCGTTTTGTTGTGATTCTGTAGTAGTCCATGCTGGTATTAGTATGGTACTGAGTCGTGTGATTCGGCCTCGGACTGCCAATATTGGCTTCTTGCCGGCGTGTGGGAATATTTTCGCATGAATAGCGCACATGAACATCATACTGCCTGCTGTTTGCCACCCATGTATCCTATTTACGCTCGCCATCCGCTCACAATGTAAACCACATCCTCATCCGCTACCAAGTGTCCTAACCCAACCCTCTGAGGAATATGTCTGGCGCTCGCTCCCCAAACCAACGCATACTTGAAAGTATCCTTCAAGGTGCGATGGATCCGATCACACACATCCTCAATAGTGCTATTACTCCTCACAATCAACGCCTCGCTAAAGTCCGGCTCAACGCCCTTGCGCTTCGTGTATATTCTAATCAGCTTCAGCTCTTTCCAGCATCGATCAATCACATCCTGAATTCCCAGATCTAACTCGCAGCTCATGACGACTGTCTGCGGCTCCCGCGCCAGGCTGTCTAAAAAGTCGAGTGACACGCTGTCAATTTTGTTGTACACATAGAGACACTTGATATATTTGCGGTGGTCCTTCATGATGACGTCGATGAAGTCGTCAACTGTGGCGTTTTCGTCGCGCACGAGCACCTCGCAGTTGAGCATTTTGTAGTCCCGCAGGATGTTGTAGAGCATTTTCTCGTCGAGGTTCTTGGGCGGCGTTTGAAAGGTGATCTTCATGCCGCCGGCTTTTTTGGGCTTCAAGTAGATGTTTCTTGCGTGGCGTTAGACGGTGTGCGTGGGATAGTGCGGGAGGGAATGAAACGTACGGCGGCTCGCGGTTCAACCTGATGCCTACAGACTCTAATTCGGCTTCCAAGAGGGCTCTCTGCTCTGCCTTTTTCGTGGCATCCAGCACCATCAGGATAAGATCACTCGTCTTGGCCGCCGAAATGACTTGACGACCACGACCTTTGCCCTCGGCGGCCCCCTCGATGATTCCGGGCAAATCGAGGAGCTGAATCTCCGCGCCGCCATATTCGAGAACACCAGGGATGGCTGTGAGGGTGGTGAACGCATATGAGGCTACCTCCGATCTCGTCTTGGTGACTTTTGATAAAAAGGTTGATTTACCGACAGACGGGAAACCAACAAGGGAGATGCGCGCGTCGCCGCTTTTGCTGACGTCGAAGCCGGATCCGCCACCGCCGCCAGCTCCCGGGCCGGGTTCCAGTAATTGTGCTCGAAGACGGGCAAGTTTACTGAAGGAACATTAGCAATTTGTTGCAAAGATGGATATTCTAGCGTCTTACGCACCCCTTTAATAGACCCAAGTGATATTCTTTGATCTGTCAACGAATGTCGTCTCGGTGAGTTTGCGCTTCATACCTGTGGCCTTATTTTCTGCGATACGTTAGCATCGCCTCAATAAGAGTAGGATGAGTGGGTTTTCATTCAATATGAGCCAATTGACCAGCTCAAGATCACCAGATGTCAAGTTCGGGGACGTTTTTCAACACACTTACTTTGAGTCCTTCTCATCTCATCCTCAATCCTGCACAGGTCAGCACAGGTCAGCCACTGACGCATGGGGCTACTGACTCCTTGATTTTCTCCGTAATATTGACCATTTTGGTTCCCTTTATTTATAGACGGCGTACCGTCTGCTCAGATGCTCAAAGATGCCGGCTTTTTTTTTTTAAATGATGGATCGAGGTTCGGGCAGATTCGAGGATAGGTGGGGTGTTTACGGTGTATGTCGGGCAGAATTAACTTGGCGGGGCCAGAAAGCATCGCACGTCTTATTCACCGCCTACCAATCCGGGCTGACCGTCGCCCATCACCCAGTACTTTCCACCCAGCCTCGCCCAGGGTCAGGAATCGTCGCGTTCATTTTGCCGCTGCCAAAGAGTCTGCCACCAGCCATTCCGACACGACCAGAACCATGGCGGACCAGGAAGAACACCGGGAGATCGCGCCTGGGAGTGCGACAGACGGCTCAACGGCGGTCACAACTACAGGGGAAAAGAAGATCATCAAGAAGATTATTCGCAAAAAGAAGAAACCCGCAAGAGTGCAGATTGATCCTAGCGAATTCACTTCGGAGGCACCACCACAGACTGGAACCACATACAATATCTGGTTCAACAAGTGGGCGGGCGGAGATCGAGAAGCATACCAGCAGACCAAGGCCAAGGGCCGATGTATCATTGCGACGGACGCCGGCTACACCACAGCTGATAATGTGTCGGGAAGCTATTTCTGCCTTCGATTTGCACGGGGAATCTGCCCGCTGGGACAAGACTGCACAAATTTGCACCGATTACCGGGGACGTTCGACCTTTTCAACCCAAATGTCGACTGCTTTGGCCGCGAAAAGTTCAGCGACTACAGAGATGATATGGGTGGTGTCGGAAGCTTCATGCGCCAGAATAGAACAATTTACGTGGGTCGCATTCATGTGACGGACGATATCGAAGAGATTGTGGCTCGCCATTTTGCGGAATGGGGACAGGTTGAACGAGGTAGGTGATACCCGTCTGCTGCGCAACAGACACACAAAAAAAAGGACTAACTTATAATGTCTGCAGTCCGCGTCTTAAACTCGCGAGGTGTCGCCTTCATCACATACACCAACGAGGCCAACGCCCAATTCGCCAGAGAAGCCATGGCCCACCAGTCCCTAGACCACGATGAGATCCTAAATGTGCGATGGGCCACGGCCGATCCTAACCCCATGGCCCAAGCTCGCGAGGCGAGACGAGTCGAAGAACAGGCTGCTGAAGCTGTTCGCAGAGCGCTTCCTGCGGAGTATGTGGCTGAAATCGAAGGCAAAGGCCCTGACGCCAGGAAGCGGAGACGCATCGAGAGCAGTTACGGCTTGGAAGGGGATGAGGCACCCGACGATGTGCATTTCGCTCGAGGCAAAACCGCAGTCAATCCTGTGGGCCACGAAGGTTTGCAGGTAGAATACCAGCAGCCTTTGATGCTGGAAAATGGCCAGTCGACAGAAGAACCCGAAACCACAACAGCACCACCCCCAGCGCCAGAAACGGCCGGTATATTTTCCAGTTCTACACTGGCAGCACTCAACAAAGCCAAAGTAGCTGTAACGTCGAAGCCCAAGGCGGCGGCTCCTACAGGGCCTCTTGTATCTTATGATAGCGACAGCGATGACGAATAAGGCGTTTGGATTCTCGTCTATTTCTTTCTACGGTGGCTGAAGCAAGGAACATATATAGAAATGTATTTTATACAATAATGATACCAATGTAACAAGACACCATTCCGGTATGGGTTTCCAGCTCCGTCCCAGGTCAACTATTAAAGATCCTCGAGTATAGAACTTCATGGCGTCCAATCCACAAATCCATTACTGGCACACTCTGCCCAGCCTCGTCAACCCTCGTCTCCCACTCCCGATCAATCACTCGCCCGATCCACCTCTGCGCCTGCTCCCCGGCCAACACCTTCTGCGCCTGGTACGGGCCAAACATGCTCGCCCTCACGGCCGCCGACACCAGCGCCTTGAGGTGGCTCACCATGTACATGTACGCCGTCTGGTGGAGCGTCAGCCCTACAATCGCGCAAATTGCACCAAACAGCGGTGCCAGGTGTGCCGAGACGGGCGGCGCTTCACCATCCGCAGAGCCATCCTTGAGCAAGGCCGCGAATTCGCGCAGGACCGGCAAGTCGGCGCTCTTGGGGAGCGTGGCTCTAAACGAGCGCTCCCATATGGACAGGAGGGCCCGGCCCTGCGAGACGCTGGCTCTCCGGCCGACGGTGCAGATGACCGCTGCGTCGAGCTGGTCGTCCAGTTCGATGAGAGAGCAAGGGTCGCGGTGGGCGGCGAGGACAAAGGGCAGCGTTGTGGCGGCGTAGGAGGAGAGCGAGAGCGGAAGGAACGAGGAGAATGTGGCGCGGCGGTTGTGCGCGAGGTATGATTCCAGCCCGCTGCTGAATGCGAATGAGCCAATGGGCAGTTGCGAGTCGGACAGGAGGAGGAGGTAGTGTGTTGGTGAGTTGAGCGGTGCTTTTTGATGTGAGATTTTCTGTTGCTTGTGCCGGCTGATGAGTGAGGCACTTACATTGAAGTGAAGGCTGTGGTGTATCGGATCCCTTTGGTGGTGTGCTTAAACGTGTCTTGGCTGCTGCGAGACGACGCTCCAAGTCGGCTATTTCTTCTTGAAGTATGTCTTGTGAATCTACTGTTTCCTGTTTCGGGTCCATTGGAAGGAGTCCGGTGTGCTTTGTAAAGATAAGAGTCAAGTCTACCTGAAGTCGGAGGTGGGTCAAGATTTGTGGCATCGGCAACGGGCACTAGCAGACGCATCCGATCATGAATACCTGCTAGGGTATATTGATGGAAGAGGCTTAAAAGGTAATGAGCTGCCTAAAAGTACAACAAATTGCTAGAATACGAAAATCCAACCCTTATCCTAAACGCCATGCTCAATTTGCTGGATTTGACAAAAACAAGAGATAATGTATACCGAGTGAGTCTAAGGCCGCACATTCTCCTTGTTGTGGGTGCCACTTTGGTTCCGGAGCCTCTTCTTCTCAGCCATTCTCTTTTGAATTCTTTCGAGAGCGGCTGCTCGTCTTTCCGGTGGCAGTGTGCTCTTTGATGCATTACCCACAAGAGAGCTGTTTATTTGGGCATTTGGTCCCGGGCCTCCTAGTCTGGCAAATCGGTTAGAGAGGAGATCAACCCGAGGATCTACGGCGGATGTCCATCCACTCTGTTCATGATTCGCACTATTGGCCAAAGGAGGCAACTCTGGTGCTATAATCTCCTTGGACTTGTTCAACCTAGTGTGACGATTAACTGCATCTTCTGCAGTATAGGCGCGGTGTCTGGGCGATCGAGGAACAAATGGCTTCCACTTAGATTTGCCGAGACTCCCTCGCTCTGCCGCCTTGGTCGATTCCAAACTCGGAGCCAAAGTAGCATCGTCTACAAATTTTTCGCGCAATGTGCGTGGTTGAGATCGTTTCTTCATCATGTCTAGGGGTTCGTCTAAGCTTCGTCTTTCGGCCGTTTCTACCTTGGCTCGAATAGGTTCGTCTGACTTTGATTCCTTCATTCTTTCTTCGCCAATGCTCTGTGGGTGCCAACTGTGTGGTCTGGCTTGTGTTTGTGCTGGAGCTGTAGACTTGAGAGCCTTCACCTCCTTTTTGAGGTTGGCAATCTTGTTGTGAGCCCGTTCCAGGACCGCCTTGGTGTCGGTTTCGTGAACTTCATTTTCTTTCCTAAATGCCTCGAACTCACTCTTGAGCTGCCGGATCTCTTCATCTTTTCGTCGAGAGTCCTCCTTGGCTGCCTTGAGCAGGGTCCGAAGTTCCTGGGCTCGCGGCCCATTGTTGGTACGTGCTTCCTCCTTTTCGATGACTACTAGTTTCAATTCTGCCTTCTTCAACTGGGTTTTGAGTGTGAATACTTCATCTCGCAATGTGTCTAGTTCTTTCAGCTGGGACCGTGCTCGTCGCAATTCTCGCCGAGTTTCCGTGAGCGTCTTTTGTGTAGCTGCTATAGAAGAATTGGAGGCATATCGGCGGCGGGGCGTCTCAATTCCGGCTCCATTTTCTCGTTGTGTGAGCAACTCTTCCATCTGAGCCTCGAGTTCCTGGACCCGATGACGGTACTGCGCAGCTTGTGATGATTGTTTGGCGAGTTTTGCCAGCATTTCCGCTTGGACCTCCTCTGATTGCTCCGTTCGGTGGGAGGCAATTTGCGATGCATTTTCTGCAATCCTCTTTTCCATTCTGATGACGCGCTGTTGTTCGTCTCGCAATCGTTCGGCAAGTTCAATCGCCTCGGCGTCCTTTTGCTGTGCGTAAGACTTTGCCAGTTGCTTATACTTGAGCAATTTCTCCATCTCAGCTTTCGCCTCTTGGTGGTACTTTAGAAATTCCTCTTTCCAGTACCGACCAGATTGCGAGTGCGGTTCATTAAGGTCCAGCGTAACGTCATGGGGGCCGCAGTCCTCCTCTTCTTCCCACTCATCGTCTGACACGTTGGGTTCGGGCTGTGCAAGTCGTGATTGTGATTCTGCGATTTTGGTCGGGGCGTGGGTTGGAGCCGTTGGTTGGTGTGACTCGGTTGGTTCGTCTTGTTCAGTGATTCTTGTGAGGTTTGTCGTGGGGCCACCTGGCACGTCATGGCCAAAGGAAACACGCTTCCTCTTGGATGTCGCGGTTCCTGGAGTAAGAAGTATACCTTGCGGCTTTGATGGCGTCTCGGATGACCGTGCTGTTGGCTTTCTCGATGCCGCACTTCGGAATCCTCGTCGCTCTTCATTTCGTTTTGACGGCGTGCCAAACAGCGCGCTCTTGAAGGCTCGGGCAGCAAATACGGGGGCCGGTGTGTCTGGCTGATCTATTTGAGTGGTATCTGCATGACATCAATTTGTTAGAGCCTTTGACTGCTGAAGGGGAAAAAACAAACATCGCGGGCATCGAACCTCCGTCATCCGCGTGTGGCGCGTTCTCGCCGCGCTTCAACATCCACCCAAGCATTGCAAAATGCGAATAAGGAATATGGATTTCCAAGAAAAAAAGGAAGCAAAGAGCTATGCCTGCTATTTCTGAATGATGTACACATCCATTGAGCGTCCGCAGTATGGGAGCACAAAGGGGGTGCGTGTGTGAGTTATAGGCGTCTGTTGTTGTTTGTGTTGTTGTTGCGTCGACTGGCTCTATGGCTGCCAGGTGCCATGGCAGGCTTCCATTCCAGGTGGGAACACTAAGGTTTGAGTCTTGATGTGGGTGGGACCCCTGCTTCGCTTCCTGGCAGGATCATCGAAGCACCATGTAGATTCACCAGAAGATTGAAACATTTGAGCATATGCGTGCATAGCTGATTTTACAGTACGCCGCCAATATGGCTGAATCTGGCTGGTGGCGGTTCGAATATTTGAGTCAACCAGGTGGTACATGTACGGAGTAGTAGTAGTATTTCCCGATGCCTGTCCGTCCATGTCTTCAGCCCTGCGGGAAGCTTCAATGTTACAGTAAATGAATGTGCAGCTGCCGTCTGGTCAGTTCAATGTTGACATACCCCGCTATCATGAACGCCTCCTCATAGCGGGTCAACTGGTGCTCTAGTGGCCTTCAGAGAAGACATGGAGCTTTTGCCTTCTAGTTTCTTCACCACCTCAGTTTATAACCATATATTCTATCCACAATCTTCCAAACCGGACCGCCATGGCTTCTTCCGTCTAAAGAGTCGCAGCTTTGCTGTGACATTCCTTTGGACCTCACGCAATCATGGCGTGGCAAGCATCTAGCGCATGGAAGAAGTCCTTGTCCAAGGCAAGCAGCGATGACTCAAGCTTCCCTGGCCTCAAGCCTACGACCCCGGACGCAACGACAAAAATTGAATATGAAGAATTGCAGCAAAATGAGCTGCTGGCTCTTGAAGCCATATATGGAGATGATTTCGTGAAACACAGTGATGTGCACAGCGCATGGAAGGTAAAAAGAACCAATACGCGCACCGACTTTTCAAGTCTCTCCATACTCCATTTTCTGTATGACTTGCACAGAACTGACAGCAGGTTCAGAAGACAGAGCCATCATTCGACATTCGAATCAAAGCATCCATCGATAGCGACTTTGCCGTAACTGTTGGGTTTGTCATGACGGCAACGTACCCCAAAACCCCACCGCTTCTGACTGTCAAAGGCCTCGATGACCTACGCGAATCTACACAGTTCAAGATTCAGAAGTTTGTAGACACCGAACCTCGGGAATTTGCCAAAGATCAACAGGAAATGGTCGACAGGATTGTTGAGGGCATTCGTGACATCCTTGAAGATGCCGCTCAAGTCAAAGCATCCGGCAAACAGCTGCCTTCCCTCGAAGAGGAGCGAGAACGACACGAGGCCAAACTAGCAGAAAAGGCGCGGCGCCAGAAAGAAGATGAGGAACGGAAAAAGATGGAAGAAACCAAGGAGGAGGAGCGCGTCATGTCGGAAATGCTCCAGCAACAGATTGACAGACAAAGACAAAAGGCAAAGGAATCGAGGCTCAGTCGACGGCCTAATGGACTAGAGGGCTTACCCAGCGACAACTCTGCTGCCTCTATTGAGCGAATCGATTTCGATCAGTTTTGTCATGTGAAGAATAAAGAGGGTAATATCCTCAGTTTCAAATCGGTGACGGGTAAATGCGATCCGCGCGAGGGCAAGGTCACTGTTGTATACACTGTCCGACCGGTTCTGGGCAATGGCCAAGGCGACCAAACATTAGCACTAAAGGAAGCCATCCTGCGACCCAACGGGAGGGACCCCAAGGAGTTCAAGAAGCAGCTGCAGTCCGTCGAGTCTAGACTTCAGGAGTTGAAGAATACCAAATCAATTCATCACAACCGTTTAGTCGAAATTTTGGATTTCAAGGTCGAAAGCGGGAAGTCGGATGATGCGGCAGTGGCGAATTTCTGGACTGTCAGAATATTGATGCCAATGGCGGTTAAAGGTTCGCTCGAGGAGCTTCTGGATCTGGCGGGTCATCTCGAACTCGGCAAAGTTCGGTCTTGGACTAGGGACTTGTTAGATGCCTTGAGCTTTTTGCATTCCAAGAATATTGCGCATCAAGACATTCATGCAAATAATGTACTTTTGTTTCGAGAGTCGACGGGCGAGTTTGTCCCTAAGTTGTCGGATTGCTGGTATCAGCGCGAAATTCATAATGCTAGTACCCCAAAGCCAGGACTTCCAGGACTGACTTCTGCAAAGTCAGCATATTGGCTACCACCCGAGATTGCCGGGCAATCCAAGCCACAGTATTCATACAAGACGGATGTGTGGGAGTTTGGCATTGTATTTACACAAATGATATTTGGTCTCGATGTCCTGCAGAAGTATTCGTCGCCGCGAAACCTGATGCAGGAGCTGACACTCTCGCAACCGCTTGAAGAACTAGTCAGTCGATTCTTCAAGGAAGACAAGCAAAAGCGACCTCGGCCATTTGAACTTGGCTCAAGCGAATTTCTGGCTACAGACGCACCAGTCTTCTTAGAGTCTGACTCTTCCAGGGCACTGTCGGCAACGCCGTCTCTGACATCACTTCATGTTGTTCCTGCGAGGCTTAGGCGAGACTCCATGAGTCGTGGGGCAGTTGTTTCTAGATACACTGAGGACTTTGTGGAAGAGGGTCGCCTAGGCAAAGGTGGTTTTGGAGAGGTTGTGAAAGCTCGGAAGAAACTTGATGGGCAAATCTATGCTATCAAAAAGGTCACTCAGCGATCTCACGCCAGTTTGACTGAGATTTTAAAGGAGGTGCGGTTGCTATCACAACTCAGCCATCCAGCTGTGGTCCGCTATTACAATACCTGGGTTGAAGAAGTCCCCGACTCTACTGATACTGAGGGCGACACGTCTACTGAAGGCTGTACCGAGGAGACGGAAGAAACGGTCTCTGATGGCATTGACATCCAGTTTGCGACTAGCACTGGTGGCCTTGACTTCATGTCCTCAAATGCTGCCATCGAGTTTGGATATGATGACGACAGTGATGACAATGCCATCGAGGACGACTCTGATGACGATAGCTCCATCGTCGCAGACCAGGCTGGGAATGGTGTCTTGTCACCTGGGAAAGAACGCGCAGGACAGATACTGAGGCGTGCAAGGCAACACCGTGCATTCCGAACCATTCTTTATATTTCCATGGAATATTGCGAAAAGCGGGTAAGCACATGAACATGCCATTCTTGCTTTCAACGCTTAGAGCTAACTGTTGAGACACTTCGGGACTTGATTTCACGCAACCTGTACAAGGATACATCTGAGATTTGGAGGCTGTTTCGGCAGATTCTGGAAGGGATATCACACATTCATGCCCTTGGTATCGTGCATCGGGACTTGAAGCCTGAAAATGTTTTCATCAGCAGCAGTCTTGAAGGAGTCGATAATGTCAAAATTGGCGATTTTGGTCTAGCCACCAGCGGACAATTTTCGGTCGATAAAGTCGCTGCCAATAGTCTTGAAAACGACAGCATGACTCGAAGTATTGGCACTGCTTACTACTCGGCTCCAGAAGTTCGATCAGCTGGCAATGGGCTTTACAGCGCCAAAGTCGATGTAAGCCATGACGCGCAACACTTTGAGGTTCCAAGGGCTAACCGAGGGCAGATGTACTCGTTGGGTATCATATTTTTCGAAATGTGCTATCATCCCATGATTGGTATGGAAAAGGCAGATGTTATTGGAAAACTACGCCGACCCAAGCCGGAGCTGCCTTCTGATTTCAAGCCAGCTGAGCGGAATCAGACAGACATTGTCTTGTCTCTGGTCAATCACAATCCCAAGGAGAGACCGTCCAGTGCTGATTTATTGAAGAGCGGCAAGCTCCCCGTGCAGATGGAGAGTGAAACTATTCGACGAACCCTTGCAGGTCTAGGCGATCCTAGCTCGCCGTATTATAGCAAGATGTTGTCGACGCTGTTTGCACGACCTTGTGATGCGGCCAAAGACTATGCTTGGGACATGCTTGGTACTCAGCCTAGCGCTAGCGAACTTTTGAATCAGGGCGTGGTCCGGAGCACCCTGATCTCCATCTTTCGACGGCATGGAGCATTAGAAATGCCTCGGACCTCCATCTACCCTCGCTCGAGTCAGTATGGTGAAAATGTCGTTCAGGTCTTGGACCCCAATGGGACTGTTTTGCAGCTGCCTTTTGATTTGACCATGGGCAATGCCAGAATGATTGCAAAACAGACTGGCGGCCCCATATTGCAGCGATCATTCTATTTTAATAACGTGTACCGTGATAAGCTAGATACCGGCCAGCCATCCGTGTTTGGAGAGGTTGACTTTGACATCGTCACAACCGACACACTTGACCTCGCTCTTAAGGAGGCAGAAGTGCTGAAGGTGCTGGACGAAATCGTTCAAGCGTTTCCGTCATTATCAAATGCTCAGATGTGCTTTCAAGTGGGACACTCGGATCTCCTCCAACTCATCTTTGATCACTGTGGAGTTGAGTCTTCGTGTAGACGACAGGCTGCTGAAGCCCTGAGCAAACTGCATGTCCATGGACATACCTGGCAGAAGGTTAGGGCGGAGTTGCGATCTACAACTGTAGGCGTGTCGGCCACAAGCGTGGACGAGCTCCAGCGATTCGATTTTCGAGGTAAGCGGTGAGCCTGCTGATGCAAGAATTAAGACTAATCGCGATTAGATACCCCCAACAAGGCAATTTCAAAGCTCAAGGTGCTGTTTGAGGGCAGTGATTTATACCAAAGGGCGATGCCAACCATGGCCCACCTCAAAGAGGTCGCAGAGTACTGCAAACGATTTGGCGTGATCAGCAAGTTTTACGTTAGTCCCCTCAACAGTTTGAGAGAAAACTTTTTCATGGGTGGAATTATGTTTTCCTGCGTCTATGATAGAAAGACAAGGGACGTGTTTGCTGCAGGTGGCCGATACGATCACCTCATCAAAGAGCAACGCCCGAAAATTGGCGGCAACTTTGAAGAGAGGCATGCCGTTGGGTTTAGTCTCGCCTGGGAACGTCTGGCTCGTGTTCCCAACAAGAGTGGAAGCAAAACGTTTCTCAAGAAGCAGGAGTCGGATTCCAATACGATGTTTTCTGGAAGAAGAGTAAGTGCATTCGATGATGCTTGAGGGGTTTTGTCACAATACTCATCTATGATAGTGCGATGTGCTTGTTGCTTCACTTGACGCAGCTATCCTTCGGTCCACCGGTATCGAAGTTCTCCAGCTTCTTTGGGACCATGACATCAGTGCAGAAATGGCCAAAGATGCGCGTTCTCCCGAAGACTTGTTGTCTAAGCACAGGAACGAGAATTACACATGGATCATTGTGATTAAGCCAGAAGCGATGCTCAAGATCAAAACTATGGGTCGAAAAGATGTGCAAGACGTGGATATTCCGCTTGGCCAGCTAATGGCCTGGCTTCGACCTGAACTCAAGGAGCGCGATTCCCGGGCTCTCGCAAAACTCAGAGGCAATGTGTCACACGGCAGTGAATCTAGTGGGACTCATAATAGCGATCGAAATCAAGATCAGGACGTCAAGGTTCTCGTTGCTGGTACCAAGAGCAAGAAGTTCAATCGCAGGACCGTGATGGACCAGGCTCAGGTCAGTGCGAGTAACTTGATGCGAAGCTACCTGGATGGACCGATCTTGGCTATCGAGACTACGGACCAGGTCATGGATCTTCTCCGAGAAACAAGACTTTCCGAGCACGAGAGCTGGAAGAGTGTGGAACATGCAGTGACCATGACGGAGAAGAAGTATATTCGGGAACTCCACTCACAGCTCGACACCTGGCGGTCGACGTATGAGATGAAGAACATCTCTAAGCATGCATTCATATACAACTTTCGCACTGGTACCTGTGTGTACTATGATTTGAGTGCATAAGATGGCTTGTTTGAAGGGCCTTTCGGCAAGGAGTTGGCGGTAGTAGGGCAGTACTTCTGGAAAGGGGGATATTGTCGGTTGGCATGAGCGAGTGTTGGTAGAGGGACTTTGCGCAGCGGTTTGCAGCATGGTATATGTGACTTGAAAGCACAGCTGCTATATAGCATTGATTAACATAGGAGCTTCGAACAATACTATCTTCCAAAGGAGTTTGCACACACGCGCAAATGATGAAAGGATGAGAGGTTGCAAAGAGGACCTGCACCGTACAACGATCAAGTCTATTGTCTCTCGGGGACGCCGGACCGACCCGATCATACTTTTTGATGTAGGGCTCTATCCAATCACAACCTCTCACGTTTCGTTTGGGCTATGATGGAACGAACCGGAAGGATGCACTCCTGTAGGAGGATGTACACGACTCATGCCTGTTCACGTAATGGTGAGATGAAATGTGAGAGGCGGGTGAAAATTAACGCAGTCTTGCTCGTACATATTTACAAGAATGGCACAGCTTTTATGAATGTCTCAGGCCAGCACGGGAATATCATTCAATGTGTCTTTGTGTTTGGGCCATTGGTGAATTTGGGGTTCAATGATGGCAGCTGGATTGGATGGTGGCATCAAATGACACAGAAATTATGTTGTCTGTACTCCGTACTTTCGGGGAGAGAACTGGCTCTGCACAAGGGCACAAATAACTAAAGTCTGGTACTAGACTGGTACTTGGCAGACGGTGGGGCCTGACCCGGCTGGCCGGAACCTCGAGGCTCGATGTACCTGTTGACGCCGTATCGCTCACAAATGGTTTGCTGAACCCGAATGGCGTGGAGAGTCGGTCTTGGGCCATCTTTGGGCGCCTTGTTGATGATGCTGATGTATCTCACCGAATGACTGTTTGTTGCTGGGTATCGATACATCTGGCTTTGGCTCAAGACCCGGCAACCTGGAGATATTTGAAGCGCTCGAGGCAAATGCCTGGGGGGTGTGGAGTACTAGTACGTACTTTTAACGGTCTGGTGGAAGCGAGGCGCCTGAGCAACTGACTTTCGGGAGGCTTGAATGGACCAGACTTGGAGCATCCATGTCAATGATTCGAGGCGGCAGTGACATCTGCTGGAGTCCGACGGCGCATGTGGCGGCCACCTGATGCGCTGGTTGACCACCTGGGCACTTGGAAGTGATCATTGACTTCTGTCCCGCCTTGCCCGACTTCGTCATCTTAAATTAAACAGAACCGCAAGCCGTTCCCAAAAGCACATGAATAGTCGCCCAACAAGGCACAGCCCTTTGTTTCGCGCATCTCCCTTTGCTTCAAGCCTTTGCACTCATTCCTTCGGCATCCCTTTCACACATACCCTCGGACCATCCATCGCCCCTTATAAAAAGCGCCCCTGCCTCAGCCATTTTGGGCCTTCATACTCCCGTACTTCATACTTGACCTTATCACACTGCTTGGCCCACCTAGACTCCGACCCGAATCCCGATAACACTCTTCATTCTGGTCCCGGACGGTTAGCAACCATGGCTCAAAGGCGTTTGATGCAGGAGTTGCAGGCTCTTGAGAAGGAGAAATGGGTAACTATTGAGGTACGAGGCGGTGGAACATTAGTCATGATTCTTCCAGAAGGGCGACACTGACTTTGGGCAGACTGACGAGACCAATCTTCTACGTTGGAAGATCGGGCTTTGGGTTGTGAACCCCGACAGCATCTGGCATGGCGCCTATCTCCGCGTACGTGTTTGCATTCTAGATGACATGGGTCACGATGGGGAATGCATCACCCAACTGACAAATCCTTATACAGGCCGATATGCGTTTCCCTACCGAATATCCCTATCAACCACCGACCTTTAAATTCCTTACCAAGAACATCTGCCATCCGAATGTCTACGCAGACGGTCACCTGTGCATCTCCATTCTCCATAGACCAGGCGACGACGAACAATCGGGCGAGTCGGCGAGCGAGAGATGGAACGTGCTCCACGGCGTCGAGTCCGTCCTTCGATCAGTCCTTCTACTGATGGATGATCCTGAAATCAACTCCCCTGCCAACGTTGACGCCAGCGTTCTTTACCGCGATAAGCGGCAGGAGTACAACTCTCGTGCCAAAGAAGTTGTCGACCGCACTCAGAAAGACATCCCATCCGGTGCCCGAATGCCGACAGCCACCGACCTAGCCCCTACACTGGTCAAGCCCGTCGAGGACGATGCCGACTTCTGGAACATGTCTGATGAAGAGGAAGACTTTGGAGGCAGCGACAGCGAGGAGGACATGGGTGATTTTGAGGAGGAAGACGACGACGACGATGAAGATGACGAAGAAGACGATGCAAAGTGAAGATCATGTATTGGGGCGAAATCATCACGATTCACTCAACATGGTTGTTTCTATAGCATAGCGGGGTTTCAATTTATCGCATGGCGTTTTCGTAACATGGCATAGGAGGCCATGGATTATGCGCAGGTACACAGGCAGAAGGGCCAAGGATCAGGAGCGTATCATTTCATATTTGGACACTGGACCGTCAATTCCGCATGGTTCCGTCCCCAACGGGATCGCTCTGGATATGGGCTTCGGGGCGTATGGTGACTTGGGGGTTTGATTATGTGGTTGGCATTAGCATTTGGGTGCATTTTGCCTTTTGATAGATAGCGTTAGAAAGCCGTAGAAATGGCACGCACGACTGAAGTTACGTCTGACATTTGTCCCCGTTTCGTGCAACTCTTTGTTGATTCGTGTATGGTGATGGGGCGTGTGGTTAAAGGTCTAACTGTTAAGCAAGGCTTTTTTCTTGGTTTATTTTTAATACAAATCATAATAATACAAGCATGATGCAAGCCTCATGCAAGCATTACATCTAGGAATATAATATTCAGCCGTATCAAGCCAAAGAACCATAAAAGACCACCGAATACACCACATATACACGTATCGCCCTGCGTCAGACACTAGCAAGATTGGTTATTTGTCGCGGCGCGCCGTCTAAAGCTATCTCGCGATAGCCTCAATTATCAACTACGTGGAAGTAAACTCGAACCCACGCATAGTTTGTGCCGGTGACTCACTCGGAAAACCCATAATAGCCACACACCGGTCTGACCGTTAATATCCTTTGTTTTAACGCACCATGGGCACAGCATGTCACGATGGCATCGCAGGCGGCCCGCTTCAGTGTAAGTCGGCATGTGCATATTCAGGCACGTGTGCTTCTCATTACATGGAGCGAATCCGCGCAAGTCGGCGCGTCTCGGGCACTTTTTTCCCCTGCCCAACGTCGTACCGGCCTTACGCTTTTGACATGAAGCCGCGCGTGTCCCACCGCAATCCAACTGGAGAGCGGCCATGGGGCGAAGCGGCCGTTTCCGGATCGGGGTCTTTGCGGAACTATTCGTCTCTGAGATTGTGGAAGAGACAGAACATAGGGGGCTTGTCGTTTTCAGGGGTCTTTGGACATGTTGGAGATTTTGTAAGGTTGGTTGGTATGCGTTTGTCGCCATGTCAGAGCTGAGGAAAGTGGGTTGAGGCGCGAATGTGTTGCGATTAGAGCAAACAGGAGTCTTGGCCGGTCTCATTGACGTACTTTGGACGTCGTGAAGAAGGGATTCGAGGCCTGTTTTGGGGGACGGGGAATGTTTTGTATGGTAGATGGGAGTTGATGTGTCTGGACCAGTTAGCATGGAAATACACCGCTTGAAATATCCAATATGATGCATGTCTGACCAACGCAACAGCTTAAATCGGGACTTTTCACCAAGCATTGATATCAAATCAGGAGTTTAGATGCTGTAGTTTCACTCTGGTGTCATGTGCTGCTAACAAAAGTACTTATACACCAACATGGAAGTCCAACATACAAGTCTGACGGCAAAGCAACCCCCTGCCGTCTTTCCTTTACAAGGCTACCACGTACTACAGCCGTAGGTTTCCGTAACCATTCTTCGTGCTATAGTATTCAGTGCGACTGCCAGTACGACCAGTCTCTGTTTCCATAGGAGATGATCCGTACCATGCAGAATCGATGTCCATAGGAACAGTGGGTTGTCCGATCCAGCCAAGGCTGTTGAGATTTTAAGCTCTTCCCATTCGTAAGTTGTAGCTGTCGGCTGTCGATTGACAGCACCGCTCAATTGTGTCTATAGATTTGTCAACAGAGTTGTGCTAGTTGAAAAGGCGATGAGGAGGCTGACCAGTCTTCAATGAGAGATTGATATGGTGATTTTCGTGAAGGGGCCGAATAACCTCCTTGACCCAAACACGACATCAATTGATGTCCACTGGGCTTCACCCCGTGGCAGATAATTGCGGTCCATAAGCCGCACGCTCAATACCGTGCGGCCCAGGGCCTGGATCGAAGGAGCATTGGCAATCGTGAGGCAAACAACCAGGGACTTGGATTTTCTGGGATCAGAAACCTTTCGGACCTCCTTGTAGAGGTCCAACTCTGTACGCCCAGTATCCATCGCATGCAAAAGATAGCCACTTGGTGGTGGTGCTCTGCCGGTGGCGTACAGAGGCCAATCCTACGTTGGACCACTGTGAGAACACGTGAGAGAAGTGAAGAAGGAAAGTAGTTATTCTTACGTATTTGTTGACTTTATTGACGGTACGGAGGTACTGAACTGTGATGTCGAGGGTAAATGGGGTACTGTTGGCGTCCATTTGGTTTAACAAGAGTCTGATGGCATACAATGGTAGATTTCAATTTGAAACGAAGAAAAGAGTAAACGCTGTGAAGTCGAACTGATGGTGAGGCAGAAAGCCATTGAGTGAGAATATTGATTATTTATGTCTCTCCCTCTTCTCTCGCAAAGAGAAATTTTCCATGTATTGCATAGCGTTGTCACTGACGCCAGGGTTTCTTTACGCGCTGGACAAGGTCCAGTGTGCAATGACAGCCAACATTGAAGATTAGCTGGTGTGAGTCGTGTTATTTATAGTCTCAAGCAAGGAAAGGAGCAGTGGCCTCATGCGATGTTGGACAAGGTACCATCAAGATTTCCTGGAGTGAAAGCCTCGGCAGACGACCAACAACCTGACGTCGGTTGATGTACTCCGTAGGCCTCTCATGTCCAACGATTGGCTTTGCCGCCGGCCTGGTGCGGCCACAGATGGTCATCAGACGTGGCCGTCTACATATATACCCATCCAACAGCAGTTGGTCGCAGTTGCATACTTGAGCCGCCATTTAGGTTTCAATCGCATATTGTGACGCTGTCTGAATATAGTACTGCTCTGGAGGGAATATGACCACCAGACGGCATCGAGGTTGTCCAGCGCAGCCAATCAGGCATGTGGGATTGCCGCCGTCTGAATACAGAGCAACTTGGGGGAAACGGAAAGGGGGCGGCGGCGGGGGTCGCACGGCCCGTTGGTGCATCCACTTACTTAGTTGACATGTTGACCGGTATGGCAAGTTGCCAATTGGAATTGGATTAAAATGCCGTTCAGTGTTGCGGCACAACTTCCTTCCATCAATGTCATCCGTTAGTCCATCACTTCTTAGTTCTTGCCCCATCGTCATCGCCCGGCGGCTGCCGAGTATGTTCAACGCCAAATAGTGTGGTAGTTTTTGGGTCCCTCTTATCGTCCCTATTCTACCAGTTCCATCTAAATGGGCAAGTGCCGACGTGAGTTTGACACGTACCAACCAGAGTAAACTCGTCGCGTATCGGAGCCGAGCCATCAAACAAGCCGGTATACCTGCGTGGCCCTGTAAATGTCGGGCTACATCAACAAGCGTGATTTAAATGTAATCATATAATCCAATATAAGAGCATGGGCCATGACTCGCGAAATCACACTCGAGCAGGTTACAGAATAACTACCCCATACACATGTCCATATGTGTTCAGCGCCATCTTGGTTGTCGCTCTAGGGTAGCCACCGTGGCGGGTCCCTCTCACCTTCCAATTCTTGGCACTGGGGCGGCCCTACGTCAGCGCTGTTTGTACAGTGCTTCGAGTCCGGGAATCAATTGATGCATTCAATGTTGCTGCCGCCCTAGCGAGCACTCGCTTCTAGAACAAAGCTCAGGTGCTGTCTGCTGTCTCAACCTTGTTCTTCTTCATATTCGTCTCCACCACAAGGCAACTCCAGCATATTCCTCCAACACCGACTTCGCCGCTACCCGTCGCCAACATGGCTTCAATGGCACCGTCGGAGGAGCAGATCTCGCAAGTCATTGACTTTGCAGGTCTCAATCCCCACGATGACCGAACCATGGTTATTCAGGCGCTCAAGGTCCGTTTGCCAGCCGCATCATGCTTCTGCTCAGCACCGCGGCTCCTACTTTGCGTTCTGCCAGAGCATTTGGCTTCCATGCCCAAGCTCCTAGAACCAGCTCGGCTAACTGGAACCTATCTATGACAGGACACTGGCGGCAATGTCGAGGCGGTTGTTATGCAGTATTTTGATAATCCCGAGTCGGTACGCAACGGGTTGTAGCTGCTCTGGGCGGGCTGTGTGCTCGCAGAGAGTCAACGCTGACTTTTGGCTGTAGTTTCGACAAAAATTTACGAGTGTATGGGACGAGAGCCTATTCCAAGCGGATAGGGATGGCACCGTCAACCCTGCAGGTATTTGTATGCTACTTGATTCCCACTATTTGGGACCGGTTTCGAATCCCGCAATGCTAATCCTTACTGCTATGCAGCATTTCATATCGAGTCGATAAACAAGAACGATGGTATTAAGAGCAACACCCCGCCGCTAGAAGGATATGGGCCTATGGCACCGTCGCGACCCCCATCGAGATCAAACGGCCGGTCGCCACTGGGTAGAATGGTGGACTGGGCGGCAGGAGATACGCCGGGTGAGTGCCTCGCGTGGAATTCCATCATCGCTAGTGGGATGCTAATCATGCTTGCATAAACAGCGGGATCGGCCGCACCGTCCACCAGAGAAGACGAAGATATGCAAAGGGCACTTAGAGAGTCTGCCCAGGAAGCTGGCATTGCATTGCCAGAACAGCAATCCGGCCTCATGAGTACACAGTCAACGTCAACTCCCTACTTCGGCCCCGCGAACCGAAACGACTATGATCAGGGTAGCTGGGCTATGGTCCCGGCCGGGCCCTCAGAATCTCAAGTGCCCTCCGCCCCTGCGCCGTCATTACGAAAACGGATGACTGGAGCACCAGCTTTCTTGGTCCAAGGCATAAGCACAGTGGGCAACCATGGACTTGGCGGTCTTCTTACTGTACTACACCAGATTCCTTTGGCAAGGAATGCTTTGCTAGAGACTGGTGCACCTGCTGCATCGTATGGATTCAACAGCGAGTGGTGGAAGGGCCAGGAGATCTTACCAACACACGCACTTGCACGACTGCAAGCAGGAGATCTCCAATGGGGAAACCAGGATGAGAGTAAACCTGATGTAGAAGAAGAAATTCATCGACTTATGGCATTCTTGGACTCAACAGAACGAAGTTATGGAAGCGTCAGTGTCCTCACGGACCTGATTCCGTATCCTAGCTTGGGGCCCGAGAAGCAATTTTACGAGTACCTGGGACCAAAGAATGAGGAAAAGCTGAAGCCACTGATACACTCAGCCGCGCTTTCTACTGTGTTCGGTGACGACCTGGGTGACGAAGAGGCTAAATTTGGACTCTTGGAGATGGAGCATTTGCGCAGCGACTACACGTACATCAAGACTGTTTACGAGTCATTAGATCACACCATGTGGAGCGACGTTTTGTCCTGGAACGAGCTACACGAAGGGTCAAAGATGGCCATGTTCACAGAGATGGGTGAAGTTCTGGCTATCAAAATTAATGGTGATGGACCACAGGACTCTATTGATATCCCTGAAAAGTTGTACTTGGAAAAGTACCAAACAAACCGCAAGGATGAGGCTCGGCGTATCCAGATGTCATGGTGCGACACCAAGAATGCCATCATGCAAATCGCAAAAGAAGAACAGCAGCTATTCGAGTGGCGCAATGACTGGGACCATCAAATGATGGACAAAAAACAAATGATAGAAAAGGCTAGGAATCAGTGGCAGGTATATAGCGACTACCTGCTCGGGCTGGGCAAGTTTCGAGGCATGGTGGCATCTGGCTTTGATACGGACAGTTATCCAGACTACCGAAAGGCTCCTTGTGAACTGAGCGAGAGCGAAAATAGCGCATTGGGGAGAGTCGATGAGGTGTTGCAGACGCTTCTCCGCATGCTCACTGATATTGATAAGAGGTTAAGTTGTAAGTTTGTTTGTGAATTGTGGGTGTTGGAATGTTGTTTGCTGACGTGTGTAGCCCTCAACTCACAGATGGAACAAATCATGTCCAAGCAAAGGTTCCTTGGCCGGCTTCTCACACAACCCGAGAAACAAAATAGACCACGGCCTATGACGTGTAAAGAATTTCTTCTCCGGGGAGTGGTAACACCGTCAGACGTTACCTATGTCTGCCAACGAGCTGAACCGGATCTGATAGAATTGGGGGAGCAGCCCAAACAATTGGACCAGTGGTGGCGGTTGGCCTACGCCCCGAATGGGGAGCAACCAGTACAGGCTGAGGTATGACGCTTTGCCCGTTAGTTAGACACGCCTTGTGCTGACCGGATGCCTTGCAGAAAGTAGAGATTGAACGTGTGCTACGGGATGTCTGGCAAGAAACCAAGACACCATTGATGGTTTACGCAACTGAGACAGCCTTGAATGCTGTACGAGCGCCTTTGACAGCACCACTACAACGGTTCGCAACGGCTGAAAATAAGGCGTTCCGCCAAGAACTTCATCATGAAGCCACCCAAGCGGCAGACGCAGAAGCTGGCGAAGGGAAGAAAACGCCAGGATCAGGGCCGATAGATCCCATTTCACCATCCAAGAGAAAGCATCGGGCAGATAGTGTTGATTCCATGGATAGCAATCGCGCATCGATAGGAAGTGATGATGCCCAAAACGGATTTGATAATCCATTTGAGGATGGACAGACGTCAACAGCCACTATGACAGCATCAGCCACGCCTGTTACAACGACAGCTAATGAGACGCACCCGGACTTGGACACGGAAGCAACAGAAGTGAGGATGGTGGCAGCGGCATCAACTGTGGAACAGTGACGGATGATGAACGAGGGGTGAGGTCAAACACATGACGACCAATGAGGAGCCCCCCCACAAGGTGATAGATACTTCTAGAAACTTCCATTACCCAAGGCAGTATACCCAGCGATACGAGACACTCTACAGGATACATGATAGCGTTAAAGAATTCAATTCATTGATGGCATTGGAAAGGGTAAAATTATGCGCCATGGGTTTTTTTTTCTCAAACCATTCATGATAGAAGCTTATTTTACGGTACTGTCTAAGAAGTGTATTTTAGTGTTGCCATGAGCCGTAGCCTGCATGGTGCAGCGCAGCATGTCAATGAGCTGACTGTTGCTCCACGAGTGTACGGAGCACCAGCCGTAGCAAATACCGATAGGTCATCCGCGTCGTGTGAGTACTGTGTGCGGTGACCCCGCCTCGCCTTCCCATTCGTAGTTTGTTCCAGCCGCACCGAAGCACCGCCATTCATGTACGGGTGTCCGTCCGTGGCAGCGACTTGCACAAAGGCAGAACCCGTGCCTGAACTCCGCGTCTATTGTCGTGTCTGCGCACTATTATCTGTCTACTTAAGTAGTGGACACTGATAGAGCTGCTTGGTCTAGTTTGGGTTCGTACATACAATGGCAAAATATGTACCCAGGTACTTGGCTCAAGCTCCAGGACGGTCAGCTAATATTTCCCCACTTTGCGTCATAGTCAGAGCCTGTTCAGAAGCTTTGTTGGTCAACTGGTGGCTGCGGACATGGAAATCTGCCGCTGCCGCTGGCGCCGCTGGTCGCTGAAATGCGGATACACCTGAAAGAAGCTCCCAGAAGGCTCCCCCACTCTCTTCCCACTCTTCCTCCCAGGTGCCACTGTGCCAGGCCACTTCATTCTCGCTCCCGCAACCAACTTCTCCCTTTCAATCAAGTCGTGCATCTCCTTTCTTCTCCCTTCTATTCCGCTCAGAGACACTGAGGTAGGAATTTGACGAATCAAAAGCAATCAACTCGCATCCAAAAAAACAAGAGAAGAAATCCTACGATAACAATATCTGGTGGCATGTGGTACAAAGTCTAAAGTCTTAAAGAAGAACCCAGAGCAAGGCCATTGATCGACACGCAACATGGTCAAGGAAACGAAGCTTTACGATACCTTGGTAGTCAAGCCAGAGGCTACTCAAGACGAGATTAAAAAGGCTTATAGGTATGCATCATTTCTTTCTGGTGATTCGGGGCTTCACGTTGCCAACGGATTGTCGGTGTGCTGCAATTGAGCTTGGCGCTCGATCTGGTGACATACCAGTGGCAACACCATTGGTGACGAAGCTCGACCTCTATTTTTCTCTGCATCAATCGAATAATAAACCTGCTAACACATCTCTATAGAAAAGTAGCCTTGAAATGGCACCCCGACAAAAATAAGGGCAGCCCCGATGCGGCGGAAAAGTTCAAGGAGTGCTCACAGGCCTACGAGATCCTTTCGGACCCCGAGAAGCGTAAGGTCTATGACCAATATGGTCTCGAATTCCTTCTGAGGGGAGGAGGTGCCCCTCCTCCCGAAGGTGCTGGGGGCTTCCCTGGCGGCATGCCTGGTGGAGGCTTTGACGGATTCGATTTTGGAAGCGGAGGCATGCCTGGTGGAGGCACCCGGACTTTCCACTTCAGCACGGGTAGCGGCCCCGGCGACGGATTCAACTTCAACAATCCAAACGATATATTCGCTGAATTTATGCGGCAACAGAGCGGGGGCATGCACGGTGACGAGGACATGCCGGGTATCTTCTCGTCGTTTGGCAGCGGCGGCGGTAGCCGTTCCGGCCGCACAAGAATGAGATCGTCGGGTTTTGGTGAAGCACGACAACGTGAGCATACACCAGAAATTTCGACAGTGGAGCGGCCTCTACCATTGTCCTTGGAAGAGTTGTATAATGGAGTCACCAAAAAGATGAAGATTAAGCGCAAGACGTTCGACGAGACCGGCAAGCGGGTCCAGACAGACCAGATTTTGGAAGTTCCCATCAAGCCGGGCCTGAAGAAGGGTTCGAAAATCAAGTTCAACGGCGTGGGAGATCAGGTCGAAGGAGGTCGACAAGATTTACATTTCATCGTGGAGGAGGTAAGAGCAATTTCCTTTCCAATCACATTTCTGCGACGGTTGATAACTAACTGTTTGATAGAAGGAGCATGTCCTCTTCAAGCGAGAAGATAACGACCTTATCCACACCGTGGTTCTGGACCTCAAGGAAGCCCTCACTGGGTGGAAGAGAACCGTCACCACCATCGAAGGCAAGCAAATCAACCTGGACAAGAGTGGGCCAACGCAACCTGGAAGCGAAGATCGGTACCCCGGTCTGGGCATGCCCATCTCCAAGAAGCCCGGTCAGCGGGGTGACTTTGTGATCAGGTACAAGGTCAACTTCCCTTCGAGTTTGACGGCGGCTCAGAAGCAGCAGTTGAGGGAAATTTTGTAAGGAGCAGTGGGCGATGACTATGAAGCGGAAGCGTGTTTGGAAACCAGCGGGCTGTAGTGTTATACTGCTGAGCGGTTTTGACGATTATGACGACACAAGATGCAGAGAAAAAAAATACTGTGGGATATGTGGCGTTATAAGGATTGGTATACTTTAATGTATTTTTTATTTGTTGGCCAAGTCTGCATTTCAGGGTCGCATGCATAGCAGGATTGCATTTGGGCAAGTCACCTGTACGACGGTAGATAATAATCAAGGTTCTTGGCATGCATTGTAAGTGAGATTGCGAGGAGCGATTCGACTGCAAGAAACACTGATGGTGAGTGACAGAAGATTCTGGTGCGTACCCCAGAACGGGCCGATTTGTTGAAGAATGCGGGTGATTTCCTGATTGTTGACCCACCAGGCTGCATACCGATACGAAAATAAAATGTGCGTTTATCGCTTCTAGACAGCGAGTTATGATACCAAATTTGATGCACCATATGTCGAAAACAAGAGACGGCCAGGCGAGAACGCTCATCATAGAATGCCGGCACGGGAAGGGCCGGTAATAATACTTGAAGACACCCGCGCAACAATGGACAAGGGTCAATCGTCGATGACGCCAGGGGCGGCGGGCGAGGATGGAGGGGGCGGGGTGCTGATGTTTCCCCTCCAATCGCACCAGGGCCAATCTGGCAACCAGCTGGATCTCGGGTTGCCTTGGCTTGCGTGTGCTGCGGACAACAACGCCCGGCTGAAATTGAGGTATTTTCGTGCACGTGTAGTTGACGACCCGGCTTGGCTAGAATCTGCCTGCTTCAAGCTGAGTGCCACGTTGTATGTGACCACGGCTTGTGATATCGGGCAGGAGTGACAGGAGGCTGGCTTGCCTTAGTTGAACAAGATCCCCACCCTTTCTCCCCCCCTTGGGATGGTAGCCAACTTGAGTCTGTAAAATAAAACTACTGCTACTTGCTCTGCGCCGTGGCCGATTTTCATCTTTCGTCGTGCTTTTCCAGCGCATAGTGGTATAATTTTTTTGTTTTTTTCATCCTCTGGCCCCGATTGTTTCATCTTGCTTCGGCAAACAGATTTTTTGTACTCGAGACTTTAGCGTGCAAATATCACCCAAAATGTCCAAGGTGTGCTCCCTCAGCCCGGGCGCCTCTCCCAAATACAAATGCTGATTTGCAGATCAACACCCTCCTCTTCGACTGTGACAACACCCTCGTCCTCTCGGAGGAACTCGCCTTCGAGGCATGTGCCGGCCTCATCAACCAGATCTGCGCGGAGCGCGGCGTCAAGAAGGAGTTCACCGGCGAATCTCTCATTGTAGAGTTTGTTGGCCAGAACTTCCGCGGCATGCTGACCACTCTCCAGAAGGAGAACGGTATTGAAATCGCTCCAGATGACATGGAGAAGTACGTCCGTATGGAGGAGGATGCCGTCATTGCCAAGCTCAAGGCCTCGCTGCGGCCGTGCCCTGGCGTGGATGAGCAGCTGGAGAAGCTGGTTGCCTCCAAGAAGTACCTCCTTGCAGTTGTTTCGTCTTCTGCATTTCGCCGTGTCAAGGCATCTGTGGACAAGGTTGGCCAGGACAAGTACTTTAAGAACGAAAAGGGCGAGGATCTGATTTACTCTGCCGCTACAAGCCTGGAGAAGCCTACGAGCAAGCCTGACCCGGCTATCTATCTGCACGCGTTGAAGACGCTGGGCAAGACGGCTGGAGAGGCTGTGGCGATTGAGGATAGCAAGAGCGGTACGCTGAGTGCTACAAGGGCTGGCATCAAGACCATTGGGTACGTTGGGCCGTATGCGGATGATAAGAAGGCCGAGATGGAGAAGGTCTTGACTGATGCGGGCGCGGTGATTATTATGCGGGACTGGAAGGAATTCCCGGCCGCTCTGGAAAAAATCGAGTCTGGGGCTCTGTAAGCATAGAGGTGGTATTTGGAATGCGGCGTGTTGGCCGGCCTGCTGGGATATTACACACGCCCTTGACTTTGGAGCTGAAGAATAGTTTAGGTCAATGATGGCTGGGCCATGTGCCTGGCCAATTTTACGTCTGGCACAAATCAAATGTAATTCACAACATGTTCACGCCTAGCAGCCGCGCAGTCGTGTTCATTTGATGCATCATTTCGTCCAATCCATCAAGAAACTATTCACGCTCTGCAGCGTCTGTCTACTAGGATTCGCCTCCGGGTAGGCCGTCATGATTCTTGCCAGTCTCATCTTGACCAGTGTCTTTGTGAACCTGGCAGTCTCGTCCGGCACGCGGAACTGTCCCTCGTCATCGAACAAGTAGCACGACAGAGCGAGCGCCGCGCCCACAGAGGTATCCTTGCCCGACTCGCAAGCTACCGTCACCCTGGCCTGCGGATCCCTCTGCAGGCACGCCGACGCAAAGTCGCATATATACGGCAGCGCGGTCCTCAGGTTCCTGCTGGCCGTCTTGTGCCTGCCCAGCCCGACCTCCATGGACGCAGCGGACTTGGCCCACTGGTCCCTGGGCGTGGTCGCGCTCGTCAGCGAGATGCAGCAGCCGGCGCCTGGCGGCGGGGGCAGCGCGCACACGGATATCTGCGGCGTCAGGCGGGTCGTCGGGTTGTTGTCGGGCGCGGATGCCGGCGTCGCCTGTGCCGCCGGGGACGGGGACAGGGACAGGGACGCGATGAGGCCCGGCAGATCTGGCTCCGGCGTGGACAGGAGGAGGTCCCGGTTGGCCCAGAAGGCGGCGGGCGTCAGGCCGTGCGCCCAGTTTTCCGTGTCGTCGGCCGCGCCTTGGATGTAGCCGTTGGAGTCGATCTCGCTGGACGACGTGTTGCGGCGGGAGGCGGTGAGGCAAATCACCGGCCTGTAGGAGGCGTATATGGTGCCGGGGGCTGTTTGGTCTTGGGCTTCTGCGGAGGGCTCGGGGGGCAGGGCGTGCGTTTCGGGGCCGAGCGCCGAGTTTTGCGTGACCCAGAATGGGCGCAGCGGTTTCGTTATCTTGGGCAGATCCTGGAGGTGGAGGGCTTTGAAGGAGGCGACGAACTGCGGGACGAGGGCGGTGATTTGGGCGTGCGTGGTGGGCAGGAGGTGTGGCGGGAGGAAGAGCTGGGAGGAGCGCGGGTGCGAGGGCAGCAGGACGGTGTTGAGGACGGTGCACCAGATTGGAATTGTGGTCGAGAGGGCGTCGGGCATTCCTGGTGTTGTTGTTAGATGGAGGATGTGGTGAGATTGGGATGGTGGTGGTGGTTGTGTGTACGCTTGCCCCGTCTCGTAGAATCGACAATGATTATCCTGACTAGATTAGCTTGGTTTGTCTGGGGAAAGGGGCAATGAGATGGTGTAGCGTATCCATTACCCGTCGTGCTTCTCAATCATGTCGAGTAGATGGAGGTTGAGCCTCCGGGTGCTAAACTTCCACGCCCGCTCATGGCCATCGGTGCTCTTGAAGTACGCAGAGGCGTACTTGTCCCCGGGCGGGATGTACCAGCTTCCGCAGCGTTCGTTGGCAACCAAGGGGCGCGGAGCTCGTTCCTGGGTTTCCTGGTTCGCGTTATTATTTGACGGCGGCTGCTTGAGTGCCTCGGCGGCTTGGTGGACGAATTCGGCGTCAGAGACTATGGACGTGAGGCGGTTGTGGATGCTGAGGGTGGAGCGTTTGAGGGATGTGAGGAGTGTGGACAGGGATGGCTGCGAGGGGAATACTATGTCGTTTATGTTTATGGTGTTGGGGTTCGTCATTGTGGTTGATGGGCGTGGAGTTTGAGTCTTGAGTCGGTCTCTCGAGGTTGAAATTTCGTGTTTGAATTTGGATCCACAATTTCATCACTTACACACCCCAGCTCATGCTTGGGTTTCTTTTTCGATGCCATCATGATGTGAACCAGAATAAGGAGTATATATATTTTTGATGAAAAAAATAAATAAATTAGCTAGCAGCTACATTCTACATCAGCTTCCAAGTATTCCCCTCGACAACGATGCCAATTTCCCTCCCCTCGTCGATACTCCGCCTGCCAGCCTCCAGAATGGCCGTCGTGGCAATCGTGTTGCCGAGGGTCGGTAAGCCCTTTGAATCCAAATCCTCGGGCTTCAGCCGTCCCTCATTGACGGCCGTGCACCCGTCCACAAACTTCTCGAGCGAAATGTACCCATAGCCGGTCTGGCCGTTGAAGTTGCCGTCCTCGTCGGGCGCATAGCGCATGTAGAAAGGGTTGAACCACTGAATCTGACCAGCGGCGTCGTCGGCAACGTCGTAGCCGCGGTGAGCCTGGTCTACGCGGATCTCGCCATTGGACGCCAGATAGTGAAAGTACTGGTTTGTGTGGACGCCGGCACGCTCGGGTGCCGTCCACGAAGACGTGTACACGGCGACGGCGCGCTTGGACGGGTCGCCCGTCTTGGCCCAGGTGACGAGCAGGGAGATGGTGTCTTCTGTCTTGGCGACGCAGCCCAAGTCCGTGGCCACTCCCTTGGACGACGAGGCCGACACCTTGACGGGCAGATAGCCCAGCTGCTGGACCATGGAGTCGCAGATGTCGATGTGGTGGCTGTTGAGGTAGTACGAGATGTCCGACTCCCGGCCTGCCCATGACTTGAACGTTTCGAGCTGGTACTTGGGCTGCGACATGTAGCTGTAGAAGTAGTTGAAGTCGCCGAGCGTCTTGGCCTTGAACCGGGCGTCCGAGTAGGCCGGGTCGAAGCGCTTGTGGTGCTCGATAAAGACGTAGACGCCCTTTTCGCGGGCGCGCCGCAACAGGTCCTGGTGATGGGAGAGCTCCTTGACGGCGGGCTTGGTGAGAAGCACATGGATGCCGCGCTCGATGGCGTACAGAGCAATGGGATAGTGCGTCGGGTCGGGGGTGAATACGGTGATGGCGTCGCCGGGGGAGAGACGGTCAATGGCCGTCTTGTAGGCGTCTGGATCCTTTTGGTCGTTGGCCGGGAAGCTGTCGAAAGAGGTGTCGAGCCCGTTGTAGACTTGGGTGATATTCTTGTCCAAGTGCTGGCCTGGAGGTTGTCACATGAGCTTCCACAGCTTGAGGAAAATGGAGTTTGGTATAAAAATGAGACGTACGAATGGCGGGAAACTTGGAGCCGTTGACGCCAACCATGCCCAGCTTGTCGACTTTGCCGCGACGACGCAAATCAAACAGCGTGAGGCCTACGACGCCAACTTTCTTGTCCGAACCTGACGCTCCTGTGCCCACAAAGCCCGTGGTGTATTCGCCGGTGCCAATCTAGCCTTGTAAGCTGGGGAGGAATTTCCAATGAGGGCTGGGGAAAGTGTTGTCGTACCATTAAAACATTTAGAGGTGCCATTTTGAAGACTGTCAGCTATTGGGAGAGAGAGGGACGTGGTATCTTGAAACCGGCGAAATAAAATATAAAGGCAGACAAACAAGCAGCTGCGAGTGAGGGAAAATAGCAAAATGCGAAGTAGATGGATGAACTGGCAGCGCCGTGTTGAAGACTGTGACCAAGTACGAGTAGGATGTGCGAGCGTTGCGACTTGAGAGTCTGCGACACTGTGGAGCTATGTACTTTACCCCAGCTTAAGCTATCCGATGGCTAATGAGTGAACGCGGGGCATTGACCAGCGGCAACAGCTCTGACATGCCGCTCATCGCGGCAATTGACCGTGTCCTCTGATTGGTGGAACATTATTCCGTCGTGTATTTATCCTCCATAGCCGTCGTCTCGTCTGCGACATCGGCTCTCGGTGTCTCAGCGCGCGAGATGCGTCTGTGCCAGAGGACTACATCGGAGAGCATGAGCGGGTTCAAGGGTTTTAATATTCAAGTGTAAAAGGTCGCCTGATGCTGAATGCATTTACCCGCAGTCCTGCAGCTGACCCCGAGTCGACCTGGAGTAGCTTGGTGCTTCGGCCCCGCCCCGCGCTCGCCCGAGATGCCGTCCAGGTACGTACGTACACTTGACGGAATATTGGACCCCTCAATGCCCCTCTGTGGCTATTTGTGACAATGTTCCGTCGGGTGAACAAGTTATAAACCGACGCGGCTGCTACTTGCTTCCCACCGCTAACTGTTTGATTTTATGCTTTATTTTATTTCCAATATCACCTGCCGCTTAGTCCTGTATTCTGTAGAGTATTGAGTTTTCATCAATCGCGTAGAGTATACTCGAAATGCCGGCAAGACGCTCTTTACCCGTGGGCATATACGCCCCAACCATGACCTTCTTCGACCCTGAAACCGAAGATGTCGACATCCCGACCATTAAGAAGCACGCCCAGCGCCTTATCCGCGATGGCCTGGTTGGCCTCGTCACCATGGGCTCAAACGGTGAAGCCGTCCACTGCACCAGAGAAGAGAAGCTAGCCGTCACAAAGGCCACCCGCGAGGCCCTCGACGAGGCTGGCTTCACCTCGACGCCCATCATTCTGGGTGCCACCGAAGGCAGCGTTAGAGGGACAGTCGAATTGAGCAAGCTGGCTGCGGAAGCCGGTGCCGACTACACCCTCTTGCTGCCCCCGTCTTATTACCGCGCCCAGATTGATGAGGAGTCCATCGTCGACTTTTTCACTGCCGTGGCTGACGCCAGTCCTCTCCCCGTCATCATCTACAACTACCCCGGCGCCGTGTCCGGAATTGACCTGGACAGCGACGTCCTCATAAAGCTGGGGCAGCATCCCAATATTGTCGGCACAAAGTTCACTTGCGGCAACACCGGAAAGTTGACCCGTGTGGCCCTCGGCACCAACGCCAGGACCCCCTTCCAGGAGGGCTCAGGATACATGGCCTTTGGCGGCATGTGCGACTTCACCCTTCAGACTCTGGCTAGCGGCGGTAGCGGCATCATTGCCGGTGGCGCCAATGTCATGCCCAAGGTCTGCGCTCGTGTGTGGAACTTGTATGCGGAGGGGAAGAAGGACGAAGCCCAGGCCCTGCAGAAGATTCTGAGCCGTGGTGATTGGCCTCTGACTAAGGCTGCTATTGCCGGGACGAAGCAGGCGATTCAGATGCATTTCGGCTATGGAGGGTACCCGCGGCGGCCGTTGAAGCGATTGGACGAGGCCAGACTAAAGGCCATTGAGGAGGGTATTCGGGAGGTGATGGAGATTGAAAAGACGTTGTAAACCTTTGCAGTAGCAACAAAAGATGGGCTTGCCAGCCGTCACCGTTTATTGTGCTATGCCTGTCAAGCGGTCCGCCCAGACGCTGATACTTTCGGCATTCTCATGAAATGATGAACTGTCGCTTTGTTCACGAAAGTAGTTTCGCATATCTTGAACAGTCTTGCCTTGTAGAACCGTCAACATGTCCAGAAACACGCACCCGAGCGACCATATGTCAGCGGCCGTGTTTCTCCTTTCCACGCGAACCACTTCGGGAGCGGCATAGATGACCGTCTTGCCCGAGTCTGCACCTCACGGAATGTAGGAGAGTATGAAATGAAAGCGGGAATAAGGCTGATGAAGAAGATAGCTAGTGTGCAGAGACGAGCACCCCGTGCATGCTCAGCCGCACAACCCACGCCCATGCAGGCTGATGTTCCAGACCACAGGGGCAGAATCGCCGTGGGCAGACTATTCCACATACACATTCCTTGTTCTGGACGTGGGTGTCCCAAAAAAAAGTGACGTTGAGTTCTCAATTCTGTCCGAAATGGCAGACCCTCCAAGTGTCGCCGGTCTGGCGCTGAGCATTGCCTCGCTTACATTCGAGCTATTCTCGGGTTGGGAGAAAAGGACAAGAGAGTCGAGAGCCGGTTCTGACAGCCGGTAGCGTACAAGCCCCTGTTAGAAGCAAACAATATGCCTGGAGAATACCGCCATTTACTCGTTCGCCTGCAGATGGAAAAGGGCAAGCTTCTCGGTTGGGCTGTTTTGGCGAGGGTATCAGAGAGTGAGGAATCGCTTCATCACGCTCCTTGATGAAGCAGACATACTATCCATAATGAATTTCGCGGAATGCAGATAGTGCTGCTGGATATTTCCAAGCCGTCAATCTCGGTGGTCTGTCGGACCAGTCAGACAACACCTGGCCAACGAGCCATGCGCATGACAGGATTCAAGGCTTATCAACCTTGCAATCGAGACCGATAAACCCCTAGATGGCCAGAATGTGATCCAGGACGGCGCATTGTTGGACTATTCCAATCTAAATCTCGTGCTGCACCCTTCACAAGCAGATGACCAAGACCAGCCACCCAGGTCGCTGGGGACTTTTGCACAAACGCCTGTCTGGATCGAATGGAGATACTACCAGCCCCTGCGCCGGCATCGATCCAGAGACGCATCTCCAAGATGGCCCAGCCGTTGTGCGACCCCGAGAGACCCCGCGAATTCGATATCCCAACTTGTTTAGGGTTTGTCCAAGATGGGAAACAGAACCCGAGTCGAAGGAGGATCTATCAGTGCCAATGTGCCTCTCCGATGCCCCGAGCACGATGATGAAACCGTCGTTGACCACCAGGGTCCAGATGGCATCTCCATTCAGCTCAATGGCTTCACAAGGGACTTCGAAGTGAGCATATCGTGTTTAGTGATGGTGAGTGTGGGCTTATCTCACCAGCATTGTGCGGCTTCGACTACCCACGGCCAGCGGACCGGGACGAGACAACCGAGAGACCATTGGAGAATCCGTGGTTCGACCTGTACCGCCATCCCAAGACGCAGTCCACCGTGCCGCGAGAAGGGCGAAATGATTCCAAAAATCGTACAATGTCTACAGTTTGGGGTTGTCCTGTACGAGCTCGCAGTGTGGAAGCCGATTCATATCGTGTTCGGGCTGGATCGGAAGCAACGGCCCAGGGCTCCGGCGGCGAAGGGTGTCAAGACACAACTTCTATCCCACAAGGCATATCCACACTTAAATCAGAGGCTGGTGACGTGTTTGCGGGCATTGTCAAGTTTTGTCCATCTGCTGAGGCGGTTGACGACCAGACTTTGCAGCTGGAGTTTTGGGAGAACGTGGTGACGGTATTTGACGGTATCTTGGTATAGTCATTGCTGTTGTCTAGGAGATGCCACGGCATCGTCGTTTAAAGTAGGCATTATGATCTCAATTATCATCATATTAACTAACCTCAACGAAGCCCATTTGTGCATGTTAACCCTTTAATATACATATGCTTTGCGATATCGTACCCGCACTGCCCAAGAATGATTGACGGACTTGAATATTACTCATATCCTGCCCCCCGTTTCCATGGACTGATTGCTGGTGTTAGCGGGCATAGATTCAACTAGGTCCGGTGGAAACTCACCTTGAGTTGTTTACCTGCCGGTAAGACGGCGGTGCGCCTCCATACGGTCCAACGCTGGGAGTAGGAGACGGGGTTCGGAATGGACTTTGCTCCCTGCTGGACGGGAACAGCGGCATAGACGGGTTTACCGGTGAAGACGGGCTAGCGGATCGGTTGCCGCCATGCATCGGATGAAGATGCCCGTCATCTTCCAAGTCCAGCTGCGCCTTGTATCCTCCTTTGTCACCACGGGCCGTGGCAGCCAAGGCGTCCAGTTCGGTGGTGGTTGTCAGATGAGTCTGTGATCGCATAAACGAAGCACGATCATCAGCCATGTACTGATAGCGCGCGTCTGGATTTTTCCGGAAGAAGGTAAAGATCGTAGAAATAATGACCATAAGTAGCAGAATCAATGAAAACGCAGCATTAAGAACGAAAAATACAACACCCACGGCGCCAATAACAATACCAGGTGCACCGAAAACGTCAGAGAAGATCAGCAAGCAAATTGCATTTACAAAATTTACCGCGTAGATGCCGATATTGAACGAATTGGTCGACTTATCCATCCAGGGACGCAGGACAGCACATGCAATAAGAGCAGCTAGTTCAAGGATGAGGAAGCCGATTGCCTGTGCGAGGCCAGCCTTTTGCGCAAAGGCGACAAACATGGCCTTGATTAGGATATAACCGAGGACCGGGACAATAAAGTAATAGGCCGACGCACGGAATTGGATATATAGAAATCCCCATTTGTTTAAGGCTTGCGGATCAGAGAAGAGGATATAGGCCGGATTTCTATGCATGGCAATTGACCGACGCGCAATTCGAATGACCTTACTAGAACCCCAACCGAGAATGATGGAAACAGCGGCAAAGAAGACCACGGCCAAGATTGCCAATGCTGGCGAATCGATTTGCGTCAGTTCCCACAGGCAAAGAATGGCAATCTGCGGGTATCCAATAAGGCACACGCGGAACATGATGCCCTTGAGAATAATGCGCCAGCCGTTCCGAAATTCCAGAAACTTGTCCTTGGATACGAGACCTCTTGATGCAAATAACTCGAGAATCCCCTTGAATGCAACAACACCAATGGCGGTGACGATGACGAACAAGGAGAACCAGACTAGACCCGTGAGAAAGAGGTTAGTCGACTCAATTTTGGCTCGGAATGCCACACGTTGGATGCCAAAGACCAGGTAGGAGCCCGAATCATTTGTGATGTTTCCTGCACGCTTCAGGATGAGCGCCGCCGTACTAGACACACTTTCGGGAAGCATGGAGAGACCACGTTTAGCGAGTGACTCGGCGGCTTCGGCTACGTCTAGACCACGTTTCTCAACCTGAACAGAGATGGTCCTCAGAGTAGAAAAGAGGCTTGACGGCGTCCCACCGGTGGCACGTTGGTACCAAGTAAATATCTTCTGCATCCAGCTAACGTGGATGATTCCCATGGACCACTGAAAGTTTTGGGTCCAGGCTTGCACGATCGGAGGGAGGCGGAGGCCAGTCAGTCCAACAATGGCCTGGGCCTGAAAGTACCCAAATAAGGAGAGCGAATTAGCAGCAACATGAGCAGCAGTGTTTAGATGGCCCAGTCCGCTCACGGCCGCGGACGACAAGAGGGCCAAGCCGGCGATGATGGCCGTCGCCGACTTGACGCCCTTGAGATCGACGGTTTTCCCGTTGGAAATCCTAGCCTCGACACAGGCGATTTGATCCTTGGTGTCAATCAGATTCATCTTTACGCGTACCATCGCGTCCAAATCGGGAATGCCAAAGGCAATGCCGGGGACGTCCTTGGTGCTTTCGGCAGGGACAGGAATGGTCCAGGTAAACTTGGTCTTGCCCGCCACCATGGGGCAGATACCCTCCAATCCCTTCTTCCCGCATGGATTAAAGTCGGTTTCGATGATTTTCAGACCATAGACCAGAACGACCACGTGAAATGAGACTTTTCCCTGTACGGAGGAAGTGGCGACTACATCGATAGTTGCAGAGTTGTTGGATGGTGTGTATACGACGTTGAAAAGGCTGGCCTCGAACTTGGAGTTGGTTTGGCAGCTGTTGAGTGAATTTGATATGAGCATCTTTTCGCCCGAGGCCAGTGATGGGAGAGCCACAATGGCCGCCATAATATTCGCTAACGATCGAAAGAGTCTCATTTTGGCGGTGTTTTGATCGGGGCGAGTCGGTGAATGGGAGAAAGACTAGCTTGGCCGAGCCAACTAGGAAGTGCGAATGCAGATCGACAGCGTCGACGGCGGATGGTTTTAAGAAGTCGCCGTCATGTATGCTTGCCCAGGGGGGTTTAAAATAATAGGCTCCAACTTGATCGTGTTTGGAAGGAATTCCGGGGTTGACTGAACGATATGGTCGTCGTGCGATGCCCGGGCGGGAAGATAGCTGGGCTTGATAGGGGCTCTAGATGGAAACAAAAGGGCAATCAACGAAATGTATGTATGAAGCAAAATATGCAAAGGAATGACTGTCGCGGTATATGCCTGCAAATGACCAAGGTAGCGTATGCCGTGGGATCAAGAAAGAAGACACGCGCACGAGGGGAAAATGCGAAACAAAAGGTTAAAGTGACAAACATGCAAGGCTATGTCAATCCGGAGGGATCCCAAGGGCACGACCTGGGTGGCCCCTGCGCCTCTCCGTTGGCTGGCAAGTTGGCCTTCTGTCTTTCTTCATGTGGTCAAGCCAATTCGTATTCTATTGGCGTGACGAATCATGGATCCCTGCAGTCTTGGCGCTTGCGCCTCAGGGGTAATGGACATCTGGAGTGCAGTTCCACTGGTATTTCCTGGCATGATTTTTTACGGAGGCCATTCCAGCCAGTGAGGATGAGCAAAAGGATGATTGGGTCACTGGTCCTCTGGCTGTGGTGCAAGTCTGTTGCCGTGCCAGGCGTACTTGACGATTTGCATCCAGATGCCGTCTCTTCGCAGCCTGGCCGTGGCCCGGCGACTGCCGACGGGCATCAATTGATGGCTCTAGGGAGGCTTGATGGTGGCGACAGCATTCAATGTTCCCTCGAGTGGGTGGCTTGGCGCTAACTAGCCATGGTTTGGTTTGTCACCACCGCCCATGTGTTGTGATTCTTGAAGCAGGCTCAGAATCTTGTCCATGTCCTGTCAACTATCGTGGCCAAAGACAAAGCAACTGTGAGTGGCAAAACTCTTCCTAGTGATCATCATGAATCGCCTCTCCGAGATCCGATCCCATTCCAAGGTTGGGGGGCTTTTGTAAAGCAGCCTTCAAAAACAGCAAGGAAAACATAAGTGCTTAGATGTTGACTGTTTGAGAAGCGACTTGATGTGCATAGCTCGCACTCATCGCCAGCCATGTCGCAGTCTTTTTTAAGCCTTTTAACGTCTAAAGGTGCGTTATGGCTCGACATCTTATTTGGCAAATGTGTCTGCCAAATTTTGGGAGGGATAGGATGAGGGCTGCGAGCTAAATGCCTGTCTCCTAGTCCATCTTTCCCCATTGCATGTAACATCTTGCGGTTGATAGCTGATGCATGCTTGTAGATTGGTGTTGGGCCACACTGGGTGATATCCCAGAATCCATACGCTGTTGGTTCCATAATGTGAAATAATAGCAACTAGGAGAAGGGTGGTAGTGATGCCAGTGATGACGAAATTTCCGTACCAGCGCCTCGCTATAATTTTAAATAGTATTGCTATCATTGAGCAGCTTGTTTCATGCGCCTTTTCTACCCCATTCCATCTGAATAGTCAGTAATAGGCTCACTGGCAGGCAGAACAAATCACTTGTGCCGGACTAAGTCTAACTTGTATCGAGGATTAGACAGAGGATGCTCAACTATGATGCAGTTCATTCTCTGAAAAATAGAGATGTGAGGCCTGCTAGCTAAGTCGAGGAGAGAGAAGAGGGCTGACGAAAGGCTGTACACGCACTGCATTGCCTTCAAACGACGTGCAGCCCAGAGCTATGTGAACCAGTCCGTGGAGATTTTGAGAACATTGTGCAATAAAGAGAGAAGGTATTGGGTATTGACCAATGAAGTACACTTTTTGTTACTGGTGGTTCCTCCCCCTGTGTGTATAGTCAAGCTCAGACATTCACTCTCCAAATCCCGTCTTAGGGTGTGCTTGCTTGATACGGAGGGGTGAAAGGTGGTTGACCTATTCCGAGACATGTTCCGCGGTGCTTGGATCCGTTCAATATTTCTAATATAGCAGCTTAGAGGATAAGTAGAACCAGCGACTTCAATGTTGTCATGTAGAGCAATTAATGATGGCTTGCATCAGCCTCGCAAGATATGAAGTCAGGGGGCTGCGCTTGTAGTCTCCAGAAATCTCTTTCCTTTACAGTGATGAATCGCATTGGTTGACCTTGACTTTTGCGGCGTAGGTAGTAATAAAAAATAAAAAATCAACAAGGGTATCTGCTAGACGTGCGGGATTCGAATGCCGGCGTAAAAGCCGGGGAACACAAAAGACGAAAAAAAAAAGATGTGCCACCTATTCCTCGTCCAAGCTATGGTCGTTCAATCAAACCATGACGCCAGGAAGTCGTCGGACCAGTTGGCACAGAGGAGCGGGGTAAAAATACTCCTTAACCGCATCTACCAGAGCTGTCTGGTGTCTTGGTGCCTGAACCAAGCAGTGTCTGCCTCGTCCCCCACATGTCAACTCGCTGCGACCCCATCACCTCTCGCATGAAACCATCGCCCTCCATCAACACCTGAATAGACTGTATATAAGCCGATTTCTTTGCCTTGTAGAAAAATGGTAGAGAATGGCCCAAGTAAAATGTGCGTTCTTCCGGTCTCGGCAAGCATCAATGGATCTGATTGGAGCTGGCCGGAACTAACTCGTCTAGTCCCGTCAGTGACTGCATCTACGGAGTACAAGAACTTAATTGGCTCAAAGTTCTCTTAGTTTCAGTGGTCCTAGATAGAGCGTTGGCCTTGGCCTTGGCCTTGTACTGTATTGACTCTAGTTTCTAGGCCAGCTGCCATCTATATAATCCGCAGAACCACCGACATCCCTCCTATTTCTCATCCTCCATTCATCCCCAAGTCATCGAAGCTCGCCGGCTGTGTGCTGATCTGCCGTCTGACGCCCTAAGCGATAGCAACCATGGCTGGGACCCGCGGTGGCGGTTCAAGCCGCCCTGACGAAGAGGCAGCTCATGCTGGCAGCTCCGAGCGCACGCCGTTGCTCAAGCCGAATGACGACGTGAATGATCGTGCCGACACGCCCGTCACCGAGGCCCCCCAACAAAATGATTCCGGCGTCCCTGGCCATCAAGACGAGGAGCAGACCGTCCTGGCGAAGGAGGAGTCATTTGGTAGACTGGCGCTCATCATGGGCACCACTTGGGTCGGCGTGTTTCTGGGTGCCATCGACTCTACCATCATTGCCACCTTGTCTGCACCTATTGCCAGTGAATTCAGGTCGCTGAGCCTAATGTCATGGCTTGCCACGGCGTATCTCATCTCCAACGCTGCTTGCCAACCTATTTCCGGCCGGCTGACGGATATTTTCGGCCGCGGCCCAGGTCTCGTCTTCAGTAACGTCTTCTTTGCACTGGGAAACTTGATCTGCGGGCTGGCTCGGGACGAAAAGGCCATGATACTGGGCCGTGTCGTTGCTGGCATCGGCGGCGGCGGCCTCATGAGCATTTCTACCTTTTTAGGGTCCGACTTGATCCCGTTGCGTAAAAGAGGCGTCGTCCAGGGCATTGGCAATATTTGCTATGGCTCGGGTGCCATGTTGGGCGGTGTTTTCGGCGGCTTGATCAATGATCACACCAAGCTTGGATGGCGACTTGCGTTCCTGATCCAAGTCCCGCCGGTATTATTGTCCGCCGTGGCCGTCCACTTCTTGGTTACCGTGCCGCCCAAGCAATCTGACAAGTCGTACTTGGCGCGTATCGACTTTCTCGGCGTCTTCTTGACATCGTCGTTTCTTATTCTGCTGCTTTTAGGTTTAAACTCGGGAGGAAACCAGGTTCCATGGACGCACCCGCTGCCTTTGACAACTATTCCGTTATCCCTGGTGGCATTTGTCAGTTTCTTGTGGTGGGAGAGTCGTGCCCGTCAGCCCATCATTCCTGTTAGGCTGCTGATGACGCGGACCGTGTTGGCGGCATGCTTTACCAACCTGCTTGGCACAATGGTAGTCCTTACTCTCATCTTCTACCTACCAATGTACTTGCAGGTGTTGGGGGAATCAGCCACAGATGCTGGTCTGAGAATCTTACCCTCACCTATTGGTGTGTCGATTTCATCGGTTCTATCTGGCTATATTATGAAGCGCACGGGGCGATTCGTCGCAGTCGGTATCGCCAGCATGGTCCTGATCGGTACCGGTATCGTGTTGCTGACACTTATGGGCCGCGATCCGTCTGTCTGGCTTAGCAGCTCTGCCTTCTTCCTCGTCGGCGGCGGCTATGGTGCTATGCTCACAACAACCTTGCTCGCCTGTATTGCGGCTGTGGATCACTCGCAACAAGCGGTCGTTACTTCTGCGACTTGTAGGTTTCGCGCCAAGTGCTTCGTCGAGTTGCCCGTTGCTAACAAGTTCAATAGACTTGGCCCGAAGTCTTGGCGGCACGCTTGGAATCACCATTGGTTCCGCTGTCTACCAAAACATCCTCAAGAACCGTCTTTGGGACCGTTTCGGTCATCAACCCAACGCCGCTGATGAAATTCGCCGTATCAGAGACGATCTGGGCGAACTAAAGCATCTGCCCGATGGCTGGTACGACGGAGTCATTGATTCGTTCATGGAAGCATTTAGAGGCGTTTGGCTTACCATGTTTGTGCTGGCCATTGCCGGTTTAATTTGTGTTTCTTTGATGAGGCATCATACGCTTCACTCAACTTTGGATAGACGATAGATGTGTTCCCAGGTGTGTTGAGGCAGGGTGTATCAGCGAACAGCTTGTGCTTGTATAACGTGCACATGGGCAGGACAAGTGCACTCTTCTTGCGAAGTGTTAAATTTATAGATTTCTATAGATTAACTTTAGAGCAGTCCACTCCCTGAACCTATCTTGCGACTTTATAGAAGCAAACTCAAACCTGCAGACTTTATGTTAGTAACTTACTCTAAAAACTTAAAATAGCCACATATAACGTATATCAGCGAGGTCTTGTCCGCATTCCAAGGGTCCACCCCATTCGTCTCCATCCAAGACCTCTGTCTCTTCTGCTATCAAGACCCTGGCAACCATTCGTCAGTCCTGGCTCTGCAAAGCTCGCGGAAGCACACTGCAACCCTTTGCTAACGTCGGCCGCAGCAATCAAACCTCACGTAAAAATTAATTTTAAATAACCGCGATATAGCTGTCGGCTAGCTGCAGTATATTAGAGAGCTAAGACCTAAAATTAATAAGGTATAGGAGGTTATTTTCTCCGAATTCTCTTTTTTTTTTTTGTCTCTACTACTAATAATTGTAGGGTTCTACATGGTTTCGGAAGGAGAAGAAGCAAAGACAATTGTCGGGAAGTCGGCTTTAGAGGGCGAGGGATACCTAACCTCGTTAGTAAAATCCTCCGCTAGTTTAATCAGGCTGCTCACTGTCTAAGACATAGTCCAGACTAAGACTAAGACAGATTAGTCTAGACCAAAACCAAGACAGATTAGTCCAGACTAAAACTGAGACAAATCAGACCATTCCGATGACTAGAGGAAAGTGAGGTAAGAGTGAATAGCTACATCATTTAGTTAAACAGAATCCATACCAGAGATACTCACAGTGCTACCACGATAGGCAGGGTCATGGAGGGCCGGTGGCAGGGCCGAAACATCTGCCCTCAAGGGGAGGACTTTCAAACAGTAGCGTTGTTGGGTTCCAATGGAAGGCTGAGGTAGACACATAATAGTCCGATTTATATTTGTATTTTCTAAAATCTCATCTGCCAATTCTCTTCAGCATCGAACCATTTTTTCTCAGTCACAGGGGTACTTGCAGACCCTGAGACTGCTATCAATCTTCGAGATCGGAGTATGTTACACGGAAATCGCCCTGTTACACAAGGGCTACGGTCACGGGATTAGGGCAGAAGGTCCTCACCGACTTCTTGTATAAATAGACGTCTTCGGTCCCTCAAGGCCTTGAGGAAAACCAAGGACCTTTGATACCAAAGACTGTTATTAGATGAATTGAGCTATTGCTCCAAGCACTCTTTCCGAGCCCTTGTCACAGAGTAGCCGCTCCAAAAGATATTTAGATTTCCTGAAAGCTCATCCACCGGTTCACTGGTTCGTCGCTGTTAAAAATGGCAACGTGGACCATCACCAAAATCGAGGCTGAAAACCGCTTCAATGTAGTCACGTCGGGTGGAATAACCATTCCCTTGGGTAACCAGACAGTCTGGAATAACACAGGCAGCTGGGTCGACGGCCCAACGGGCTCAACTCGACCCAATGTTTTCTTGAACACCATGCCCACTGCCACTGGCTTCTACAAGATTAATGTCCACGGAACAGCCCCGTTTTCTGCGATCTGGAGAGGAAAATCCTACGTCGTCGCGGGACATGTCGGTGGAAGACTTGCCTTGATTAGCCCCTTGGTCCCAGTCCCTGCGACTGGTAACGCGGTGGCTGTGAATGGTTTGTATCTTATGGCGCCTGACTTTAAAACTAGACAAGTGGTTATCCCATTCAGGTACGGTGGCGACTTTAGTTGGCAACTTTGGCTCTGGAATGGCAAGGAATATAGTAAGTCCCAGAGAAGACATGGAGCCAAGGTCAAGTGTTCCTGGCAGACTATTGACCCATGGGCACAGTCGCCAGCATGGCTCCGAGCACGACAACTCGCCTCGAGCTCTGCTGGGCGCGGGCAACCGCTCCCACGGGTCCCGTCACGGCGCCCTCGCCTACCGTACGAACCAGAGTTGACATGACGCCTGGCTATCCCATCTTGTTGTGGCGTCTCTTTGCACCAAACCCGTCCGAATTACCAGCCGCAGCCAGCCAAGATGTCGCGTTTTATATTCATCGAGCAGTTGTCAACGTGATTTGGAACGCCAGCTTGACAACGCCCAGGTACGATACGTCTCGTGGAATGGCTTACTATGGAGTTTCGGGCTACGGTGGTGGCTTCAAACTCAAGGAATGGTTTGATACACTCTATCCAAGATGCAACTGCTACGATCTGGCTGGGATTTCGCAGCTTGCTTTGTCCATGTTGATGGATGCAAACGGCGCTGAGTTGACCGACTCCCATTGGGTCTTCCAATCGCCCAATGGCTTCATTAACCCTGGGCCCCTCATTAGGTGGGTGGCATCTGGAGGGGACAATCTGCGGTGCAACACGCCTTTCTGGGAGTCGGCAGGTCAGTATATTCTTCATGTGCAGTCAAGTTGCTTATTTGACCCGAACATCATGTCTGGTCTGACTCGATCAAGGTACCGCACCTTATGTGCCCCCCACCGCGAGCAACAGGACTAGCTTCGGAAACCACGCTTGGGTCGAGGTGACGCGGAGCGGAGTCACAACGGTTGTCGATGCAACACACGCACTTCAGGCCCCGACGCCGACGCCACCAGCCGGCACCCAAACCCGCCAGGATTATATTACTGCCACCCTGGATCCCGCCAGACCACGTGGCAACGCCCAAGCAAAAACGACGGCCAATCCTTCTGGGAGTTGTTGTATGTGCTTGACCACAATGTTCATGTTGCTCTGTCTGTATTCTAACGCTAATCGCATCCTTGTAGCCCTCAACCCATCCACGAGTCTACAACGCATTGGCGTCTACAACCCGTGGGGAAGACCTGCCCCTCTCTCCGCCATGATCCCCGAGGAGCTTGCCAAGGAGATCGAGACCCTGGTGGAAAAGGGCAAGGTACCGGATGCAGCCAAGCCGGAATTCAATCGGGTCGACGTGCAGGACGCAACCCTCCGCAGTGCCGTGAGCAAGAATCTTGCCGCTGCCGGCACCACCACATCCGTCTTCGAGACGTCCTCTCACACCACCTACGCCTTCCGCCACGGCAGTGACACAGCTACCGTGACAATTGACGCCTTCGAGGACTTCGAGGGCCCCATGCACGCCCTCGTCTCCCTCCTAGCGAGCATCCAGATCCATCCGCTATCGGCTGTCGTCCATACGGACGGGCCGCGCCTCGGCGCCTACAGCTTCCGCACCGCCACAAGCGCTTTCTGGATCCGCGGCAACCTGTTCATCCACGCCCAGTACTTCTCCAGCGAGCCCGAGCCCAAGCTCGAGCTAGAGGTTGACATCTCCGCCCTCGCGGCCGACATCGATGCGCAGCTGGCCTCTCGCGAGGCGGCCCCTCACCTGCCGACCGGCATCAAGCCTGACTGGGCCAGCCTGCCAGATGTGGTGCATATCGGCAAAGAGCTGCGTGTTGCCGTGGACACGGATCGGTTTGCCTCCATGACGTCGTTTAGCGACAACATCGAAGTGCTGGTGCCGCGAGGCCCGCCAGACGAGGAGGGCAGGTTCGTTTTCTACGCCCGAGCCGCGGGCAAGGCCAAGGCCACCATTGCCGGGGCTGCAAAGGGGTCGCTGCAGCCGCTCCATACCTCCTTTGATATCACTGTCGCAGTCGAGCATCCCGGCACGACGTCTGTCGAAGCTGTCGAGGCGCCCCCGGGCGACCTTCCTCCTATGGTGCCCGATTTGCCTAGCCAGGAGTAGTGGAAATCGGCACTCTCGCTAACATCTCTGTCGCGTTTGCTAATCGCTTTCATTTGTTGCTAGGACTAGGATTCGAAGGACCATCCGAACTGGACTGGACTACCAAAGTGAGGCGCAACGTTATACATTGTTCAAGTTGTTCCTTGACAATAAGTGGCGTGAAATGTGTGAGTACTTGTACCTCGCCTTCGAATGCTTTATGCTATTGGGTTGCTCTCTTTTCCATTTATAGTATTGACATTTGCATTTCCTTTGCTCGGGACTTTCTCTGGTAGTATGACCAAATAGGGCGAGGAGAACGGCTCAACGAGAAACCGGCGCTACTTGGCTGAAAGGACACTTCAACAGTCTTGATGTTAGTGGTGGTGGATAGTTAGTTACTTGACTATTGTGTGTAGCCGGCGAGATAGAATATAATGATTTAATATTTTTTAAGTTTTTATAATTATATAATATCAGTGTCGCGGCCTTCCCCGCCGGGTTTGGCGGCACCCACCCCACCCATGTCGGTCGCGTCGCTGCTTTTGACCACACCTATAAAGACCCCCCTCTCTTCCCTCTCCCTTTCGCCGACCTCTGTCCATCCTCCTCAACTTGACTCTGTCCTTCACCCCCTCCTCCTTGCCATTCCCGTCCTTTTTTTGCGTCGTTGCTTTCTACTCGCATTTTTTTCTGCACAGCCAACAAGGCGAATTGACGGATATTACCGAACCCCCGACCCCATACACGTACCAATCACTTGTGCCCTTAACGACCGGGTTGGGTTCGCCCACCATCCACCATTTGTTCGCTGAAGTTACACACATATTTCTGAATCGAAATGGACAAGTGAATCCCATTATGACGGCCCTTGGGCATCTTCTCGCCATGAAATTTGCCAAAGCGTTGGAGTAACAGAAACTTGCTGGCCGTTGGCAGAAGTCTGACATTCGCCTCTGCAGGAAGTCAACCTGACCGGCTTCAACCTACAAGGCCTGAGCGACCGCCTGGCCTCCTGCAATCATACGAGCTTACGCGTCATCTCCGAATCGTACGATAATCCACCGAGCTAAAACCAGCCATGAGGCTATGTCTTGGACCACGTGAGGGCGCTTCATCATCGCATTCGTCAGACGTGCAATCCGTGCGGTTCAGCTTCATGCAGCTAGCCTGTATTTTCAACAGTCTGCCTAGCCTTCATGACGATCTACTCTCTCGACCCAATCAAAACTCCGCAGCCCATGGCACAAGCGTGTATTTTGCAATGTAGTTTCCATGCAGCATTTCATCGACGCAACTGTTTATCCACTTTTGCATTGGGGAGCTTCATGCATTTGCTCACGGATACGGCTCAGATCTACGGACGGCTCAAGTGATTTGGACTATTTCTTCTGATCCAACAGTCGGAAGTTTCCCGAGACAGAAATCATCTGGCCGCGCATGCAGGAGACGGCAGTATTACGGATATCTGCGTTTGAGGGAGTAAGTTGGTTGCTGTATTTTTAGGACCGGCACAATACATTGCTCAGGCTTAGAGCCGGCCTCGGGGCGTCTGTGACCAAACGAGTATAAAATGGCTGGCTATAGGTCCTGGCAGCGTGCAGCCTGTAAACCTCATGCTCTCCTGATGTTTTACCGTACTATTAATACATTCCTGCGTTGAATAAGCGAGAAACCTATCTGTTCTTAAACTCTCGTTGAAGATCACGCTTGTATTTTATTTTGCCAACACTTGGTGTCTCGCAATGGCGCCTGGAGTCTCTCTGGACAACCAATTTTTCTGGACTCAACCACGCAGAAAACATAGGACTCTTGTCGGCTCTGCGAGATCTAAACCTATTGTTTCACCATATGTCCACGAGCTATCTATGGATGGGCCGACTTGCATATCCAGTTGTGAATCACCAGACGGCACTGACAATAACACTGCTAATGCTAATGGCAATATGGGAACCTGGCAATTAGACAATGCGGTCAGACTTCCAACTGTGCCTCGTCAACAAGACTTCTCGGTAGATGACGTGGGTAAGTGAACGTCATAGCTTCTCTTCCAACAGAGCCACAGCTGACAGAAACCTAGCAAGGTCCCGAGCATCAAGCTGTGAATGCGAGATGGGAATTGACGGATTTCAGCAACAAGCACCGGCGATAGTATCCGACCCCGAGAAGACTGATGACGTGGAAAATCTGGCTCCTCAACTAGCCAGTCCTTCAAGTCCGTCTTCAACATCCTTTGGATCTCAATCTACACCTATTACGACACCGGACGAGAATATGCTTTCGGACTACAGAAACAGCGAGCTATATCCCATTGACCCTGCTCTCACTGGTCTTGTCCTTGACTGTGGCTCAACATGCTATCCTCTTATTGATCTTGGTAGCGCACCAGATGCATCAGACACTGTCGCACCAGAAAATTCTCTGTTGCCCCGGGATGGACTGGGTTTGGCACTGAATTGCTATGCTTCCGACAGCCCCAGCTGTTCGGCGGCTTCGAACCCGTCTTGGCGGGCGGTTGGGAGTAAAAGCGACCCAGGCGAAATTCGGGGATGCCTCATGCGTGCTGCAAATCCCGATCAAAGGTTGCGTAAGCGGGCTTCACTGGCCGACATAGAGGTTCCACATGGTACCAGCGATGGTCGTAGAGCCAAGGCCGACGAGCATCGCCCTACTCTAGGTTGTGGACCAAGCTTCACAGGTGGTAATCACCAGCTGGGGGACAATTCCGTTGAGCCGCCGCCGCCGAAACGCCGCAAGGTTGATCGATCGTCGAAAGATGGTAATGAGCGCGATGAAGAAAGTAGAAGCCGCCCCTGTTCAGTAGACAGTACGATACGAGTTGAGCCCCATACATCAACGCCAGCGCTAAACAGCTCCGAGTCACCAGTTGCTGACACTGCGACTACTGATTCTCAAGATAACGTCGGCATGGCGGAGTTTGGAGAGTGGCCACTACATAATGTTCTTCTAAAACGTATCACATTAAATGGTGTGGCCACGTTCCAGTTGCAGTTTGACTGGAATTTATGCGCAACACACAGTCAACTTGGCCGGGCGATCCCGAAGAGGCGCAACAAGCTCGATGGCTCAGATCGTCCTAAACGGACAACTGATGACTCCGCAACAAGAGCCAAATTTACTCTGGATGAAGATAATCTGATCGCTGCGTTGAAGGAAGAGCAGCAGCTACCGTGGACAGAAATTCACCGAATTCACCAAGGACACAGTCGCCAATTCCCTACACGTTCAAAGGAGTCCCTGCAGGTTCGGTACTGCACAAAACTGAAGACTCGTCGGGGACCGATAGTCCAGAGAGTCCGTCATCATCAAGTCCAACCTAGGGCGCAGACATTTAGCTATGAAGACCAGATCAATTGAATGCTCTCTCGCCCTCAAAGAGTCTTAATATCATGTGATTGCCATGAGGTGCTATGAGGACATGCTGTCCTAGAGCGTGGCCTAGATGAGTCGTCCGTCATGCTAGACTGGCCCGGTGGCTCTTGAACAGCGTAGCAAAATCGGTGAAGGTCTGATTGCACCTGTTCCACAAATTGAAATGAGGCCGCTGATTGGCTAGATATGGTGTAAGACATAAGCCTTTCTGGCAGGTGTGGGAGTGTGATGACCAGATTCCTTGCACCTTAGCCGCATCAATCTCCAAGAAGTGGCTCAACTGGACAAGCACCTAATGCATTGAGATACTCGTCTCGGATATTCTTCCACTCTGGTTCGTATTCGCTGAGGAGGCGGAAATGACTGTTTCCCTCTGTGTTTCTGCCGAAATGGAAGTTATTCGTGATTGAGCGGCCTCCATAGGCAAAGTCTCCGAATGCCATGATCTGCAGCGAGCTAATTCCATATGGTCCAAACACCCACTCAGCGAAGCGGCAAAATTCATTCCGCATTCTATGCCTAAGCCAAGCCTCGTGTCTTACAGTCGCGTCCTCCATCTCGGTAGGTAGACTTGTGACGCTCGAGTCAGTCCAGGGTACAGACTCCATACTATTATGCGAAGCCACACTTCCTTGTCTCGAGGTACGATCCTGCCCCTCCACGGCCCAGGATGCGTAGTGTTTAAGGTCTGAACCTGACTGGCGAATGTGGAGTACCTTCAAGGAGGTCTTCGACTTGAAAGGAAGCAGCAGGTATTTCTACAGGATGTTGCTATTAGGAGTGGCATATGGGAGGGAGCTCGCAGGCACTCACCAAACGTTCAGGGACACAGGCTAGTCCAATGAATTCAAGATTGAGCCAAGCCAAGGGATTCTGCGAAGGGGCTTCTTTTATCTGGCGCAATTCGCGTCCGAGAATGGCAAGATCGGATAAGTCATGCTCCTCTTCAAAGTGAGGTGACTCATCGTCAATATCGATGGTTCTCTGGTGATGTACAAACCTTTTGAGCGTTGTATGACGATGGATGATACGGTTCCAGAAACCAAGGCCTGGAACCGGCCCTACGTGACTTATGTAAAGCTCTTCAAGTCCCTCAAATGCATTCAGGAAATCTGCGAGGATATCCTCCGTCCAGCTACATGATACACTGCTCGATTCTTGAATCTCGAGTGTCTTCAGATTTATCGGAACGTTGAGCTGTATGACACGCTGTAAAAATCGGTCCCAGCCGAGGCAGATCCGCAGCGTCAGGGAAACAAGGATGTCGAAATTGATGACGTCTGTCATCTCAGCTGCAATGGGCACCTGTGAAAGGAGTAGGACGCGGTTTGCTGGTAACAAAGGACGCGGAGAGCGTTTATTCAAAAAGAGAACTCTGCGAATGAAGTAATTTTGTGGCAAAATGCCACTAGTGTCATCGTTATCATCGTAATAACCTAGGTCATCCTGAAGTTTTTGCCAGTGTACGAAATCTAACTCCAGCTTCTCCAGATGCGTTGAATTATTTCGGATAGCGACGGAAAGGGTGTCGAGATTATCAGCATTAGGTGCCTTCCAACTTAGTTGACGAAGCTGGCGGAAACGTGATAGATCTATCCCGCATTCTGCATCGAAATAGTGAAGGCAGGTAAAGTCGGTTGTCAAGCGTAAGGATCGAATTAGGGGCTGTTTTTGCGGGATAACACCATCGGCACCGAGAATTTCAGGTGGAACGCATGTACCCAAGTTCCAGCTAAACAAGAGTGTCAGTTGTCTGGTAGAATGAACACGGTACGAATAACGAGTGTCTACCTGAAGCTGCGCAATTGGGTGTCCTCGAGTCGTCGTAGTAATGATTCGGCTTTCTTGGTAAGGCAAACAAAGCGCAGATCATCCGAGTCCTCGTCATTGTTATATTCAGCATTGATATCGTCGTCATCGTCATCGTCAGAGCGCCATGGATCGCCGTGATCCTTAGCATGGGGACATCTTCTGATAGTAGCATATTGCACCTCGGAGCGAAAATGAACCTCTTTGGCAAGTTGCAGACAAGATTGCGGAAAGGCCGCAACTGAAATGCGATGAAGGTCATATTCGCTCCGCGGCTTGATTGCCACAGATTGCCAAAGCTTGCTGGCAACAAGCTCGTGCATGTATCTCGAAGTTCGGGAGAGTGCTTTCAGATCTGCTCTCCATAACTGCCACGATCAGAGTCAGCACATGCAGCTAGGCTAACAAAATAGGAGCACCTGGCAAACATTTTCAATTATGAGATTTAAAATTTCCGGTGGCAACCTGACCAACATATCTTCCACAAATAGTGGTGTACAAGTCCAGGCCGGGCGTCAGCGAGATTTAATTGGGAAGTAAAGCAACGATCAATTAGTCTTGTTTCGTCGGACCGACTGCTGTGCCTGGTTACGGTGGTCAGACCACTTCGCTAGTACTGCTGGACAATCTAAAAGCGACGGCAGACGGTCATAACCGAGATAAGGCGAAAAAGGTCACGTCGGGTGATGCATCAGTGCAGTACTATTAATACCGTTCGTCAGAAAGGGTGATGCATTCTATTAATACTGCAGAAAGAAGAATGAAATGTGTTAGCAGTGTAGGACCTTCATACCCAGCATCGGTAGTGTCAACACGACCAAAACCAACTTGCCCCATTGGTTGATATTAGTGGGGCGTCTGATTAGGGAAGGCTTCCAAAAAGAGCAAGCGCCTGCCAGGTTTGCCCTAATTTGAATGGCTTTTTTACTGTATTACGAATGGTCACACTGTCTTTAGTTTACGTACAGTTGACTATGCCGCTAGGGACACTCGGACCGTGCAGGCGAGAGAAAATCATGTTTAATTAAATGAGTGGATGCTAACTACAGTACCTTCAGCCGTAATTTCCATCCGCAATTAGGCAGAACTTGTCATACTTCCGTCCCCCAAAACAGTTGACAAACGAACAGATTAGAGGTATGAGCTCAGGCTGTCAATTGCGCCCGCTCCACGGAAATCGCGCTGGAACTGCTTCCTTGCAACAATGGATTCTCTGAGATGACTCTCGCACACAATCGTGTTCTCATACTCAGCCATGGACCTCGCTACGAAAACAGTATTTCGGATCTGCTCGACGGTGAGAATGCGTTCGAGAACGAGGCGAGTATAAACGAACCTCGCGGCCATTCAAATCCACGTCCGCCAAACTGTCAATCAGCTTTTGGCAATCCGGTGTCCCGCTCTTGGTTATTGCCTGTTCCAAGAAATACTGCCATACCGCCTTACGTGCATCTTTTCCCAGTGGCTCATAATGCAAGGCAAGGTGAATTCTGCTGATCATCGCTTCGTCGAACGACTGCACTCGGTTGGTTGTAAGGAAAAGAATGCCATCATACTGCTCCAGTTCACGCAAGAACACAGAGACGAGAGCGTTGGCATGTGGGCTGTCAGAGCGCTGAGCCAAAAACACATCCGCCTCATCCAGAAGCAGGATGGCCTTCCAGCGGCTTGCAATCTTGAAGATTGTCGTTAAGACCCTCTCCACACCCACTGGGTCCACGCCGATTTGCCCTGCCGGTACCGTGTAAAGGGGTCTCTTGTAGGACTCTGCGATTGTTTCGGCCGTCAAAGTCTTTCCGACACCAGGAGGCCCGCTGTTTTGAAGTATCAGTTATGCATCTATGAGCAATTCCGGGGTTCACGAACTAAAGCAAGAAATTGATGCCTCGCCCTTTCCCTTGTATGAGGTCTTTAAAGGCGCTGGTTTTGTCACGACTCAAAAAGGTCTCTGCAAGAGCCCAGATAGGTTTCTTTTGCTGCTCTGGCATCTTGACATCTTCATAGGACGACGGACTCCAAGAAATGTCAGAGATGTGGGCAACCGCAAACTCAACTATACCTACCCATTAGTGAATCGACATCACAGAGAAGGGTTGCCACTAACGGAATGTTTTGGTCCCAAGGCAGAACCCCAAAACCGTTGCGCTGCAGATAAGAAGGTCAATTTCCTCCAGCTGAGCCACGTCAAGATGTTCGAGGCTGGCCGTTTCACCTGGTCCTATGTCCGAGAGCCTTGGTCTCACGTTGCGGACGCGCGGCACTGGATGGTTCGGATTTTGTTCCTGAAAACAGACAGCATCCACCATAATGCGCCCTTTGACATGACGCTTCACGATTTCCCCTTCCTTGTCCACGTAGAAAGCCGTTCCTATGTACTGACGATGATGAGCTCCGATTAACGAGACAAATCGACGGCCGCACTGGGTCAATTCCCGCGCAACCCTTTCGCGATTTGGATGGTATTGCAGAGGATACGCTGGAAGAAGCTCAATTCTCTTAGCACCTCGGAAAAATGGGATCCTGCTTCTGTCGGATGCCTCGCCGAGGAACTTGCCATTCGTACTCAGGAAGCGAGTCTCCAGGTGCATAAACTTGGACCCATCCATTTCCTGCATCTCTTCGCAATGGTTGTATAGCACACATCTAGGAGCACCGGTTCCGGGACAGGTCGTGTACACCTCAGTATTTGGCTCGAAGAGGGCCCACAGTAAGTCATACGTGATCTCGCCTTTCACGAGAAGGGCTGACAGGTGGTCCTCGACTGATCTGAACGTTGTATCGATGTAGCCCACCAGCAGGTCCAAGTGGCTTTGTGTAACTGTGTCCTGGATGTCGACAGCGCGATCCTGGCGGCATCTCAAGAAGCGCCGGACGTGGAAAAGCACATTCTGCTCGACCTGTGAAACATTGTTAGATATCCACACATCTGGCGTACAAGAACTCTTACCGATGGGGCATCTTCAGCGAGAGAGACACCTCGAATGTCGCGACAAGCCTCTCGTAGAATGTCTCTCAATGACGGAGATTTGATATCGATGAACGGCGTTTTTTCACAGGTCCTCCTGTCTGCAAGGATCTCGTTAGCGGGTCTCTATTATACACTATGAGGGAAACCAACCAATCCTTTCCCGAACGACAAACACGTATTGATCGAGGTCCCCAACGCTGGACTTCGCTGCTTCAACAATTTTGTACTTGTATGTCTTGTCGTCCCAACTGCAACGCTGTTAGTTAGATTCAAAGGGGCAAAGGCTGGTTACTCACGCTTCTTCCACGCGTTTGAATGCCAGGGTTGAAGCGCGGCTGGGCCGTACTGTTCTCCTTACCGGCTCTACGGCTTCATCACTTGATGAAGGATTATCAGAGAGCTTTGCCGTTATAAGCTTTTCGATGGCATTCACGAAACGTTCAGCAGAGGCCATACTGTCAACCTCCCGATCCGACACGGTGTCCGATGCGATAGATGTAGCAGGACTGGTTGGCGCAGTTGGCCTGGGAGGTGAGAAAGGCCAAGACATGTCAGCAACGTGTGCTTTCTTGTTGGAATCCATTGTGAATCAACTTGACGAGGTTATGATAGGTATCAAAGAGTGTGGCAGATTATGGGTAAAGGCAGCGTAGAGTACCAAGCTCGTGATGTGTGTTCTAAGTACGTAAGTGAAGAGATATATGTGCTAGCTGGCGCGTGTTATCTGAGGAGAGGATCATGCTGCCATAAGGACACAAAAGAGACCAGAACTGGCGTCGGGTGAGCATGCCTTTATATAGACATTCAATCATTCCTCGGCCGCAATACCCGACATTGTTCTCTCTCGCGGACAACAGCCATCTTACAGCCCTCCAAGTTGATACATTGACTAGACCCATGTCAACAAGTCAAGACATCAGATAGCGGTTGCATATGCAGGCGACAAGCTGTTCTTGTTAGTCGCATCCCGGAGTTGGTCATGATGGATGGAGTTCCATCCACGCATGACTGGTACCATTGCAGAGTGCTGGCTCACCGTAATCCAGGCTTGCTAATCGCACCGCGATGAAAAAAAAAACTGAGGCCTTTGAACTCCGGAGCTACTATGACTAAATATCTCTTACAATCAGTCGCTAGCCAATTCTCATTGTATGATAGATACGCGTTGTTTGTCGCCCACCGAAAACACAATAAACATCCTATGTTCCTTTCTAGATGAGAAGTTATCAACATACATCAGAATGCCAACATGCATGGCCAATCAGCAACGATTGGCCTCGTGAGCGTTGGAAGAAGCAAGTGCATGCATGCTGCACCAACACGCATTTAGCCACCTAAGAAAACTTTCCTTGACCCCTGCGAATCTTGGCGACATCAAAAATCGAGTCTGGCCAATAGCAGCCTCGAACAAGCCGCATGGGTGGGGTTCTGTCCTCGCTAGCCGCAATCTTGCCTGAAGCAAAGTTTCCTTCGGCTGTGGGCGCTCGTCCAACCAAACGGCGATCGGAGGTGTCCATCCAGTCGCGGATTATCTCCTTGCCATTTCCCCGACACTTCGCTGTCATCGATGTATCATAAGCAAACAGCGGCGAGTTGATGTTGAGACAAGCAATAAACACATGTTGGTGCGGATGAGCGGTTTCACGGATGTCAGTGGCCAGTAGAGAGGTCTGTAACAGAAATTCTCCAGATGAAGAAGGAGGAAGTAAATGATTCTTCGGTCTTCCTTTTCATCATAGATTTGGCTTTTCGAATGTTGGCGGCAGAAGGGGGCTCCAACCAGGCAGGGTTCCACGTTTTGGCTCTCCGGTTCCCACCCGAACCAACGACCGGTAAACACCCTGCCCAACTTCCCGTTCAAACTGTCTTGGTGGTCTTGGTGGGCAGGGTCAGCCATGCATGATGCTTTGAAGGAAACCGGTAATGTGCTAACTACCTCGGCTATTCATAATTTGCCCGGCAAGCAAACAGACGAAGGACTCATATCAACCGCTGTCTCTCCAGTTACGTCCACTACCTCGTGCGCCTGCGTGTGAGTGATTCCCAAAGCAATTCATGCCTAAGTCTATCGACGTCATCTGATCAAGGTTGGATTGCTGAGCAAATCAACAACCAGCCCCGCCTGAGCTTCCCCATTCTTGCTAGTTTCCCTTCCGAAAACAACGCACACTCAGATTTTGATTCTTCTGAGCTGCGACTATGACTTCGTCGCCTAGGCTGGTTGTCTCCGCAGATACTTCCGTCCAACCTTGTGCTGAGGGGCGACGACTACACTACCAACAAACAAGGTATGTAACGCACATCCCGCGTCGCAGGTATCGGAGCCTAAGATGTGCGAAGAGCAGTCGTTCTACAATACCACCGATTTAAAAGCATTTTATACGATAGGTATTTGAAGTCAGCCTCTACGGCCTGTAGTTGTCTACTGCCATTTCGACCGATCCATCGCCTCTCATCCAGGGCGCAGAGAGCGTGTTCCGATATTACGTCACAGGTCAGCTATAATACAGGAGAAGGAACAGGATACGATGGTAAGGTGCTCCAGGCCAAGATCGATGGTAGTTGCTGATGTGTTATCAGGCTTTTACCGAAGAAGACCTCGATCCATCTATAGATTTCACAACGGGTGATACTGAAAAAACGCCAAAGTGGATTGAAGGGAGGGGTCAACGTGTGTACTGGCACGGTTGCTATGGTACCGCTTACGAAAAAGACAGCACCGGGAAGAGGGGTGACGGGGTAAGCCTCAAGAAGCGTGATGGGCAAGGCACTGTGCCCTCGAATGTTGAACTATATTTTGCAGGTGAAGGGGGAAAACTCAAAGAAGCATAACATTGCTTAGGACAACCATGGGTGGTTCAATTGATTATACCGGTTTGTCTTTACTGGCGAACCTTCTGTACAGTTTGTTTCTTATCCGAGAACCTTCTTTCAATCCTAAGTTCAGGTTAATAACAGCCCCAATATTAGGATTGCCTGGAATGATCATCGATACACATCTTGTGGCACGAGTTCCTTGCTGCAGTTCCTCCTGGAATACACGACTGGATTTGATTGCCTCATATATCTCGAGGCCAAGCAAATTTTGGATGGCCTCATCCCGGACGCCTTGTAAAGTAATTTCCGGGTTAGGCGTCAGCCTGACCCCGTGTTGTAGTACAACCTGTCGAGCCTGAACGGCAGATTCCACGTCCACGTGCACATTGAACAAGGCCATTGCACTGTGTTCTACCTTGGTTTCTCTGATGGCCAAACTCATGAGGCAATCGACTTTCCCGAGGTAAGGAAAGGTCATCGTTACGGCAGCTCTCCAGCAGGAGCTTCCATCGCTCTCCATAAGATCTCTTCTGATCGCGCCACTCATGTATTCAGGGAAAATGTCAGCAGTCCCCTGGAGAGAAGCATGTGAGAGGACTTGCTGTTGTAGGTCAGAGGTGAGACTGATGTCAGTTTGGGAATTATCGAGGTTCGCTGTTGTATCTCGTTGTGTCGGGCTAGGAAGAAGCCCTGCGCTGGAGCTTATCGAATGCGTCGGCGATGTAGAGTATGATTGTATTCGTGACTCATGATCACCTGTGGGAGACAGTAGCCCTGATTCTCGTGTTAAAGAGGGAATGTAGAAGTAGATAGGTAACTCACGACGACGCTTTGGTTCTTGTAGCATTTTGCCAATCGCATGTCTGACGGTATCATGAGGCACGGTTTCGGCCACTCTCTTCGCAGCCGCTTTTCTTTCTTCAACAGGAAGCTGATTAAAGGCAGCAATAGCTTGGAGTTGAGCGTATCGTCCCTCGTAATGACCTTCGCCAGTCGACGCAAGGAAGTACGCTAACCAGGCCGTGAATCCCGTGCTTAGAAAGACTCGTTCTGTCGCATCCGACTCAGAATCCGCCGCTTTCGCCAAGGCAGCATCAAGCCCGTATGGTGTTTTCTTACGCGTCCACTCAGATGTTAGATATTTGCGAAAGATCTCAACTGGTTCTTCAATGCCTTGGTTTAGTTCAGGACCTGGCTCTGCTGCATCCAGACGTGCACAGCCGTCATAGGAGTCGTCCATCATTTAGGTAGGCTATGGCAATTTGAATGTATCGGTGCCAAAGGAAGTTTGCGAGAGGAGTGAGGGAACTTTGCAGATTTGACACTTGTTCGGAAGGTCACGCCATTTATTCTGTTGATCCGATTGGTTAGCACATCGACATCTACTAGAACGCAATTTTGCTCTTGTTTTAGCGAAGCAAGCCTAAATTTGCACATATGCAGTCATACGCAGCCGCGCCACAATACAGGGCCGCTGTGGGGCTAGATCCAAGACGTAACCTCGACCAACGGGGAAGCTCGATGGCGGATGAGCCGCGCCATTGCGTAAACTTGCATGCGACTGGAATCACAAACCAACATGTGGTCCCATGCTTCGGCTCGTACTGTCCCTCTGTACACTTGTAGTCTCAGAGTCATGGCCGCAAAGCTTAACTGGATAGCTTGTTATTGATACATCCCAAGGACTCTTTAGACGTCTATATAAAGTCCACTTACTCTCCAAACATGTTTCCTGATCATCTTCAACAATTCACGCGTAACATAAGCGAAGTGATTCTAATAAAGTCACAACCCATGCGAGCAATATCAATAACCGCGATTGTCATTTTATACCATGATGCCTCAACCCTTTCATGGAGACGGCAGAGGGGACTGCGACGCAAAGAAGGATGAGCCCATGATCATTGAAGCAAGTAATTCCTCAACCCAATATCAATCCATCCCGGATCACTCGGACGCCGTTTCCAAAGTTGATGACTGTGCGCGAGAATTGGAAGCTGCTGTTAAGCAGCTCCTCAAGAGAACTGAGCATGCAAGAAAAGCAGAGCAATGTCAAATTATGATGCAGAAAAAACTCCAGACTTTGGAGCTGGAAAATGCAGCCGTCTTGCATCGTATTCACGAAATGGAAGAGAAATACTTAAAACTGGAAGCAATTACATTGGAAAAGGACGAACAAATCCGGCAGAATTGGCAAGCGCTGCAAATAGCAGCACAATCCTACAGCGAGCTCGAGCAAGGAAGAAACTTGGCAATTGCGGTAGTAGAAGAGACGCAACAGACTGCGAAAGCTTATGAGACGTGGGCCAAAGCCGAGGTTGAAAGGGCGCTTCAGTCAAACGTCGCGGCGCATGATCATGCCAAAAGAGCCGAGGAAGAAATGAGCTCAGCGGTCAATAGGGAGAGGGAGTCATACCACGCCAGAGAAGTAGCAGAAGGGCGAGCTGAAGATGCAGAACAGGCCCGACACGAAGCTGAGAAGCGAGCCGAAGATGCAGAACAGGCCCGACACGAAGCTGAGAAGCGAGTCGAAGATGCAGAACAGGCCCGACACGAAGCTGAGAAGCGAGCCGAAGATGCAGAACAGGCCCGACAGGAAAAGGAGAGGCGCGCTGAAGAAGCAGACCGAGCAAGGCTTGAAGCTGAGAAAGCTAAAGCATTGGCGGAAAAACATAAAGAGGAGTTGGAAAGAAATCAGGTATGGATGATTACGTCGACAAGGCAAGCAGAGGCACGGGCAGAAAAGGCAGAAGCAGACCTGGCATTAGCAATTGAGAGCGAGAAAGAGGTCAGGCGGCAGCTTGATACGGCAGCTCCCGTGCGCCATGCGATTGAACCAGCTGTCTCGCTCAAGCGACAAAAGAAGGGGCCTTTCGGTCCGAACAAAAAACCACGCCTGTCAAAATCAGCCGCACACAACGGGACAGGGCTCCAGAGCCCCGAGATAACGTGGCATGACGAGCGACTACAATATTTGGCGCATGATCTCGACCGAGTAGTTGACAACTGGGGAGCGGAAGAAGTGAGATATGCTCGTTTCACGTTTAGTACCGACTCAGTCCAGGTTGACGGAGTGGAGAAAAATTGTGAGATTACCGAATCTTCTCATCTTGTCAGATGTGTCCGTCATGCTGAAGAAATTGTGGTCACAATTTTTGATGTTATGTCCTTGGCGCGCAAGGTCTATTTGACAAATCTCGATCTCAAAGCCGTCGAGAAGCTGTTACACGGCAATGTAGCCCAAACCGTATCCAGACGGCACGCCCAAAAATTCAAAGTGGGCGAGGAGACTAAACGAGTCACGCTATTCCTATGGACAAATCTTGCAGATATCCTTAACAGAGTTGCAGAGGTTTATCATGTCAAAGATGCCGTCATGGTTAGCTTGTGAAGCGAGAGAATCTGAGCCATTTTTATTGTATTCGTCATCGGACTCGGAGACAGCAAAAAATTCAAGGACCCTGTTACTTGATCCATATCAACGACGAGGGCTATAACATCGTCCGAAAGCGCTTCCACTGAAGATTCTGCAGATATCAGTGTATGTAGAGATCGTGACAGGCAGGAAAAAGTAAGGCCAAGGGCTGAAGTCATCAAGGGCTTGCCCGATTGGTACTCTATAACGAGAGAAGAGGTCGCGGGTAAATACATCAAACGGGTGCAGGAGAAAGCCTCTGCGCGAGGCGACCTGATTGTCACAGGCAAGTAATATTGGAACACCTATTTTGGGATTATGACTAACAGACCAGGTTGCGGCATCCACTGGCTTACGGAAAGATCTGCAAGCCATTGTGCAAAGGCACGTCGACGACAGAGTTGAGTTGGTAGAATTAGATTATCAGCCTGCGTAATCAATAACCACACAGAAATTTGGCTGAGTTTCGTAAAACATAAAAATAAACTGCGGCTCAACGTGACAATGTACGTGACTGCTGGTCGTGGGCTTTTACTCTGCCAAGGGAAGAGAGACGCTGAGAGAAGAAATTATGGCAGGCCTCACACCCTCCATGGAGCTGCAGCATATGCTTACCAAAGCTGAAGGGAGTAGTAAGTGTCAACAGCACTAATCCAAAGCCAGGACGAGTTCACCGTCGACCTTGGCTGAACGGTACACCGCTAAAGCCCGTCTTCCGTGGCTGTTTGGTTCTGCAGCGAAAAATGGCTGATGATTGATGGTGTTGAAAGGCGTTAGATACGACGGGGACCGAGCAAAAACTGGCACAGCCGTTAGACGTTTACGTGCTCCCACATGGGTCTATCTTGCAAGCCTGCTGTGCTGCCAAAGTAAATCAAAGTATACACAGTAGGAGAAAGAGCCAAGAAGAAAGTACTCTTTGGACGAACTCTTTAACGGGGATGCCAAGGCCAGGTTTGCATTGGCGGCAAGCCATAGCTTTTTGGCTCCCCCCTTGCAATTCTTCGAAATACCCTCGTCTCGGGACGCGGTACAGCCACGTGTCCCGTGGCTATAGTGCATTGGTGCCAGTCGATAGTCTGAATGCGCATGCTTTAGTGTTTCTGAAGTGTCCTTTTATTTCATTGAACGATCTTTGATACGTTTTATGGCAGTGGCTGATATATTACGAGGCGAATGAAAGAGCAACTGATGATTATGAGCTCCGAGCTGCAGGGCAGTGCCGTGGTTTATCGCAGGCGCGCTTAAAATACTGGTAGCGACTTGATCATATAACTACTGCAGGTACCAGCAAAGGCGCCTACAGCTACGGTAATGTGACAAAAGTTTGCGACCACCCCACCACACTCCAGTCGATAGCAACATGCACAGTGTCTTTGACCAATGATTCCTCTATGTATATTTATTCAAATAGAAAGTTGTATATATCAATTCTTAGCGCTTGAAACGTCAATTAATATCTGGTATACCATCCTCGCGCCCGAATCACAGCGCGCAAGCGACGCTCCATAGAGTCAATAAGTGCTGTAATCTGCTGCTGAGGGATTGAATTGTGCGCAATTTGCACACAGCGTTGGAATTCTATCATATCGATGCTATTGTCACGTAAATTACGTAGATGAGGGAACATTCTTCTAATCTGTCTCTTCAGAATGGCCCAATAGTGCTCAATCGGGTTCAAATCCGGCGAGTTCTTCGGCCAGTCAATATACTCGATGCCCTGATGTTGTAGGAAGGTAGTAACAGTATGAGAGGTGTGAATTCGAGCATTATCTTGCTGAAAACGCCGTGTGCCGTCATAGTGAGGAAGTAGGCCCTCTCGTAAAGCCTTTATATAGCTTCAAGCCGAATAACCGTGCCGCTGAGCGGCTTCATCGCGTGTCATCACCACTAAAGGAGTCCTTCCTTCTTTCCAGATACCTCCCCGCTTTCGCTTCATTGACAAGCACATTGATGAGCATCGTCAAAATGACCACCTGGTTGAGATACGAAATCGAGCACTAAGTCACTAGCATCGCGGCTTCTGGATTTGGGGGCTGGCTAGACCTGTTATTAATAATTTCTTTGAGATCCAACTTCCCAAGCTGCCCCGTCGCGGACGGCACAGAAACTTTGACATTGCTTTGATAGCCCACAGAAGTCTTGACATCTAGGTGCTAGCCGCAGGAGCCCGAGCTCTGATTGTCCTCCAGGAAGCTGGTCAGGCGATTGTTGTGCAGTTGGCAGGATCTATTTGCGGCATGTGGTGTAGTCAAGCTGGAGTAGCACGGTCCATCAGGCAGGACCAACGCATAATGTATATATACACCCATATGGCTTGAAACTAGTCTATTGACCCTCTAAAAGCTCATCAATGGCTTCGTCATAAGCCACTATGGTATCGTTATAAAGTTGGTCTGGGTTTCCTGCAGGAGTTCCAACATTTAGCCTTGCTGTTTCCCCAAACATTATGGACCGGATCTTGAGACAAAGCGGCTTCACAACATTAAAGATGTCTGGAAACTCGTCCATAACCTCTTCAAGACCATTTACGGTCATATGCCACCCTTTAGCATTCGCAATATCTTTGAAGCTACCAATTCCCCATTTCCGGAGAAGGCTCTCCCGAGGTGGTTTTTCCTCGCCCCCAAACCTATTGGACCATGAACAGCGCGCACACATCCAGAGCAGAACGTAGAAGAATGACTCAAGGTCATGACGGTAGGTGTGATCGACCCCCCGCAGCACTTGAATGGCCATAAACTGCATTGTGCCAGTCTGGTGTCGCGCCCCACTTGGCCCACTATCTCTCACTTTCGCCAGGTCAAGATCAATGAGCATACCCCTGAAGCCATCCGCCGTCTCGGGGTTTGTAATAATGATGTTATTTGAAGAAATATCGCGATGTAGGATGTTGCCAACGGTGTAGAGAGACTGGTGTGCCCTAATCGCATCTCGCATCGACTCCAGCAGTTCCTTAATCGTCCTAAAGTCGCTGATGACACGGCCGGCTGGTGAGACGACGAGGCAGGAATAAATCCTGTTCTCCCATGGGTCCTCGCCAGGCATGTACAGGCTCGGCTTAGCCTTGCCGATCGATAACTGGTCATTAAATTCCGTGCACAGCTTTGACTTCTGACTGTTGGGCCGTCGCTTCTTGGATTCTGACGTATTGTCGGAGGCGTCATCGTCGGATGATTTGCGCTTGTGATCCGATGTGTGCGTGCTTGCGGTGGCCGACGGCAGATCTTCAGAAAAATTGGCCTCATTTCGGAACTTGTGATGCTTCGGGAACTCCAGTCCATCCCGCAGCTCTGCAATGGTGGTGATCTGGCGATACGCAACCACTCTGGCCACTCCTTTGACACCCCGTTGTTCAGCCAACTTTAGTTGTTCCGACTCTAGCTTCCGCTTATCCGATGCCCACGAGAACTTCGCGACCTGGCTGTTTTGGGTCTCGTAGCACGTAGTTCCGCGGCACACAATGGCCCACTGCCTGACCATCGCCTTGTCCAACCTAACCCTCATCTCATTGCCGCTCGCGTCGTCCAGTGTGACATGACGACACGCATCCCCTCGCTCGATGAACGTGTCAAGGCCCATCGCATCGTCATCCATTGTAGCATATCCCACAAGTGCACGCGCAAACTTATCCGGCTCGTCGTGAATGTCGAATGGCCCCGAGCTGTAAGCCCCAGAGCGGTCGAAGACCCAGAGCTCCATCGTGGAAGCGCAGAGTGAGAACGCGTGCACGAACCGGCGTGTCGGCTGGTCGGCGAAGACGCCTCGCACATAGCGCGCGAGCTGGAGGAGAGTCGCCTTGAACCTGCCTGTGTCGTTTGACTTCTTTTGCTCTCCAACCACCAGGACGTGTTTATACTCAAACGTGTCGTTCGCGTTCGTGACTGGTGTTTGCAAGAAAACATCCATCTGGCCTTTCCGTTCCTTAAACTGGTTGGCGGTTCTGGTGGTATGAAGCCTGTGTGGTGCATCGGCTAGGAAGCGCTCTTCAAGTAAGCAAAGCCAGTCCCAGACGGGTCTTTCGTCGGTAGTGGAAGGAAATTCTGTCCATTTCTTTCCGTCGTGTGCTGTCATCATCGCCCTCAGCATCGCTTTCTGTTCTTGGCGCCAGGACTTGGGATCGAAAAACTTGTCACAAAATCCCTTCACATTGCGAAAGGTGCAGTTTTTAATTTCCTCGAAGAGCTCCCCTTCGACAACGTCGCGCGTTTCGCTATCAGCAAGTCGGCTCGAGCTGGTCTTGACAGGTGTTCCTTTGAATGTCGGTGCGATGCTGGACCCAGGGGGGGTGAGGGCACTGAGGGATTCGACGACACTAAAGACTGTTTCCCAGATGTCGATGTCAGAAGCTTTGTCGATGATGCAACGAGCAAGACGACGGAAATGCTCGCTTTTAAAGGATCCTTTTCGGACACCCGGATATAAGGGGAAAAGATCATCAGCTAAAGTCTCCTTTCCACCTCTAGAGCCAAGGTTTAATGCGGCGCCAGTATCAACCAGTGCCAATATAATGCTCGCTGTCGCGTCGCGCCATGATCGGTCTGCCTCGTCGAGGTCGCGTAGCTTGTCGCGGAAGCGATCTAACGTATCATTGAGCGGATGCTCCGAAATAACGTTGATTTGTTGCTCCGTAAGGGGCATGTTGAGGATGGATAGAAGCAAGTACTGTGGAAGGATGGGATGGAAATGTAAACAAAAAATGTAACGACGCCATGAGTCACGTGAGCTGACCACGACCCGCGCTAAATAGAACACAATGTCCGATCCACCAAGCGCCCCAACAGAGATGGATGTAAATACTCTTTGGTCGTGCGTGTGTATAAACAGGTGGGAACTCGTCCTCACATCTATTAAATATTCTGTGAAAAGGGTAATTCCTATTTCTATTACATACACCTAGGCCCCCTAGTACCACCTGGTTGTGTGCTCCATGGTCCGTCTAGGGACGGAGGGCACTTGCATCCCCGTAGCTTGAGAGCACCAATCAAATGCACCAGATTCGGGCTTAGGCCCAGTACCACAGCCATATTCAGCGACTTGCTGAACTCCAGCTAGGTACAGCGCATGTATGTAGAGCGCTAGAGTCGACACCTGAATTCACATGGGGTAGATCTCCTAGGGGATGTAAATATTACTAAATTTATCAACAAAAAGAACGCGCTCTATCCGATGTATATTTATGCATTGTTACGTCATAAGGGCCAGGTATATGAATAATAGATTTGAGATTGACGAGTGGCTTCCTAAATATTTGCAGCATTTAGAGTCGTACTACCAGCTCTTGAAATAGGCCGATTTTGCTTTACTTCTCCTTTCTTTCCTGTTCATTCCTCTGGTTACTCCAGCGCATATTGTTCCTTTTCATTGTTCGTTGTGTGACACTTTCACAGAGCCCTGTAAGGGCACGTTCGCATTTGTGTCTCGTGTATAGCCGATGGAGTTCTAATCGCCCTGCCTCGCGCAAATAAGTGGGGCGGAGCAAGTAAGCACTTTTTCTAGATTTCTGATCCCTAGATGTCGTGTATGTGCCAGAGATCGGTCGCTTGCGACTATGAGAACGCAAATTTCTTTTCCAGCGAAGCAAAGCCTCCCTTTTAGGTTCGAAGTATTCCTTCGCGCACTTTCCTTCTCTCGTACCAAACCCGATCGGGTTAATTTGGTCCTCGACTTCACAGTGAGGCTGGCCGTTGGTTGGGGGAACCTAGGAGATTGTCGAGGCCGATTCTGAATGAGTGTATTTGTGATTAGTGTGTCTATACTACGTCATTTTGTATCCACCATTGAAGTGGTATATATCACTGGTCGCCATACCCCGGTATATGAATACAGGGCGGTCATGCAACTAAAATATCTTAGTCTTGGGTTCAGCGTTTGGGCGACGACGAACGCGCTGTCTTCTCACCACATGGAATATTTCGCCTGAGCGTCATCCCCAAGGCGGATCATCTATGGCGTTAGAACCAGCACTTCAGTTAAATCCCTCTGGGCTGCGCTCGGAGGGCTTCGTGTTTGTTGAGGATGCGACCGTTGGCCAAGAAGTCGACCAGTTGCGCAGCGTTGGTTTCCCGCTAAAAACCACTCGAGAGGGGTTGAAATTTTGCAGGCAGAGGCTTCTCGAGGACGAGGTACGTGCAGGCATCTAAAACATGAAGCGGGTTTTTTCTTAACTTTTCAGCGAATTCAACGTGTCCTCTACTCCTTCTACGACTCACCCTGTCTTGGTGTGTTCCACTGGTACACTTGTGACCCAAATCAGACATACATCTTCACGAAAAAAGAAGGCCGAGACCCACCAGCCGTTGTGGTACATCTATTCACCCCCGAGACACGTTTATTGCTTTTTGAGGGCTCGCAGTTGAAGATCTTTAAAACATGGCATGCACCAAATGGCTTGTTGGTAGTTGCGAACGCAGCTCTGAGAAAGGCAGGTATCATGGGCAAGGAAGTTGAGCTAAAGTGTGGTGGCATGTAAGTTTGCAAAATACGTAACGCAACTCCAGCTAATGAGGGCTACAGGGTTATTTCGGACACTCGACTCGGGTTCCGGGCTTTAAAAGGGCATGCGATCATTGGCATATTCGCTGATAAGAACGGCGATGAAATACAAAAGTGGGACAAAATAGAACTGCGAACAATTGACGATCTAAAAGAAGAGGTTACCGAAATGCAGAAATGTGGAATATGGACGAACTTCACGTTTGTCTAGCACTGAAGCAATCTCTCAGTTGCAAAATTGCGAGATGGCCATGTAGTCCACTATCTGTATGCCTTCGCCGCTAGATCTTCGACAAGCATTCCGTCACTAGTCATAATTTCCTCATTCTGAACGGTATGGGTGCTTTGTGATTTTAAACTTATTGTCGGCCAACTTCCTTCTGGAGGGTAACAATCGCGCATGGGTTGCCAAGAACTACCCAATCTACTTGCGAAGAACAGGGCACCTCTCGCCTCTGATTGAGTCTCTTCCATGAATGGGAAGCCGACATTCTGGGTTCCAAAGATGCTTCCTCTGAGAGGGCCGGTAGGAATGGCAAGCTGAGGCATTACGTCTGACGAAATATGGTTGGTGGATAGATCGAAAGCATCGGGACAAAGGAGTTGTGAGGGATTCGTCAAAGTCTGAGATTCGTCGAGTATTGGATCGCTGCATCCGGTGGGAACCCTTTCAGGATCTCCTGAGCTTGACTGGACGTCATTAGCCGCCTGTATTTTCAAGCGTTTTCGTGGCGGTGAGAGTTCACGTTGCGGATTTGCAGTCGTGCGCTGTTTCGCCGCAATACATTTTTTCATATCGTTTTTGACCAATATCCTAAGCGCATTTCGCCTCGCCAAGATACGGGCCTTTTCGGTGCCCCCTACTTTCGTGCACTTGTGGTCGATGTATAGGCTTACCCGATCGAACGTCCGATTGCAAAGGAAGCATACTTCGTAGCATTTGACATCTACAAGTTAAAGGCAGTCAGTAATGTCTCAGAGACAGGGCACAAAGACCATACGTGTTTGATAATGCCGCTTCATTCTTGTTCGTGACGGGAACTTTGCGTCACACTTTGGTTGAGGGCATGATATCTGAGAACATTCACTGGCCACATCATCATTCTTCACCATAGTCTCCAAGCAAGGATCATCATCATCACTACTCTCTATCTCCACTTCATGATCACCCCCCAAGGTGGCTTCTTCCCTCTCCGTCTCTACGCCGCCAATGTCAATTCCATCGTGTATTTCGGTCTCGGCGCTGTCGCTAGGATTTTCACGCCTTTCTCCGGTCGTATAAGTGTGTGTAATGCATTTCAGTAATTCGAGAGTCAAATATCGGGCTCGATCCTGTGTGTAATGAGTAAGTATGGGCTCAACCTGGCAACGAAGTTAATTACCTTAAAAAATTCAACGTGTTCGTGTAGATCCGCAGCTCTTGGGAAGGGCTTGGAACAGGTTTGGCATTGCACTGGCATGTTCTCGTCGTCAATGGGTCAGTCATCAGAAGAAGATGGCACCTCATTATCGCATTGAGAAGTTGGACGATTTAGGAGACTGGCCCGGAATAAAGCGGAGAAAAGTCTCGTAACCCGAATGGAGCACATTAGCGGTAATCATCGGCCAATATGTGGAGCCTCCACATCGTCATTAAAACCCGCAGTTCCTCCTCCCTGGCGAAAGACAATAAAAAATTGTGCACACAGCAAGTTTCACTGGAAAAAAGCTTGTGCAGTAAGTCCTAGCCCATGCTTCGATATCGAATGGTGCTTTAATGACTGAGGTTGCAGGACGTGTCTTGAGCTCGGCCTATTAGCAGAACATCCGTACGGAGAAAAAGTATGCCTGAGGACTGCCCCTTCTGCCAGGGCGAGGGGGAGACTGGGGGTGTCCAATGCACAGAGTGCAAGGGCGAGGGGAAGAAGTAAGGCTGAAGCTACTATCGCTACTGGGCCGTGTAACGACAATTAGACAAATTGTATTTTATGTGAATGCCTCATTTCCTCTGAATGCCTGTCTCTGCATCCTTCCAGGTTCCCGTCCAGAAGATAGCTTACGTACCGTGCTAACTCGTTTTAGAGCAAAACGCCATTTCGCTTACATCGGCATCAGTTGTTCACCTGGAACAGGGTTCTTCGTCCATTAAAACGAGACCGACATCATTCGTCCACGGGGAACAAAGAACGAGACCGGCATCATTCGTTCAGACAAAACGGCAGACATCCCCACATCAACGGAGAACTGCATCATTCGTCCACAGAGAACGAGACCTAAGCCGGGTTAGGACGGAAAATGCGTCCAATCAAGAGGCTCGTCACATGTGGCTGAAGTCAATGTTGTCGTTGCGGTGAGCTACCAGCGGCAAGATGTCCAAGGCAATCTCGGTCATGCCATGGATGTACACTCTGCCGGATGTGTGGGGCGACAACGCATCTCGACAATCGATGTTCCTGCCTCTGGAATAGCCTCCACAAGATGATGTTACGGGATGATGAGTTGGGAGTGTTTGCCGTCAACGGGTATTGTTTCCAGTTATGATGATGAATTTGTCGCCTCCTTGCCGACTGGGCTGGGAATAGATTATCCATGCATGCATGCAATCGCATCGGCTGTGATGTGGCGTTGTTGGTTGGACGTTGGATTGAACGCTGCCCATAGCTTTGGGATACGTCAAAACCTGCATCGAACGGAACGGATGGTTTGGCCCTATATAAAGTGGACTCATTCGTCCCACGAACGGAAGAAACATGATGAACTTCGATGGAGATAGCAGCTCTCCCATAACTTCATCAATCATTCCACGGCTGTCTTTCGTCAGTAGACTCTGTTGCATATCAAAACCACGCAACTATGCCAACATACTCGAACGACAGCATTCCATGGACCTGGAATATGCTTGGTTCAGCTGAACCTATTCGAATCGTGGATTTCTCCCAGCCTGATCCTTCGCTGCCAGGTTTCACCCAGCTTCTTACCTGGGCGTTTAACATCTATGGTCCTATGATGTGCATCTATGGATTTTTTACAGTCTTGAAACCCTACCTTGGCAAAGTACAGTCATTGCTTGAAGGTCACTTCAGTTAGTATCTATCTCTGCAATAAAGTCCCTCTCTGACCTCGCTTAGCCGTAACACTCCATGTAAAAGCTACCGACGAGGCATTTGATATGCTTATGGCCTGGCTCTCGTCTCGTGGAGTTGATAACGCGGCAAGATCAATTATCGCTCAAGTAGGGAAGTCGAAGTCTAGAGATGGCGCCGACAACGACGAAAAGAAAATGATTTCCTTTTCACCATGGACTGGATCTTTTACTTTTTCATTTGGGCACAAAACCCTTTCCTTCGAAATGCAAACTGTCACCACGGGGTTGCACAAAGAGGAGGTCATTACCATTAGTTGCCTTGGTAGATCTGTTCAAGTTCTTAAGAATTTTATTGCAGAATGTCGACAGGAATACTTGCAGCATATTGAAAACAAGATAACAATGTTCAAAAACTCTGGCGACTACTGGAAAAGGATATCAACTAAAGAAAAACGGCCACTTGCCACTGTCATTATCAGTGGCTCTCTGAAACGAAAGTTGGTGGACGACATCAAGAATTTTCTAAGCGAGGAAACTCAACACTGGTATACGCAGCGCGGCATCCCATATCGAAGAGGGTATTTGCTTCACGGTCCACCTGGCACCGGGAAGTCAAGTCTCGGCTCGGCGGTGGCCGGAGAATTTAATCTGGACATTTACATCATCAGTGCCCCCACCGTGGATGATCAGGCGCTGGAGGAACTATTCAACAGACTTCCTGAGAGATGTGTTGTTTTGTTGGAGGATATTGATGCCATTGGAACGGATCGACAGGGTTCAGACAAATTTGGAAAAAAGGCAAAGGCACTCTCTCTATCAGGACTTCTAAACGCCTTGGATGGTGTTGCATCTCAAGAAGGACGAATTTTGATCATGACTACAAATCATATTGAAAATCTGGACGAAGCGCTCATAAGACCGGGCCGTATTGACATGAAACTTGAAATTCCGTTGGCAGATTCAGATGTGACCAAAGACCTGTTCAGCTTCGTGTTCGGGCCTAAAAATCAACATGACGCCGTTGACGACGAGACATTATTGGAACTGAGCAGACTTGCAGCAGATTTTGCCAAGAAGGTCCCAGAACTCAAATTCAGCACGGCGCAGATCATGTCTCATCTCTTAAAGCATAAGGACTCGGCTGAAGACGCGTTGAAGGAAGCCAATGATTGGGTCGGATTTGCACCAAGTGAGAAGCCAGTCAAGGATGGAGAAAGAAAGTGTAAGGAATCTATAGAGACTGTTCGGCATTTGGAAGACGGCTTGTGGATGAAAGATTATGACGAGGAAAAGCCCGCCAAGAGCCGAATAAAGAGGACCAAGAAGTTTCCCGACTTAAAACTGCTTATACCGTAAGTCCTTCTCATAACAGACAAGCATTCAGACTTTGCAGCTAACCAGGATGTAGTGTCTCTCCGCCTCCATCGCTTTGTGCTTCCACGCCTCTCTTGAGTGCCGTCGGCGAGTCCACTGTCCATAGAACTTCCGCTCCGCCTGATGCAGGTGCCGGCGCCGAGCCGGAGCTAGTTGTGCAAGATCATCGCAGCAAAACCAACTGCGACCGTAATTCTCAAATTTGGGACACTGACATGGATTTCACCTTGGATCATGGAGCTCGTAAAATGACTGAAGTTGACTGCGGCGATTCCGGCATCCAAGGCTGGAGGAAGGAGAAGCCATCCTGTGATAAGGTCTCTACATCCGATGACGGAGATCACTGGCCAGAGGCTGAACCACAGGGTTGTAACGGAGCTTTCCACCCAATCGGGATGTTGAAGAAGGCTATTATCGTCACAACGTCTATTGAACAGACTACCAGCCCCCGCATTGGGTCGATGACGATCAACGAGATTCAGACCGATATCACAGCGATGCGTCCCATCAATTCTCATGATAATATTTCTGCTCTGCCGTCTCTCGCTTTGGGTTCTCCAGATCTTCTATTTGGATCTCATGGGTTTGATGCAGTTGGGGATTCTTCTGGAGAGATCACACGGTCGGCACCTATCTGAGCTGCTGAGAGCACCCGTAGCCCCCCGGAATGAACATTCCGCTGGAAACTCTGACAAGAACAGAGAGCTGACTACCAGCAGCGAAATTAAAGGTCCAGAAAACATTGTTCCTGTGGATACATTTCAAGGAATGAGTCTGGCATGGCACACCCGATGCTGTCGATGGGTCGCGAGGCAGCGGAGATTGAAGATCTAGGGCGAGAAGCAGGTCGCCCATTATATATATGCGTATGAAGCGCAAGACTGCCGCTAACGCCGCGCATATATGTATTGTTTAGGTCCCTGACACATAGTTATAATTGCCGTTAATTCACTCATTAGCTTCAAACATATCGAACAGCTCACCATTGAGAGCGACGATCTGGAAAAACTCCATTGTTACTTTGAGGCGTCGAAATGGTGGGAAGGATAAATCCTGTTGCCAGACATTAGCTATACCTTCGCAGCATTTTCTACCCAATATCACCGGGGGACAATGGCCAGGTCTTGCCAGAAGGTTTAAACTCTGTAAAAAGGGCAGGGCTCGTGCATTACACAGATTGGGAGCGCCAATCAAATGCACTGGATTCGGGCGTAGGTTCAATACCACTACGACAGCCAACGACTTGCTGAAACTCAGTTATCACTCACGTAAATGTGTTGCGAGCCTCTCCATGCAGATGTAGAAGTATTTTTCTGTCGATGGATAAATTCACACAGGGCGGACCTTCTAACTAGTGAAATATACTTTATGTACAACTAGGATTTACCGGTACGGCCGCGGCAGAAGCTACAAAGGTGGGAAGTGCATGAGGTCAGACTGGGCTGGGCATTTCGGGTGTCGCGCTATCATCAACAGAAGCAAAATAAGCAAAATCGAAAGCCAGGAAGTCAATACAGGAACGAATGAGAAAAGTAACAACGTTCTAACAGCGGGCAAGGCGACTGTTTCTGCTACTATCTGGTCAGTATGCTTGTGTTGACAGTACCACAAAAACCTCCGTGCTGCTCCACAATTAGACCAGTTGGTGACTTTCTGGCCATAAAACAGACGCACGGCGTAGCATCCACTTTTTGCCAATTGACAAACCAGGAACCCGCCAGCCCATGTCCCGAAGTTCAGCCATTTTCCGACGACAGGTGCATACATGTTAACTGGGTACCACCATCCTTTTTCGGACGATCCACTCATCATTTCATAGACCCGGGTTTTCCCGACTTGGGTCAAGTTGGCAGGAGATCGTAAATCTGGGTTCTTGACTTACGTCTGCTGGACTTGGGTAATCTTCATTCGCCTGCTGCCGACCTGGATTTATAACCTGTGTTCGCTTGACTGGGGTCTATGCAGTAGTCAGAAATGGATTTATAGACCTGTGTTTACTTGACCTGTGTTTACTTGACCTGTGTTTACTTGACCTGTGTTTTACTTGACCTGTGTTTTACTTGACCTGTGTTTTACTTGACCTGTGTTTTACTTGACCTGTGTTTTACTTGACCTGTGTTTTACTTGACCTGTGTTTTACTTGACCTGTGTTTTACTTGACCTGTGTTTTACTTGACCTGTGTTTTACTTGACCTGTGTTTTACTTGACCTGTGTTTTACTTGACCTGTGTTTTACTTGACCTGTGTTTTACTTGACCTGTGTTTTACTTGACCTGTGTTTTACTTGACCTGTGTTTTACTTGACCTGTGTTTTACTTGACCTGTGTTTTACTTGACCTGTGTTTTACTTGACCTGTGTTTTACTTGACCTGTGTTTTACTTGACCTGTGTTTTACTTGACCTGTGTTTTACTTGACCTGTGTTTTACTTGACCTGTGTTTTACTTGACCTGTGTTTTACTTGACCTGTGTTTTACTTGACCTGTGTTTTACTTGACCTGTGTTTTACTTGACCTGTGTTTTACTTGACCTGTGTTTTACTTGACCTGTGTTTTACTTGACCTGTGTTTTACTTGACCTGTGTTTTACTTGACCTGTGTTTTACTTGACCTGTGTTTTACTTGACCTGTGTTTGTCTGACCTGTGTTTGTCTGACCTGTGTTTGCTTGACTAGGGTCTATGCAGTAGCCAGATATGGATCTATGGACCTGTGTTTACCTGACTGGGGTCTATGCAGTGGCCAGAAATAGTCCATGCAGACTCAGGTCCTGCATCCTTTGTGACATTTTGGACAATGTGTAGAGACAGGTCAAATAGACACCAGCAGATATACTTGACCCATGTAAACTCAGGTCTGCTGCCATTTTTGGATAATTATAGAGACCCAGGTCACCTAGACTCAGGTTTATTATCCACTTCCTGCCAACTAGACCCCGGCGCTGTCAATGTGTGATACCGGATCCTGGACTCAAATCATTGAGCATTTGGTATCCATCCTCCGACGATATCCAGGGGGTAGGATCAGTGCTCTTGGGATCAATAATGCTGGCGATGAGGGGGCGAGAGAGCTCAATATTGTAGGGAAGCTCGTTGAGATAAGTACTCCTGCCATCCGTACTCCTGGGGTCAACATTACGGGGATCCGGGTATCAACACTCCTGGTACGCTGGGATCATTGCTCCTGGGACCAGCGGGTCCCACTTTTGGATTTGTGCCCCTGGGACCTGTGCTCCTGGGTTCTACTGATGCTAGGAGTACTGAGTCCAGAAATACTCATCCAAAAATGAACCCCATACTGATCCCAGGAGCAATGATCCCAGGAGCACTGATGATTCCAGGAGCACTGATGATCCCAGGAGCACTGATGATCCCAGGAGCACTGATGATCCCAGGAGCACTGATGATCCCAGGAGCACTGGCCCCCAATTTTGGATGCGTGGTCTCTTGGGCTCATACTCCTCGGATCGGCACTCCTCGGATCGGCACTCCTCGGATCAATCAGTACTTTGACATCTGTCTTCCTGGGATCAAAACTCCTGACATCGGCAGCGTCCGCGCCCCTCGGATTGAAAGATCCATTTTGGACGGCTTTGGTAGGTACTCCTGGCATCAGTGACATCCAATTTCTGACGTGTACCACTTTAGGCCGTGATCCTGGGATGTGCGAAGCATCCATTTTCAGGGAGAGTGGAGAAACAGCGACGGAATCGGATCTGGTCTTGCTAAAGAACTCACTTCCTTTTCTAGAATCCACCACTCGCTACTTTTGGCACTTCGTCCCAGGCAGTTCTGGATCAGGAATTGCCCGCGATCTCACAAGCGTTGGAGGCAGTAGTGGTAAGCGGCATGAAAAGGCCGTTGCTTGGAACTTGTGTGGTCAGACGCTGAACATGAAATTCGAGCCCATGAAGAAAGGCCTCCTCTCAGGCACAAGCCACTGGATTACCGTCACAACGCCCGTTTGCTTCTGACTCTCCATGAGCAGCCCAGCCAGGTGCATGGATACCATCGCAGAGATTCCGAAGCATATTCCCACAACGGTTGAAATTGGCTGCCAATAATGTCGGAGATTTTCCTACAGATTCTCCTCCATGTGCCACCACCCCGGACATAAACCATGTTGCGTCGCAGAATTAAATGGAATCGCACCCACGGAATATTCGCCGGTACGAGGAGCCTGAGGATACCAACATCACGACTACAGGTGAAGTGCACGACTAATGTAGAAGGGAATTTAGTATCTCAGATAATACTTGACCAACGACGAGTATACGGACACCGGAATGCAAGGCATTTTCCGGGGGATTGCAGTATCGTCACTTCTGCCTTCGCTGGCAATGTCAATGAGTTGTGCCAGTTCGAGAAGGAAGGACAAATACGGGAATTGATGTGGATGACACAACTGAACCCAAAGGATCATACAATTCACAGCGGGTTGAAGCGGCTAATTATTACCGCTCACTCAGTGGCATGCTTCGCAATGCAAAGGGAATAGACATGGCTCGGATTGGATCATCTACAAGGGCATCCATCATCACCAGGTACCACCAAAAGGCTTTGGGTCCCAGAATGGTCAACCAACGCAATGACGCGCTGTCCACAAACCGTGCTTTCCCCGGGCGTCCCAAATCCCAAAAATCAAATTCGGGGAGTTGCGCTGAAGGCGATATGCCCGCCGATAGCGAACAGTAAAAGTGGCTGCTTTATAACACTGTGTACCAATTGAGAGTTCCCTTCAACTGCAAAACAAATTTAGTTATCTTTGCATTCCACGAGATGCTTTCGCTATATTCTGGATTCGCTGCAGCGATCCGGTTTTACTTCAGTATAGTGGTTCCGAAAATTGACTGCACTGCGACCGACAATGGAGGCAGTAGGGCACGCCGGGTATGGTATTGAGCCTACACCCGAATCTGTATCATTTAATTGGTGCTCCCAACCTGTGGAGATGCAGGAAGGTGCAGTAGGATTCAGGCGGCGACCCGGACAAGTGGAAGCGGTCTACAAGGTCGTGGTGGGTCAGCAAGATCAACTCTTGATTGCACCTCCTGGCTGGGGCAAGAGTGTGGTCTCATCTTTCAGGCAGTTCCAGCTCCAAGCGGCGAAGGCATCATGATTATGCCGCTGACTCTTCCAGAAGAGGACGGGTTAGTCTCCTATTATTGATAGGATTGTGGTATCTTACCAAGTCATGTTTTTGGTAGGCCAGATCAATATCTCTGATTTCGGGCTGCAATCCATACACCCTCAACGCAGCCACGAGTTCGCCAGCATTACTTGAAGGCAGGAAGACTAGTCCTGTATATTCGCCTTGAGTTCTGACGGGGGTGGCGGCATGTGAAGGCAGAAGGATCGCTCATAGAGTGGGCTGATGAAAGTGGCGACGTAGGTGTTCCCATTGCACGTCTCGGCTTAGTTGAGTTGCATAACAGCGCTGTTCTTGACATTGATGATGCGTGAACTGCGAAGTTACTAGATGGCCCACCAAAATCTGCCAAATATATCTCGGGCCCTCTGGGAGCCATTACCTCTTTTGGGCAGGCATCGCGTAGTAAGCGCGCCCAGTGGGCCTGAGTGCCTGAGGTAAACTATGGCGAGGTAGCACAAGGAACTATTATGCCCTGAAATCAATTAAATTTCTTCCCGTTTATAATATCGTGTCTAGCACTATTTAGCATCCCTGAGTGCTACTTCACGGAATGTACAGTTGTGGCTGGGCTTTTGCGCTTCGGAGGCATTTTAGCGATAAAGCCCCTAATTTTGGTGTATATGTAGCCAATAAGAGCGCGAGCTTGGTCATTTGCCCAACTAAAAACGACACCCCTGCTAGCGTGCCAATGTATGCCCGACCAGGGGATACGCAGCATCGGTACTGTCAACACAACCAAAGCCAAGTTGCCTCATTGGCTGAGATTAGTGGGCCAACTCACTTTGAGTAGAGCAAAAGGCACGCGGAGTTTGCCCAGCTTGAATAGCTTTTTATCACAGGCACAGTAGGTCAATTCACATGCGGTCAACTATCTTTGAGTTCACGCAGGTTGGACTATGCCGCTAGGGACACTCAGGCCGCGCAGGTGAGAGAAAACTATGTTTAATCAAATGAGTGGATGTACCCGTCGGCAGGTACTTGAAATACCTTCGGTCCCCCAAAAATATCTCCACCAAAAACGGACCTGACGAAACCAGATTAGGCTGTTAATTGCACCCGCTCCTGGGAAATTGCGCTGGAATTGCTTCCTTGTTGCAATGGACTCATTCTTTCAGATGACTCTCGCACACAATCGAGTTCTCATACTCAGCCATGCACCTTGCTACGAGAACGGTATTTCGGATCTGCGCGAGGGTGAGCGAGAAGACGTTTAATTTAAGAACAGGGGAAAGTACAAACGAACCTCGCGGCCATTTAAATCCACGTCTGTTAAACTGTCAACCGGCTTTTGGCAATCCGGTGTCCCCTTATTGGTTATTGCCTGCTCCAAGAAATACTGCCATACCGCCTTGGACATACTGAGCCGCGACAGACAACCTAAACTTCGTCAACCAAACCTCTGCCTCAAGCCTATTTCAGCTGCCATTTGATCCAACCCTATCAAATCTCCCTGGAATGTTTGTTGAAGCTCCTTGTCAATGTACCCAGGAGTATAACCGCCTCCAAAATCTACAACAATCGCGTCTCCTTCTGCATTTATTATGACGTTGTCTGGTTTCGCATCCCCCCAAACCACACCGAGTTGGTGCAGTCGCTTCACTGTTGCTTCCACCTGACGCATCCACTTCATTTTTCTTGCTGCAGAAGCATTTCTTGTTCGCAATGTGAGGGTTTCTCCCTCGACATATTCCAGGAGAAACCCCATCAAGCATGACACATCATCATCCCACACAACAAGCCCAACAAGTCTCGATGTTCGCAAGGACGGATCTGAATAGCTACTGAAATTGATCTTTGAAAGTATTTCCAGCTCTCGTAGATGGCCGTGTTCCCTAAAACCGGCTTTGAAGAAGAACACTTCATCGGTTCCAGTCCGCCGTACTTTCTTTGGCACATCACTCAATTCCTCAGGACGTAAACCATCAGTCACTCGCTCAAGTTTCGACGCTGAAATAACTGGAACGGGTGGAAGGGTAGACCGAATGATGACTTCTTCCGGATCAAAACAGTGTGAACCCGAGAAGTCCACCAGGGAGTCGACGATTTGAGTTCGAGGACTCATATCACCGTGCATGTCAGGATCATAGCATTCTTGGATGGCGCAAAGGTGGCCTTCCTTGTTGACGAGCTTGAATGCAAAAGTCGGCGGGGAAAAGTATTCGAGAAGTGTGTTGATTTTCGAGGCGTCAGCCGTCCGAGTAGGGGCTGCTTGGCGTATGAAATCGTCCAAGGCACCGAGAACCCATTCCTCGAAGAGAAACATGTTGTCAGGGTCATCGATGTCCTCTCTGAAGCTATTAAATTGATGCAGAATCTCCCCTTCGCCTTCCAGCTTTTCCGCTGTAATGGTGACAAAGAATCGAGTACCGTTGTACAAGAACGCGTAAACAACGTCGTCGCCATGCACTGACAGTTCTAGCATGCAAAAAGAGGGTGTAGTAGCGTCGGCTTCCAGAGGTTCCATTTTGAAGGTTCGGAAGATGAGCGTCTGCAGTACGGTTCTACTGGTGATCGCCAACAATGGCAAATTTATTTGATGAAGAGGTCAAGCTTCTAGTGGTGGGCTTGAAAAGAAATAAACAAGGTAGTAGTAGTACGTGTGGACTGCCCCGCAAAAGCACCCTTCCACTGGCTTGCAGTGAGGGGTCCAATTACAGCGCCCGAATAAGCGCGACCTAAGAATAATTTCTTATCACAACCACTAGTTATGTCAAGAGTAACCTGCTCAGTATTAATGGTGACTGCTTGGCTGCATCTGCCGTGCCTGAAGCATGTCGGTGGCCTCGGCCAATATTCTGGTGGAGACCAGCTCCGAGCAGCACTGGACAATCGAAGCCTCCGAGCGCTTAAATGTTCCCGGCGCGAAATGAAACCAGCTTATAGCACTTCCCCACAAACCTCATCGCCACGATGGGACTAGCGTTGACGGAAATCAGCTTGCTTTCTATCGAAATCGATGATCCTCTGTCAGCCCTGTGAATCTTTGATACGGCTACAGAGCACTACAGCGCTTAAGCATCTTGGTATATATACGGCAGAAGCAAACGACCTCGATCAGTGTCTTTATGCCACCCCAATATTTCTTCTGGCTAATATTTTGGCCTGTCAGCAGTCAATTAGCTTGTCTTTTCAGTCAAATTAATCTCACAACACCCTTCTTTCCGACATGTGTGGACGAAGAAAGGTCCAGTTTCGATGTGGTTGTCAGAAGTACACTGGTGGAATTATGTACTGCCCGGACGCAGGCAGATCCTCTAGTGGTCGCCGAGTCATGTGTGGCCAAAGAACTGCAAGAACCTACATGTATGAATCTGCCAATGCCTGTGGTGACACTAGGCGTTGCCTTGTCAGCTATTTTGGTGGATATTGGAAGTGCCACGAATGTGATTACGGACACAATCGATACAAGATGTGCTCGGGAACGAATTGTACGCACGAGGTTTGCAGTCGCTGTCGCCAAGGCACCCGGTACTGACAGCAACGTACCGGCCGGTGTCCGCTACTCCCCAACACGAATCTCCACGACTTCGCAAAAGAGCAAGCACCATTTATCCCAGACATTTAACAGCCCAACAGCGGTATTAGGGGTTATTTAGTGAAAGCCAAGGTCAAATATCTGATTGAGCAGAGGCAATATGAAGCTAGTTAGTCTCGGAATAGAATCTGCCGGCTCGTTGGCCGCTCGATCGCCGTACTTATACCTAAATACTTCGTCGCCGGGCGAGTGTGGGGAGCAACTCAAGTAGAGAGGTTGGAAGCGATAGCCAGTTTTGTAGCAAGTCACAACAGAGGGTTCCAGCGGCTCGAGGCACATTCTAAATTAACATCTAATAGGTCCAAGTGACTCGCTAGGGGATGCACGTTTTTATCCATTGACTTGATGCGGGCCGAAAACTAAAACGCTTGGCTTTTTGTGGGGGGCAACGGGCGGCCGGGGGGCGCGACCGACAGACACAAATGCTGCTTTCAGTGTCGAATCGCGACGGGCGCTTGTCTACATCACCATGGCAGACGGGATCATGGCAATTGGTCGGCCAGCGCGCGGATTGCACGGCTCCCGTCCTGTCAGTGTTAAAAGACCATGTCAGTAATGGTGCTCCGGTTGACGAACTTTCACAAATATCCAGATGCGTTGTGTGATCACACTACCGTCTGCATAGCCGAACCTTTCTTCTGGCTAGCTAAGGTGGGAGATGCTGTCGGGCTCGGGAGACTACCTTGGGAGGAGAGTGGCTTGCGAGGATTTGGGACGGCCGGGGTCTTAGCGATTTTGCCTACCGGTGTAGGCGCCATGTGCGAACTGGTGTGTCCCATCAGATGGCGCTCGCTCAAAAAAACATGTCTCTGGCGTAAGCGCTTACTATTCATGCTGAACAACCCAAACCCTCTTTCGTATGGTTATACTTAAAGCTGCTCTCGTCACCTCGGACGATTCTCCTGGGTCCGGACGGTGACTATCGCATTTGGGTTGGGTGGTATCAATTAGTTTCAGTCAACCCGTAATATAGGTACTTCTAGCAACCTGCACTAAATAATAGTATTTTGGGCACCGTGTTTGGCGACGATCTTGCCTTAGTTCCCGTGGTTCTTATGTAGGGTACCTTATGAGGCCTAGTTGTGCAGCAATGCAGAGGGATGCAGATGAAGGGAGATGACGCCCAGATTTTGCGACGGCCTGTCGGCTCCAGCCCATTAATTATGCAGCCCATCAGTCTGCGCCACATGCCGCGTAACACACTTAGCACGAGCCAAGTTTCGCTCAGGCCAAAAAACAAGCGCCCAGGTAGGCGGCTGCTTCCACGCCTGCTCGACATCCAGCTCAACCCTTTACCTTCAAGCCTAGTTACTTGGGCGTACCAAGGTGTCGGCGCATACGGGGCTTCGTTATCCAGAGACGTTTGGATCAGCACATATAGGTTCGCCTCAAGTAATCCAGTTCGTGTGAGGCCCTAGGTCATACGAAATGGGCCGCGGTCTGCCCTCGTACATGTGTTCTGCTTTAAAATGGAATCTAGGTGATCTGCTCTGGTTCCGTCACTGAACCGGAGCTCTTGTGCTAGGCGGAGACGCAGACTGGAGGACCTGCTGAACGAGGACACATGCAGGACTGGTGAGAATGGTGTGCTGGCAAGTTACTAGCCCTGGCACTGTTCCTTCAGCAGGCCACTTCCAGAACCAAAGCCACCTTCACCCTAGTTTCGTGGGTAAACTGGTTCCTCTCTTGTACCAGTACACGTGTGGCACTAGCGCTGGATCGGCCCTAGATCAATTCGTGCTCGGGGATGCGGCGGGCACTGGCATGCCTGCGCTAGCCTGAATTGTAGGACAGCAGGTTCCGGATAGCAGGATTCTGCTGACACGCCAGTGCTATCCCCCTTGGATGGCTAGCGTAGCCTTGCTGGTCAATTTGTTGTGCTGCCCCGTCGCTGCTGCCCCGTATTTCAAGCTGCCCAAGGTCTGCTGTCATAAAATGGTGGTTAGCGTGTTTTGGTTAGCTGCTTAGGCAATTGCGAAGGCACCCAGTTTGCCTACAAATCGGCTCTTACGAGCCAGTTTTCAAAGACTTTGCCTCCACACACCCAGCTCTTTTTATCACGACATCCCTCTCTTGCGTCGAGCTGCTCAAACTACCTGAACACCTTCGCAACTTAACTTGAGCACTGTGATGCTCGAACTCTCGCTCGCTCGCACCAGCCAGTTCTGTGCACTTTCTCTGATGAGCTATGGTACCAGAACATTAGAGATGATTGCTTATTGGGTAAACTGCAGCCTAATTTGGCCCACGTTACATGGAAGGGTCTGCATCCGACCGTTGGTCCATAAATATAGACTAATGTCCCTCGCACTGTAGTATGCATTAAAGAGTGAGACTAGAGTATGCCAGGAAGTTGGTGACTATATACTTGAGAAGTATGAGAGATGCCTGCACTGATGCCGACGGTGCGCCAACAACGAACCATGCTATCTGTGGAACTAAATGTGCGGAATGCTCCTCGAGGGCAATCCAGTCTTTTGATGCGTCATCCGCGATTACGCACAAGAAACCGTCACTTTTCCAGGTCATCATTCTGGTGACCATGCCCACGAATCGTACGATTTGAGCTTTCGCCAATTTTGTCTTATGCTAACGATTAAATGCAGAGATGAGCTCCATTTCTGTTGCCTCTTCCCCAATTGCACTACCGGCCCTTTCAAGCGATGCAGCGAGCTAAGCAAACATTACCAACGGTTCCATATCCACACCAAAGAGCATTTGGACAAGTTTCGCGAGCGACGAAATATGCCAGCAGCCATCTTGCTCGGGTACGTTGATCGAGCACACGGAAGCAGCGGGGGAGATCCCATCAAGACAAACCGACATGTCGGAAAACAACGAAGCGGTTCCGATTCAAGAGCTGGCGAATATGTCCCAAATGTCTACGGAAATTTGATCGCCAGGTATTAAATGCCCTAGTTGTGACGTGGTGGGAGACATAAAGAGGGCACGGCAGTTACGCTTCGATGACCGGTCGCATCGCAGGTCGGTTACATCTGAATGCAATGAATGGCCATTGGCCCTTCCACAGTGCCTTATCGATCAAATGACGGATAAATCGAACAATGAGAGCCCAAAACCCGACATATACAAGACTTCAAAAAAACTATATCGTTGCCCATTCTGCGCTGATAAGGAACTGGCAATGGTCAGGAGTTTCACGACTCATCTGCTGAAGCATCACAACAATTCACGAATCTTCGATCTTAAGCCTGTGGCTTCACGTACAGAGGCAATGAGTCAATAAACTCTTCACCAACCACTACTGCTTGCCCAGCTGCAGGGGTCCGAAATCGTACCCCTCTGTCTGAAATCAGCCCCCAGATAGTTTTTTTTGTTCGACATATATAGTGTAGAAATTATGCCCCCGTTGCCCTCGAAGGTAGGCGCGCTGCCTATCGTCAAGGAGAATCAAGCAGCGCCACACTATTGGTCCCCAACATGGGGTTACTAATGACCTGCGCAAGCAGTGGAACCACCCCGTAGTAGGGGCCAGAGTAAGTAGTCCTGGCAACGTAAACAGTGCTAAATATACAGAGACCTCGAAAATACATGGTGCCGCTGCACACACTCCGCCGTGGCCTAGACTCTACTTGGTCCTCATTTTCCTCTAGTCATGTTATGGGGAGTGCATGGTCCCAATGGTAATTTTTTAATCGCGTAACTAAATAACTACATGCTTTTAATATATTAATCAGTTAAATATTTATTCTTCAGTGGCGTAATTCACGTAAATGGCTACGTAATAATCTAATACAGGGAACCTGGACGTTGGCGGCAAAACGCTTGGGTCGTGCTTAGCTTCAGAGCAAGCACGTCCCCCAGCCCAGGTCATGTTGTCTGCCGTAAGACCACCTGCAAGGCTCTTGCAAAAGCTAGTCACCCCCGAAGCCTTACACCATGTACTCGTTGCACATGGTTCTTGAAGGTAGTCAAACTCCGTAGGGAATCTCCTAAAGGCCTACAGTGCGGGTGGGGGCAAGTAAAAGGCCCGTTCTTGCGCTCGTACTTGAGATGCAAATTCTCTACGTGATCCCACATGTGAGATTTGCGCCCGAATGAGCGCATGCGCCTGCTATACGGGAGTTGCTCTTCGCCGACACAATATATGCACTGCGTTTCACCAAGTACAAGGGGTATCTCCTCAACCTTGACATTGGGAACTGCAGGCTTGATGTCGGGAGAGCCTGGACGAATGCTGCCTTGGCACAGCGAGGAGGATGTGGATACGGTGGGCCTACGCACCTCTCTGAGAGATGCTAAAAGAACCATCAGCTCAACGGCTCGGACCTTGCGGTCTGTGGTGGCTTTTGCATCTAAATCTTGTCTGAAGTCACTCAGGATGGCTTGTAGTTTTGTTCGCTCCTCTAGTTGATGCTGCACACTTGGCTCGAGCTTGGCTCTTTCACCAAGTTCGGGATCTACTGGCATCTCGCTTAACTGTCTCTGCAACTCCTCGTTATGGAGGCGCCGACGACACTCCTCTTGGTAAACTTTCGTCATGTCATCCCGAAAAGCCTTTTCAGTGTTTCTGAGGTCTTTCCGCAGTTGTTGATACTCTTCCCTGACCGTCTCGGGGGCAGCCTTGATGAATCCGTAGTCTTGCCTCATGCGACGTGCCATTACCTCAACCTGTTTCGCAAGACGGACGACTTCGGGATCAGGAGGTAGCTTGGCTAACTCAGCTTTGGGGATCTGCTTTGGAACTTCAGGATTGCATTTGATGCTCATATGTGTGAAGGCCCGGGTCAGACCGTCGGCAGATGGGTCTCTTTCAAGGAATGCGTCCTGCGTATTAAATCCTACCCGACTGTTTTGGTATGCATTTTGCAGGCACCCAGTGAGAGGGTCGTGCCTCATGACCTGATCAACAATGGAATCGGGAGCGATGCCAAGCAGAGCATTTGCGTGGCCGCGACGGAAGCAATACGACGTCCATTTCTCCTCTGACCCCAGTTCGGTACCTATCCTATCGAGGTAGAAAGCGTATGTCGAATACTTCATCGGCTCCGTGTTAGACTTGACCCATCCGCCAGCGGTGCGGATTGACCGTCGAAACACAGGCGTTTTCAGTATACTGGATTTCCAGTAAACCCTGGTTGCACTTCTGCGAATGTGAGATGAGAAGAGGCGAGAAGCTTTATTGAACCCTTCTACTTCAATAGCATCGTCCCGTATGGCACGAGCCAGTATATGACTTATGGGACATAGAATCGGCAACGGGTTTTCGCGAAATAAAAAGATGGTGCTAAGCGCATGGTTAGTAAGGGCACAGCAGCATCACTGTCATGTTCAACAAGGGTGCTAACATACGGCTTGGGCTTGTTTTTAGCTCCTTTGTGGTGTCGGAACATGACTTCCATGGCCAAAACGTCCCTATCCCCACCATTAGGATCCTGAACAAGCCAGAGCACAATGTCTTCGTAGCACAGAGCCTTGTGCTTTCGAACTATCTCGTGGTCTTCCTCAGCCTCATCTAGATCCATGGGTTCACCAGCTTGCTTGAATTGCCATTTCCCGCCGCCCTGGTGGGTGGTGCCATTGGAGTCCTCGTCGTCAGATTCGGTATCCTCTGCGCCATCACTGTCATAGGGGTCATCGGTGTCCAACACAGAGTTGTCAGAATCTGAATCGTGTTCTTGCTCTGACTCCTCCTGCTTGTGCCCAGTACCCGAGACTGCGCTATGTTCGTCGACGTACTGCGTGATGCCCTGCGACATGGGAAGACTGCGCTTCGCAGTCATCCCGGTAGCTGCGTCATCGTGGTTCAAATCTTCAAACAACGGATCTTGTCCTCCCCTACACTTGGTGCCATCCACAAGCTCAGCAGGCCTACAAGCAGTATACGATTGGAAGAGCATAATGGTGGCAAGGTCAAGACGGTCGTCTTCGGTGGGGAAGACACTCCTGTCGCGGCACCAGTGTTGTGTCAGCCCCAACAGGAGATCATCCACTCCCATCACAGGCTTGGATCCGGGCTGGTCATCTAAATTGAATTGGCTTTTCAATCGGCCGTGGATATGCTGTCGACTGTTAGTATGCAACGCGCACTTCCATCAGCCAACACAGGGACCACCTTTCGAATTTCTTCGCAGTCATTCGCATTAACGACTCTGCCCTGGTTTGACCGGCGGTACAACATCTTGAAGTCGCGCCAATATTGGTTCACTGTCTTCAATTTGGCTCGCTTGCGTCTGGGCTGAATGTAGGTCTCGCAAATGAAAAATAGAAATGTCATTATTAGACCCTTGTTACAGTATTTCCACTTAATAGCTTTCCGCCAATTGCCATGTTTCTTTTCCCGGCAAAATCTAGCTAACCGGTTAGACAACTCCTCTTATTGAATTAGGGCTTGTTTTGGACTGCACCTCATAAATTTCTTTCTAATATAGTAAATGTTGGCCATAGTAGTGTCTGCATCTATTGGGGCCAGAAATGTTTCCTCATTCAGCTGTCTCTGCATGCGGTGATAGCCAAGTGCACTTATTGTATGTTTCTGCCTTTCTTTCCGAGCTAGAGTAGCTCGATGGCGTCGCCGAGCCGCGACCTCGAGGGTTCGCAAAACAGTATCGTGCATTTGTTTGCCAGTCATGTTTATTTCTAAAGATAAAAAGTTCCAAAGGGACAAAGTGCAAGTTCCTCACCTCTCTTTACAAATGAAGATGAGTAGAATGGATCGAGAACGGGTGGGCATATTCATCCCATTTATGAGCGGCAGCTGGGAACGTGTTTACGAGAGAGACGGTGACATAAATAGGCCATTGGGTTAGTGTGAGCACAGTGACCCAACCGACTGTCTGGCAAGGGAGAGGCGATGCTGCGTCCTAATAGTGGCCCACTGCACCTGGATCCAAAGGAACGATGCGATGAATGCCCGATCCGCTGAGCAAAGAGAACAATTTTATTTCGTCTCAGTTTCGAAATTTTGTTTGGGGGATTACTCGTTTGTTATATGTACATTAATACAACTGTATCATGCGTTGACGTTTGTACTGTAATTTGGAGGGGACGAAACAAACATTTGATCCTCGATTTCAACGAACCAAGTCATGGGTGGGGCTTGTCAAGGAGGTGTCTGCTTGTGTCAACACTTGGGACGGAAGTGTAACTACTCGTTTTATGTCATCGCTTGGATATGGCAATGAGCGACTTAAGTTTACGTCAACACGGCATGTGCGGTTGGGCGACCCTGATGGAGAAAATCCTACTATATAAGCGGCCGAACCTCCTACTGCTTTGGATCAGCCTTTGTTCTCCATACTTTTCCAATGTCCGCTGTAGCATCAGGTAAGCCAAAGAAAAGAGACAGAAGTAATGAAAACTTCAAGAAGAGGTGGAACACTTTAGTAAAAAGCGGATGCGGTGTCCATGAAGACTACCGAGCCGATGTGTATATTTTGCTAAGGCGGAACGGTCGGATATTCGAATTTAAATCCACTGACAAAGCCTGGCCTTTGTCTGCAGAGGAAATTGTGAGACACACTCCGAGGCGCGGGGAATTTGAGAGCAATAGCTAACAACCAGTGATAGGAGAACACCTTCCCACTGCCCCTTCAGGTGACCGCTGCAGATATGGCACGTCAAGAAAGTGTAGCATCGGAATCAGACAGTCGTGCAAAGGAGTAGTACCAAGGTGGATTTCCAGGGAGTTGGAGGTGTTCTCCATTTATGTTCTGGCGCATTTCCGACCTCGTAGAGCAATGTGGGACTAGACAAGAGCATAGCGAAAGAAACAACTAGAGAGGTAGAAGATTCGCAATCATTTACATAGCGTTTCTGTCGGGTATTGATATTCACCAGCGTGATTCAAACAAAATACAATAGTTACTCAAGCGCCGACAATCCCTTTTTGGCGCCCAGAGGGAGCGGTTGTTACTGGTAACCATCCCACTGATTGTTGATTATCACCTAATCTTGCTAAGCCTGGAACTGCCGTGTAAAAAAAAAGAAGAAAAATAGCAGATATACAAGTACTAACCCTTTTGAACCTCTTGATGGTTAGGCCACCATCCCTCAGAGTGTCAGGTCTTGCTTGCAGCCAATCAGGTTACGGCGTTCTGGTCGTAGCACTAATACCCAGCCCGCCAGCCTGGTCGTCTAATTTACATCTTGGCTCCGTCATAAGGAGTAGCAGCATTTGGCCCTAGCACAGCCGGATCAATGCACTCTTCCATAAGGTCGTCAAACTGTCTCATTGAGCCTGAGCCCGCTACAGCCGACTGTTGCTCGGCAGCATTTTGTTCTGCAGTTTGAGGTAGCATGGCGGGGTCTTCGCTGAAGAAGTCATTGTCATGCGGACGATTCGGCCACTCCAAGGCGCCATTCACATCTGCAGGTACGGGGAAGTCGACAAAGGTTAGGAGCTCCCGATAGTTCTTTTGGCTCATTTCCCTGATCTCAAGCTCATTAAGTGTCTCCAATAGAAGCTTTTGTGGTGGCAATACACCATAAGTAAGCAAATGCCACATGAGAAAGGAGAGGTCCTCGATATCTTTCTTCAAGTATGGATGTTGTGCTTTAATCCTTAATAACAGCTCCTGCTCATCAGGGCGATTAAGCCTGAGGCCGCTGTCACAATTGTGAGTGGAGGGACTCGTCGCTTCCAAAACGGGCTGGGTAACGTACTGTGTGTTCCTGAATTGTTTAGGTATGAGGGATAGAGCCCCGCACCCAAACTCGTCATTGAAGTCAAGCCAAATTCTATGCATTTGAACTTCTGCCTTCCATTTTGTTTGCATTTTCTTCCTTCTAGTTCGTTCTGTCGTATTCTTCAATTTTTTACGGACCCAATCCTTCAATAAGATTTTGGTAAATATAACGCCCAAAGAATACTTCGTCCTTTTTGGCTTATTGTAATGATCGTAAAGCTGTACAATTAATGCAGAGTGATATCTGTCGGCAATAGTCTTGATGTGCTCATTTTGTCGAAGTTTCTCAAAATGAGTATGGAGGCATTCGAGCTGTTCAGCAATCTCTCCTTCACTTGCTGTCTTACCTTTTGTAAATGCGCTTAATGGCTCTTGGGCATTAAAGGACATACGGTTCCTTTCTTGAAGTATGACTTCTCGGAGTTCTATCAATGTATCCGGCGCCGTGAGTTCGTTGGCAACTACGTCAGCGGCAGCTTTGGCTAATATGTAGTCGCGCTTCAGTCCATCTGAATGTTGGGAGCAGCTACGTTTTGTCTTTTCCTGGCCGACTTCTGCATTGCCGTCTCCTTTCTTCCGGAGGGGCTTACAAGAGTCATCGTGGCTTACGGGGCCTGGAACTGATGGGTGTGGTGTCTCGGAGGGACGGGGTCGAAGCTTCCTGTATTCAGAGCGACCAGACAGGGCCTCGATCTTTGTTTTCAGGCTCGCATTGTCCTTAACACAAGCCCCACGATCGGTGGCACCTACCTCATCCAGCGGCGGGTTCTCTTGCTGGGGGTTCTCTGGCGGCGGTGTGGGTATATCATTGGATATTTCAGCGGCAGATATCGACTGGAGAGATCGGATGTTTGATGCCAGCTTTGGATGGCGAGAAAGGTACTCATCAATCTCGTTGCGGCTCTGGCCAATCAAGGCATCAAATGTATGCAAGAGCTACAGACAACTGATAGTTAGCGTACACTCCTCAGATTGGCGGGCGACCCACTTCTGGAACACTGAACGTAGGTTGCCCGCTGCTGGTGTTGCATAATATAGACGGAGCTGTTGTCTGATCACGATCACTAGGGAGAATAGCCATTACACCTGTGGTATGGAAAGGTAAAATGAGAAAGAAAGGAGGAAAAGGGGAGAGGATGAGAACAGGGGCGTGGCCAGTTTTAAGCAACGGACACCCAGAAATCGACTCTTGCCAGTCGCTGGCTCACTGCACTTGCTTTCCTGCATGCAGTGCCCCACAGTGATGGACGACTGCTCCAAGTTTGTCATGATGGTGACGTGAATTGATGACGGACAGCACGGGTACACGCTTCCTGGTGGTGACACATTACCAGCCATGGTAACATAGGTCGGGCTCGTTCCTGCCACGCTGACTTCTGCAAGGTACCCAGCCTACAGTTACTCTCCCCTGCCACTTATGTAGGTTCGCAGCATCATAGACATTAGACGACGGATTTACGATCTTACAGTTTTGGGTATCTAGTTCAACCTCTGTGTTACGGGGAACATCATGCCGTCGGGCGATGAGTTGGCGTATGTAAGAGGTATAAGAGCACTCTACCTAGGTCCGACTAGTCTATCCGACGGCGCGAGATAATACAGATGTTCTGCGCAGTTTGGGAGTGGAGGTTCTACCTGGAAGTTCTCTACGCCGTTGCTACGTCAATATTCCCAACACCAGACAGCTTGAGAGCAGACGCAAATGTAATTCCGTGATCCAGCCCATGTCGATTTCCATAGACCCGGCGCCGCAAGTAAAGACTGTTGGCCCGTACAGTCTGGTTCCAGAATGACTTGAGCATGGGTGAGACAGAAGGATGAAAGGCCCCACCGAGCACTGTTCAGATGACTCACTACCCTTCCCTACACACACGTGAAAAACTTCAACACCGTACCCCCTCCCACCAACTCGCAAGGTTGGAGATCTTCCCGACAAAATAGTGCCAGGCACCAGGCACCTCGTGAAGCTCCAGCATCCACAGAACCCGTCAAGCCATGTGGTGCAAGTGGAGCAAGCGGCACCTCCGAATCTGCCTGTCGCCAATGCGAAGTGCCTGGTTCGCCAATGAGTTGCCGGGAAGTGAAGATATAGCAAAAGCACCGAATACTTTCAAAGATACCATTTGTTTGGAATGGTGGAAATAAGGAACAAGTAGGCTTGGAGGTAAGGATCGCCGTAAGATAGGCCATCAGATACTTCAAGTAAAAGGCTCCAAGTGGTGAGAGCCGACCTGCCCACCCACCAAGCCCATACGCAATCCCTGGTTTGCTGGTGGGGAAGATCTCACAGCCTTGCCCACTATTGCCCTTGAACTTCTGATCAAGAGATCATCCTGTCTTTATTGAGAGAAGGCTCCATTTCCGATAACTCCGATACCCTCCCTGGCAGTCCGATACCCTCCCTGGCCTAGCCGACGACGTCATCGATTTGGCGTGCAGAATTTTAAATGACGGAAATTAATTAAACATTGGCTAGTTATGCCAATGCACTCTACTTTCTCCAGATTGCCACAAGTCATCCTTTCAGGATCACAGGATAGAGTACGGGCGCTCTCCGAAACGTGTCACCATAGTGTCCAGCAGGAGGGCTACCGCATTTTTCTCGTCCAGTTTCTTAGCTTGATGGAGGCGCTCTTCGTCTTGAAGAATGGTAGGCTCATTATTGGCTCCTGGCCAATCAACCGTGCCGTTTCCCCTCTGTTGTGTCACAGACTCCAGCAAAGAAAGGCTGAATCTCTAGTGGCACTTGAACGGCTTTATGAATGCCCATCATCTCAAGTTTTTATATGCCCGCAAGTTGAACTTATTTAATATGCACCTCAAATGTGTCCATATCATCAATCTCCGCCTCTTCCATCGTGGCATGCTCCTCTAGTATGTCTCCGTCAAACCAAACCCCAATATATTTGTCTGGTCCTATTGAGCGTTGCGTGCGGAAACTAGTAATAAGGGTTCCAACTGTTGTTTCCGGTCGCACTGTCATTTTGACGTCGTCGAGGTCGCGAGCCTTGAGGATGACCCGTATCTTGACCTCGGGAGTGACAGGTTCCCTTTCTGCCGGCACTGGGCCCCCCTCGTCTAGTAATTCCACAGTCTCTCTCCTCCGCTTAAGCGCCTCTTCACGTTCCATCTCTCGAAACAAATCCAATGTCCATGCCTCTATGTGGACCTTTGTTCGACCGTGGGCAAGACCGCTAGTGCTGTGTCCATCCACTATAGCCCGCCCGTCGCCATGTGGCCGGATACCCATATTCAGCAAGGTAGAAAATGCATATGCCTTCTTTCTGCACCAAGTAAGCACAATGTCGTCGTCTTTTTCAATATCCACAAGGACTCCTCTGTGTTTCTGAAGAGTGAGCCAGGCGTTACGAACTAGCCGGAGCTGCTTATCATAGAGAAATTTGAAACAGCAAGGCTTAGTACCAGGGACAATTGAAGTCACAAGAATATCAATCTTTTCTTTTGCCGCAGCTTCATATGAACCGTCATGGACACGTTGTTCCTCTGCCTTGCGAATATAATGAGCAAATTCATCGTCCTCGTCTCTTGCTATGAAGCAGACGCTGTCCCGTCGATTTGTTGGCGTAGGTGCAACCTGGATACTGTCCTCGTCGTCAGAATCAAGAAGCACCATTGGCAAACCGTTCGAGGTAAGTGTGTCGCCGGGCAAGTTATTTATTGTTGGTTGCTTCGGGTGGGATCGCAAGAATCGGGTGGATGATAAGTTGTTTAGTGTGGTGTCCGCATTGTCCATATCAAGACTTGCATTCCTTAGGAGTGTTGAGTCTAGACGCATTCGCTTCGATGCCAGTGGCGTGACAAACTTGCTTGTGATTGTAAGCTGCATGACGCCCATATCACGCATATATATACTAACCTGACTACTTCTCTGCTGTCTTTAACAAGCTCACTAACGACGGGGGGCGTGCTTCGAGCTGCCTGAGAGAACGTTCCAGATTCGGCGTTTGCTATAACTTCTCTTTCGATATTGTCATCGAGAGGTCTCTTGGACTTGGCGGACTGACGTCGTTCGTCCTCCAGCCTCTGCCTCTTCTTTAGGCTTCTCTGAAGCTCCGCAGCTATTATAGGCTCCATCTCCTTAGATCTGCGAAATAAGTCGAGTCCATCGTCTTCCGCCGACAGTTTCTCATCATGGATTGTCTCGACATTCTGTGAAGCCACCTTGCACAAAACCGTTGTCTTGAAAGGAAGTTTCTTGCCTTTTGGACGCGACGGGGTTTCCATCTTGTCACGCATGGCAGTAACTAATGAACATAGGGGCCTACTCAACCTCGGGCTAAGTCCCTAACTCATCTCGATTTTGGGTCGTTCTGTTTTATTTCTGAGAAGCAACAAGATGCAACACGGTCGGAAAACCTGCGCCATATGCGTGGGTGCAAATCCACGGACCTGCTTCCAAGAGGACGTTAAACGTGGCCACGCACCAGAGCAAGTGGAGCTTGTCTGCCACTGGCTGTTACGAACGTGCAGGATGCTAGCGAATCAGAACAGCGCAGGATTTGGTATTGTTAATAATACCATCATCTTACTCATCAGCCCTTCTCTTTTCATTCCATTCTCCCCCGTTCTCTTATAATAATTTCTTTGTACTTCCTGTAATTACAATATTAATACCCCCTCTGCCATCCTCAACGTAAGCTATTCCACTTTTCGTCAGTGTATAGGAAAACCCCATCGCCTGGCGATTATTGGGCGTACGACTGGGCTTTTCAGGTTCGTGGCTCATGGAGTTACTAATTTATCAATGCTCACGGACACGCGAATCCACAGAAGAGCATTGTATATATGATATGAAGAAAAAAATATAAGTGCTTCCCCCGAGGTTGTATCTGCTCAATCTAGATCTCAGTGGAAGCCGGGTGGTAGGGATTCCCCCAGGAAGTTGAATTGCAAGTACAAAATTACCCTACCGGGCTGTTCGAAGTATTTTATGATCATTGGGTTAACGTCATTAATCATCTGGATATTGCTCCTTGATATTGGATACGAATCTACAAGATTCTGGATCAAAACGTCTGAAAAACTTTCCTGCCATGGGAAACATGGTATCATCGATGTTTCTAGAATCGTGTATGAGCTCGATGTTATCAGCAGCTACAACATTTGGCTCAGACCCATTGCTTGGACTATTCCAAAGGACCGACAGTTAGCCCAAGCGAATAGAAACAAGCAACGGAGTTGCTACATCGTAGATGAAAGGGCTTCTGGGGCTTACAAGCATATAAAGTAGAACTGAGTCGGTGGCCAAACAGGTAAGCGAGAGTGTTCGCCCGGGGCGGCAGTGTCTGCCTCATCATCTGGGTCTCGAGACGCTGCCACAGGCAAATGTCGTGTGCCTTGGTCAGGCCAGCCTGTGATCACACCTATCCAACCATAACGCCTGTGCCGAAAAACCTGACCGATCTTATAAGGCACTGATTGATTCCTGTCTAAATCTCTCCGAGACATGGGTGGTATCACGTCATCTTGGTCTCGAACCAAACGCCAGTGATCCCACGGGTCTCCCAAGCCGCGATTTACATGACGGGCAAACCCATGACGAAGTGCAGTGAAACTGTTATACATGGGCCAAAGATACTTCTCTACCAGCCATGCGTCTTCGGGCCATGACCCAGCAAATCGGTGTAGAAAACTTGCTAACCTATCGTTCCATTCAAAAGTATTAGGAGGCGTCAGCAACAGAGATGACCACATGGCTGAATACAGTGCAGCATCCACGTTCATTGCGTCGTTACCACGCAGAAGCTGGCTCAATTCTGGGTGAGCGTCGCCTTGTAGTTCCAGAATCCTGAGAAAAGTCGCCTTGATATTTTGAGCGGTCCTTAGCACCATTGTTATGGGGGGCACAGGAGCAAAAAATGCATCTGTGCTTGTTTGCCATGCATAGTCAGCTAGTAGGTTATGTAGGTCGGATGCAGGGACTTCGTTGTCGAGCCCATAAGGATCGAGGTACATCCCTTCTGGTTGCTCACGGTAGCAATCAACATCCCCGTCCAAAGTATATCCGGACTGAGCGAAGACAATTGCATAGACATGGTTAGGGAAAGCACAGCATTCAGCATTGAGCCCCAGTCTCGCGGCGAGACAGCAAAATATGGCACTTGATATGAGTGGAATAGACTCATGTTCTTCATACCGCAACGCCTGACCTATCAAACAATTTCGAAGATTTCGATAATTCTGTTCTGTGCTACTTAGACCGGTTAGATTGTTGGCACGCACCCATCTGTTCAATGTCACAGCTGTCTCTCGAGTTGTAAGCTCTGAAAGGTCAGTGCAACTGACTCGAAATTGAGCAACTAACTCGTCCAACATCTGGGAAATCTAAGCAAAGCCAATCAGAGAGTTTGTCAATCAAGTATTGAGAGAGCAGTTTGTATGACGACATACGTCATCTAGGTCACCAGTTTGGTCGTGTAACACGAACATGTCAAAGGCGCCGAGTGCTCTTTCGAGTCTCTGCGCGGCATCTTGTGCAGACAGCGAATCGCGATCCAGACCAAGCCTGGACCATTCCTCAAGGGCGATGCTCCGATGAATGTTGTCGAGGATGGCATTGCTAAAATATCTAAGAGTCGAGTTTCAATTATCCTGGGCTGACTGCTTGTAAGGCAGAGCAGGGTAGATCGGGCTAATTACCTCCTCGCTAGAACATCTGACGCGGACTCATGTATATGACATTGGACCAAAAGGAAGTCCTTGGCGTCATACCCCAGACGACAAATCTTCTCAATCTTCTTTAAACGGCCAACCTTGGTTTCCACAATACCATCAAGAAGCTCGGAGATGGTATGGTTGCTGCGTGTTCTCAACAGGAACAAGTACTTCCAGTCGACACTTGCCACCGTCGCCTGCAGCTTTTCGCCAAAGCCATGACCCGGGTGCCAGTATCTAAAGGTACTCTGGCAATGATATCTCCAAAGCAAGCCTTCATTTGCTAACCTATAGAAACGATGACACAGTAGCTGAAAGCATTGCAAAATATCCCTAGGTGGGACAAAGCGAAGGAGGTGCTGAATGATCTCATCCGGGAAACGACGTAATGAGCCAGTGTCAGGTAGCTTGTCGTCATTGGCATATATGTCCGATGGGATACTATCCATCTCCAAGACATGAGCTCGCTCTATCTTTCGCCACCTGGAAAGCTCGAAGTGGCTTGACCTGTATTCTTAAGGTTTCGATGGAATGCTCTAAGTCGCCCATGAAGTATTTTTTCGCTAGATGGGTTCCTATAACTCTTAGTACAATTCACGACTCAAGAAATGTCGGTCGACACCCTACTTCTTGAACCCTCCAGTCTGGCAGTATTCTTCTAGACAGATCAGGACGGGGTGGTGTAGTGGACGCGGGCGGGCATGGACAACCCCCGATCCCGAGCAAACTGTGAATTGGGCGGGCCAAGTCACCAAACTCTGTTCGGTACGTCGTAGGCAAGAGGGAGAGGGGGTAGTCATTCGTGTCGTGACGCGTTGTCACCCAGGGCCATTCTCACGCTCGAGGAGCCAGGTGCCGACTCAGAAGACTCTGTTGACAAGTCGCTAGCTTAAACGGGTCAGAGACGGGAGGAGCACAACTAGCAAATTGTCCACCCTGCGATCTTGTAGTTGCCGAGAACCCCCTTCCTTCACTTGACACAACCATGGGCTGCTGTGGGCTACAGATTGGTGACCCTAGCGTGATTGGCGAACGGAGTGTCATACCACCGCACATGGCACACATAGAATGATATTTATTGGGAGGGAGGATTCAGGTAAATGTGATGAGTCGCCTGAGGGGCTGCTTTGTGCAATTTCCGGGCCCCACTGTCTCAACAACCCCTCAGTCTTGTATCATGCAGTTGACAATAAATGGCCGAGAGCAGCGTATCTGATTCCCCGTCCGATCTCAGCGAATCCTGGGACACAGGTCGAGGTGGGCGACGTGGACGCCACTTCCACCAGCACGCTGTTGCGTTCACCAAGTTGTGCATGCCGAGCTCTGACACAGCACATCGCATGCTGTGTCAACCAAAAGAATGGCTGTCACCCGCGGTTGCGCACAACACTTGGGAGCTACGAACGGGACACTCAAACTTGGGTCCGCACCGTTCCCCTCCCCGACCCGCCGACTTGGGTGGTAGGCAACCATGGACGTATTTCGTCACGGGTATATCGGTCTGGGGAGACCAGGGCTTGACTTTTCAGTTACCTGAAAAAAAAGATGCCTGAAAATCTTTTCTTATTAACAATATGGCTCGTCTGCAGGTGCAAAGAAAGGAGCCGCTGAGCCATGTGAAATCCAGGGTGAAATATGAGAGTTGAAAAGGAATATGACAGGATATGTCAGCGGCTTTCTGATGAAGGGAGTCTTGAAGACCTGAAGATTCTGCAGCTTGCTATCAGGTCCAATCGATCACAGGCAGCCTCATTTATTAGATTTGGGAGAACACTAGACATGGATGTTCCTCAAGCCGACGTCACATTTCCTGCCGTAGTTGCATCGCTGGTCACAACTATCTGGTGTTCGTGGGTGTGGCTTCCATGTTGCAACTATTGCCTGCTCAACTGTTGCGACGACCGACGGCTTCTGTCAGCAGCGACGTGCCGTCTCACCAACCCTCGAGCACGGGATCGCAGGACTCGCATAACTCGCAGGAGAACCTTCAGATCTCACTCCGAATGGGCTGGCTCTCCTCTTCGAATTGTAGTTCGGTATCACACGCTTCACCATTCCGCCGTTTGGGCCAAGGGAATTTTCTATGAACGTATCCCGCCAAATATGATATGGGTAAGCACTGGATTGTGTGGGTTTCCCAGGCCATACTTTCCCGACATGCCCCTGTCCAATCCACCATAGCCAGCAGCGCCTGGCTGTGTCAAGCTAGGGGTCGCTGCCTTTCATGCGTCTGGCGATGGGAGACGATGGGAGACGTTTTCCTCAAAAAAGTGTCGAGACTGAAAACCCGCAGAATCGAGTATTCCCCAGTTGTACACCCCGTTGCTGAGCTGCCAATGTTACCAACTCTGCTCCTCGGCAGCAAGAGCAAGCATGGCGCCGACGCGTCGCGACACCGGTCACATCACCACTGGCTCGAATTGTTCATGCATGTCTCTGTTGTATCACATTGAACTTGGTGACTTGTCTGCCAGGGATTTTCAAGTCACAACTTGCAATGAGAAGCAGAAGGATCTTTGAGCGGCCGCCTTTTTACTCTGAGCGAGTTCTACTGCGCTTCTTTTACTATTTGACTGCGGATTTCTACAACCATGGTGGCTGCGAGCCAGCGGTGAATATGGATGACCAGCCGTGTAAGATGAAGGTCTCTTTATGTCCCGGCATAATGGAGGGTCATGAAGTGCATAGGAAGTACCAAATAATCGTCAACATACAGCAGATAAACGGCATGCTCTCCGCCATGTCAAACACAGCTAAGCGCACATCAGGACCTTGTGAATACCAGGCCGAAAACTGTCTCAGACTTTTCAATATACCCACCCAACGGGCCGCCGGCCGCCCATCCCCGAGACCACTTCACAGGGCTAGAGAAAAAAAGATCTGTCAATCAATCGGAAGGCGAAAATTAGTTGAATAAAAAGGACAGGTACATTAATAAAAGGAGACAAAGCTTAAAAAGAGAAAAGTCCATGACGGAATGAAATCTCATGCTTCGCACATGGCCGTCCAGCACTGTTGTGAGAAAGCATAGAAGCATATTGTGGAGACAATGCAACAGGTATGTCCCCTAATAGAAGAGGCTAGGTCGATTCGTTAACATGTCCAGACTACACAAGAGCACTTATCCCGCTTTTGCGATCGCTATTCGGCATATACATCTTGTGTTGAATACTTTGTACAACATGCCCAACATAATAACCAGGTTCGAATGATCGCAGCTTTTGCCAATATTCGCCTGCCATCCCAAAACTGTCACTGTGAGCCCAGGCCATCAACTGTACACTCAGCTTCCAAGCACGCAAAATGTCCATCGCCTCTGGTTTCTGTTTCACCTATTCCATATATTCGTCGTCTGGTAGTCACAGGGCTAGCTTCTCCATCTGTTATGAGTTGCTTCTTCGGCGAACAGTGGAAATTAGGCGTTGGCCATATTGTACAAGCGGAGCATCAGAACTTCCTCCTAGCAGCAAAGAGTGAGAATTGGCTGGGTGTCAAATCTCACTACGATATCTGCGAAGAACAGACCGTCCCTTTTTTGGTATCACCACAATATATAACGGAAGAGGAAATCCAGTCGGCGGAAGCCAGTTGGAGCGAATGGCTTGCTATGCAGGATTGGTTGTTAGGGCCAAGAGGTTTGGACCTGTAAAGAAAGTACGCCATAGACGACCGTAGCTAAGCAAGCTGGTGGCCTTTTGAACTGGATAGGATAAGCAAACGGTCAACTGCCGGCGGGAGGGTGCCCACGAGAGGCGAGAAAATTGAGTCGCAGAGCCAGGCGCACATCGGGTCTCCATTTCGAAGCTATGTGGTGGTTAAGAGATATTGATTGTCTCTGTTCTGGCCTTGATGCAGTGCTGAGCTGTCGACACAACCATCAGTCCCTATGAATCGTTAGCGACATGCCGCACGACGGCACGCATCAAACAGGGTCGCACCGCATCACCTTTTTAACATGCCAAGCTGGCCCGACAGGACGTGCACTCTGCAAGTCAGATATGTGTTGCTCGGCGCGTTCGGGCGGTGTACCGGACTGGCGCGGTCGCGACGGTTGGAATATGTGTTCTATTGTGCGAGCGTAAATTGAGCGCTCGAGTGAAGCGTTTAGGACATAGGTTCGCATGACTAAATCAACGGATGTTTTGCCCTTGCTTTGCGGTTCCCCCACATCCAATATTTTTCTGATTATTGCAACGCCCTAATCCCATAGCTTCGCAGCGGGATGTGGCAAGCTGGGCTGAGGCGACAAGTCGGCAATGATGGCTTTCGTCTTCGGACAAAGGAGGCAGACCGAATCGGGAAACAGGGTTACTTCTGATTCTATACCAAAATACGTTCTTAGTCTTATCCTTGATCAGCACAAGCTTTTATGGTTCTGTATCTTTCCTCCCCTAGGAATCTCAGGCTGCATTGATGGACCCCGCTCTTCCGAGTTCCCTAAATCCACCGTTCCCATATGCCAGCATGCCCACGCATGCGGCAATGTTGCGGCGGCTCATATATATGCTGTTGAAGAGAAGACTCCACGAGACACAGAGTATATTCTCAATTCCGGTACGCGGCTGGAGTGGGATAGGGATATGAGGGCTGTTTCGAGGAAGTATTTGAAGGGTATGATCGAGGGGGAAATGTTCGCCTTCGAAGTGTTGACGTTGATCAAGGGGGCTGCTTATGGGGAAGCAACGGAGAACCGTGTTCAGCTGCAACTTCTGCCAGCTCACAAACGCCCAGCGAATCAGAACAGCACAGAACTTGAGGTATTGTTAACAATACCAGCTTGCGGAGAATATATAATCCTCACCAGCCTCTTCCGCTTTTCATTGCGTTCCTCCCTGTTTCATCTGACACAAACATCCATTTGGCAGGTACGCGACCAATCGCAGGATATCTCAGCCTCCTTCTTTCTTCTTTCTAACCAGCATCACCTGGCGCTTTTTGAGCTGCAACTATGGTTGTGGCCCGTCAACTTTCCCTCCCATGAGACTATCGCACAACAAGGTTTTAGGAACAAAGATCATAGCATCTGCAGCCCGTCCCTACACTGCTGTCCTGATGTCCTTTCTAACGCAGACTCCCCGAATTGTTTGCGATTGGATATGCCCGCTAGTCAGGTCGATGATATAGCCCCAAGAAGTCTCGCGTCGTGGGCTAGTTGGTGAATTCCGCATGCATTTTCTCAAGAGAGATTCTGCATGCGGGCTACCACAGCTAGCATCTTGGGCGCCCTGTGTGGCGTTACATACCCTTCTCAGTTCGTCCAATATAACCGACTTTACTGCGGCTTACGGCTTTGCACGATAGGTATTGAGTCCCTGGCAAGGCTGAGGAGAGTACCCACGAATAACTTCAGGTACGTACCTGTTCCACACATAATGGTCTCCCAACCACAAGCACAAACTTGTGGCTATGGGCCACCCAACTAGACGTACCATGCTGATCCCAAGCCGTGTTCCACCCTCTGCATTGCAATGGCGGGCGGCAGATCTTACCCGGCAAATTTATGGGGTCGCGACTTTCAACAGGTATATTGGCAAACAAATGTGTCCTCTGGCATCGACAAGAGCCAAAGGCATGTCCTCCGAGGTTTGCGTATACTAACCCTCGTTAGCATTCAAAATAGTGCTATATTACATGCCCTGCCGCTCATTATCTCCTCCACGAAGACCACGAAGACCGACACAAGAGGCACTGAGCAGGCAGCTACACAGCCCACCAACATGCGGAATGTTACAACACGCACCTGCGTTCCCGCTGTATCGCACATGAATAAGGGCGGCGCATAGCGAAAGATGGGGCAGAAATGTGAGCAGAAATGTGAAGATGCTACACGACGAAAAACAAATTGACATATTATTGGTGCGTTGACAGTGTAACGGTAGAGACAGTAAGTACTCCATACCAGAAAGAAATGGATCAGAAGTTGTCTGGGTACAGGGAACAAGCATTGGTAGAGGCAATTGCTCCATACTGCCAGGATCCAAAATGGATGCACTGTTCTGCTCTCTCATTCGTGGACGTCACAGGGGGGTAGAATCGTTAAATTGGTTAACTTTGTCCTGTCCCTATACTTTCTAGCCTGGAGATATATCGGATCGTATCATACGCTAATACTACTATCCAGATCTTTGAAAGCGGCGGTATTAGGCGATTCTTTCAATTACTGGTATTATTGTACAGCAAGCGGTCGTCAGGTTGCTGGCCATATCCAGGCTGCTTATCTTGCACACCGGCCGAGTGTTTGCCCATTTCGCCTAGTGCATTGGTTACCGCTAAATTCTGGAACCCCGGAAGCTGTTCCTAGTCGAGGCCGGCAAACAAGAGCGCCAAAAAGTGCGGTAGTACCCGTCGCTGACAAGGGTATGAGCAAGAAATATTCGGAACCGTCTGATCGGAGTATATGGCTCCAGAGCCGTCGAGGCTCCACTGTCGACACTTGGAACCGTGGCCCCTTGGGGCATCGTGCCTGGTAGTAACGTATGCACCGAAAGATACCTATCCGCAGCCTATCTGTGCATTCTCTAGCTACCGGGAACGCCAAGACCACACGTCAATGAGCGCCAGTCTACCGTCGGAGTCTCTCCAGCGTGGAGGGCCGTTTTCTGGTGACGTCTTTCTTAGGCGATTGGTCGGACCTCGACTACCAATGCCTTGCGAACATATCAAACTCAAACTCGTCGCCAGAGCTTCAGCACACTTGCAAGATCAAGCAATATCTTCAACTTGGGACTCTGCATCCGCCGTCGCAGCATCACTTCGGGACAGCAACAGGAGCAACTGCCTGCACAGAGGTCTGCGGTACTTCTTCCATTAGCCACCAGAGCATGCCATTTCTGCATCCTCCGCTAGTATGGCTATGACAAATCCAGACGTGGCAGACGACTCGGTCAGGAACATTCCTTGGTCAAATGATAATGCATTTGATCCATCATGGAAGCGGCATCCTTCCGCCTCAACCTTGCCACTTCCTTCGTCTCTAAAGCCTATCGAAACCGGACATATCCTTCCCACACCGCACCAGCCACCAGCGCCTGGAGCTTCAAGAGTAGAAGCTACATCATTATTTGCGCTTTCCGGTAAGAATCACCGTTTCGCTCGTTCTGTACGCAATGATATTCCTTGGAGGTCAAATATTGACACACTCCCGTCAAAATATGACTGCCCCGGGGACAGCATCCATGCTCCATTTATCCAGAGCAACTCGTCGGTCCCATGCTCTACCCATGAATCAAGTTTGTCCCTCTCGTGCATGAAATCTCAATTACCCCCCGATACGAGCTGTTATCCCTGTCCATACGTTTGGTATTTTGCGTTGTGCCGCGTTTTGACTGTGATTGGCGTCTTATACTACCCTATTTGAGGGACTGTTCACGTGTCCGTCTTGAGATGGTTTCTGTCCGACTTCTTATTACCAGCTGCTTATCACTCCCGCAAACATCAACCGATCAGATTGACACCAAAATGCTTGGCTGCCTACGTCACGTTCTGACCTTATAATTAGCGTTACCTACAACGTCACTACTTACCTATTCTCCTTTGTGCCCTTCCAACCTGTTTCACTCCCGCCATACGGCACAAGTTGAGGCAGACTTTGCACTACCAGTCCCTCGATATCCGGTGGTTCCTGATGGCCTATCAATATTAACGCCAGGAATCTTGGGCGATGGCCAACAAAGGCCTGGAACTAGAGGCGCCACCAGCCACGATGTTCTTCATAGCCCCTTCCGAGACTGTATAGGCACATTTGGTTTACATAAGTCACAGCATTTCAGTCGCCCGATCGATGGCAAAGTCAACGGTTATATTAAGTTTTCTTGGCCCAAGGAGACGCGTGAAACGCAATCCAGCGTCGCACGCACTCAGTTGATTTCCGACGATATCAGAGTCGTTGCAAATGGCGATTCCTTCGAATCGAGTGACAGGACTGACTCACAATCTTCAATGAACCTCATTGGTCCCTCCCCAGCACCGTCCAGAAGTGGTGCCGACTCGTCCGTGTTCACAATTGATATATCGAATTGTTTTTGGCAATCACCAACTTTCAATTCTTTGCATCATACGCCGGTTGGGCTTGCACCATCGCATATTGTCCCAAATGCATCTGCCGCAATTCCCCGCATGGGTACGCCGAAGAAGTTGCCTTCTCAATACGGTTACGATGCCAAGATGGACGAGACTGATAGACGGTTCTGGATGTTTTGTAAGTAAATGGACTGTACCGGCGGCGGTATAAACTTAAATGTCCTAACCATGATAAGATATTCGGAATTGGTGTCCCGGCCGTAGTGTATTGGAAGATACGAATCTGTGGCTAAAGGATTTCGCTCAAATGCACAAAAGCGCTGGTGTTCGATCAGCTATCCAGAGTCTAGCCGGCATTTACATTCATGATTACTTGCCCTTCGAGTCTATTCGCAAAAGAGTAAATCAACGGTTTGCTGACGCTGAGGAGCGATTTTCTCAGTTACTTGGCGATCCCGCGACCGCCGAAAATGAAGCACAAGTAAATGAACTTATTACCATTGCTGCCATCCTCTCTATGCAAGACGTAGGTTTCAACCATTCAGTTACGAATTTCTAGCCCATTGACCTAGGTCATTGTCTGTAGTGCTGTTGCGTTCTAACTTGGTGTTAGATTGTCCTGACAGAACGCCGCCTAAAAAATCTATCTTCTCCTCGTTGGCTTCAAGGTTTCAGCCAGGCAGAACAGTTTCTCCAAGTAACTGATCATGGCTCGCGATTTTGGAAGCCATCAAACGTACAACCGTCATCGTTGCGTATTTCACAATCCGTAATTGTTGGCCGTGCAATTATCTTGGCCCAACCTATGTCCCCATTACCTCCTCCGGACAAGTTTAATTGCCAAAAAGAGGCTTCCCGGTTCGGCTGGCTTCTCTATGGCACAGAGGAAAATATGTACCAAATTCATGGCGGCTGTGGGTTTTCTAGGAAGCTGCTGCATGTCCTGAGCCAGGTAACCTATTGCGCTGCACGGCTGGAACAAGAGGCTGAGAGTCCTGTCATACCAACAACGGCAATTTACCTGCACACAGAGCTGCTCGAGATGAGGCAATGGAGCACTGAATCGATGAGTTGGAATGATGCAAAGTCAGGTCCATCGGTGATTGAATTGGTTCACTGTTGGCCAGAGGGTTATAAGATCAAAACAAACGCAGATATGACGGATGTCACCGCAGAAGCTTGGCGCATTGCCGCCATGATTTACCTCCAATGCCGCGTGTTTCGGTAAGTACTAGGTATCGTGGCTGCCATTGGTAGGAGCGAAATGACTCACGGACCGAATTACTAGATTGCCTAGAAACCACCCTGACATCGTATCAAAACTAAATGATCTTGCAAAATGCATTGCCATCATGCCTACATCGGGAACACAATTTACAGCCCAGGCTCCACTCTTCCCTGTTTTTTTGCTGGGATTGCTGGCAACGGTGCCTGAACATAAAGTCGTTTCGAGCAACTGGTTTGATGAGGTTCTGCAAACGCCAGTTAGAAGTGTAAGTTTGGTACCACTCGACACACTTTGGTGACATAATAGCTTTGAAGGCTAACGAGGCTTTGGGACGGCCAAGAGTGTCCCACCCCTGCACAACGCACTCCTGCATACCTGGATCTGGATAGACAGAGATATTCCGGTATCATCACCACCTCACCTCGAAACATATCAACCAATCTCTCTTCGACGGCCGTGGTGGGAGGAATTAGTCACCCTGGTCCGACAGCAAGAACAAGAAGTGCTCTGCCTGACATAATAGTAGTTGTTGAGTTTAATAATAAGAGACGAACGCACTAGCAAACATGATCCATCACGGTCTGTCCTGGAAGCTACCTAAGTACCTTCTTCGTAACAGTTGACGTTCAGGTCAATGAAGCAGGGATGACAATGTTCTGGGCGCGGGAATGTGCAAGCCAACAATGATGGTCTCCATTTATAAGCGACTGTCGCCAATCGCTTTGAAGTCTTTCGATTTTTTCAAAGGATGAAACTATAAAGGCTCGCAATTATGTGCGAAATTGTGCGACTTTCACAGTCCATGCACGCCATACTTTATGAGCATTGTGCGATCTAACTTGGGAAGAGTTTTCAGATCTTTTTCTCTCTTTGTAAATGGCCACCTTAGTCAAGCTGTATTTACACTTGGCTAGTTCGAAGCTTAACGCCATGTACCTGTTGCACGTGGTACTTGAAAGCATCCAAACTGATCAGGAAGTCACCCAAATGCGTACATTGTGGGTGGCGGCAAACAAACCTTCCTCCATCGCGCTCATGCTTAAGATGCACATTCTCCACATGGTCCATCATGTGCGATACACGATTGAATGAGCGCATGCGCGTGTTGTATGGGAGCTGATTTTCTCCAACACAATATATGCATTGTGCTTTACCAAGAATGAGGGGCACCTCATCAACGTTGACTTTGGGACTAACAGGCTTGGTGTCGGGAGTGTTCCCACGAATGCCGCTTCCATACAGCCGGGGTGATGGGGATGGCGAGTGGGCGGGAGGACGGACCTCGCGGCGAGATGCGAGAAGTACCATAAGGTCAACTGCACGGATCTTGCGGTCTGTGGTACGTTTTGTATCCAAGTCTTGTCTGAAGTCACTTAGGATAGCTTGCAACTGTGTTCGCTCCTCTAGCTGATGCTGCACACTGGGCTCGAGCTTAGGTTCTCCGTCAAGTTCGGTGTCTATTGTCATCCCACTTAACTGCTTCTGTAACTCCTCGTTATGGATGCGACGACGGCATGCTTCTTGATACACTTTCGTCATATCTGCCCGGAAAGCTTTTTCAGCGTTTTTAAGATCTCTCCGCAGTTGTTGATACTCTTCTCTAACCACCTTCGGCGCAGACTTAATGAATCCATACTCTTGCCTCATACACAGCGCCCGTTGACGAATATGTTTGGCAAGGCTGACGACTTCGGGATCAGGAGGCAGCTTGTCCAGCTCGGCTTTGGGGATTTCTTTTGGAACTTCAGGGTTGCATCTAATGCTCATATGTGTGAAAGCGCGTGTAAGACCATCGGCGGATGGGTCTCTTTCGAGGAATGCATCCTGTGTATTGAATCCTATCCGACAGTTTTGGTATGCATTTTGCATGCATCCAGTGAGGGGATCGTGCCTCATGACCTGATCCACAATGGAGTCGGGGGCAACGCCAAGGAGGGCGTTTGCATGGCCTCGACGAAAACAGTAAGATGTCCATTTCTCCTCTGACCCGAGATCGGAGCCTATTCTGTCGAGGTAGAATGCATACGCGGAATATTTCATTGGTTCCGTTTCGGATTTGAGCCATCCAGTAGCAGTGCGGACTGACCTTCGAAAAACCGGCTTTTTCAAAACAGAAGGTTTCCAATGAACCTTGATCGCTTTTCTGCGGATGTGACTTGAGAAGAGTGGAGCGGCATGGTGAAATCCGCCTACTTCTATAGCATCATCGCTTATGGCACGAGCTAATAGATGACTTATAGGACAAAGAATTGGCAAGGGATTCTCGCGAAACAAGAAAATAGTACTGTAGAAGACGTTAGTATATCAGTAGGGGGCTCTTCGATTCGGGGTTGACAAACGGTTTTGGCTTTCTATCGGCGCCTTTGTGATATCGGAAAAACACTTCCATTGCTAAAACATCTCGGCCCCTCTGATTAGGATCCTGAACAATCCAAAGCACTATATCCTCGTAGCAAAGAGCTTTGTGCTTTCGGATCGATTCACTGACGACCTCGTCAGTCCCCACGCAAGGGCGTGAGAGAGAAGCTTGTGTTCCACCCATGTTGACGTTATTGCCAGAGATATTGGTGCCTTCATCGCTATCGTCCTCCGCATCGTCCCCGTCGGTATCGCTTGTGTCATTACTGTCAAGGGCGTCGACCTCAGAGAATGCTGCATCTCCTGGTTCTGAGTCAAACTCCTCCGACTCGTCCTTTTTGCGTGGCAGTATTTTTTGCCGCTCAGCAGACAACTTAATCATATGTGAGCGATCAACAGACAGTCCTGCTCCCGAATCCTCATCGTCTGAGTCGCCGAGCATTGGATCTTTTCCTCCCCTCGACTTAGTACCATCCACAAGCTCAGCGGGTCGACAGGCTGTGTAAGACTGGAAAAGCATAATGGCGGACAGGTCAAGACGATCGCCTTCGGTCGGGAAGACACTCCTATCACGACACCAGTGGTGCGTCAAGCCTAGGAGGAGGTCATCAACTCCCATGACCGGCTTAGACCCAGGTTGGTCGTCTAAATTAAATGTCACAGTTAAGTGCCCATTGATGTACTGTCAGAAGTCAGCCCAAGTGTGCCCTTGCCGCGATCACGAGGAGTTGCACACATGCCTTCCGAATCTCTTCGCAATCATTTGCATTGACAACCCTGCCCTCATTTGAGCGCCTATAAAGCATTTTCAAGTCCCGCCAATACTGATTGACTGTTTTCCTCTTGGATTGCTTCCTCCTGGGCTGAATATAAGTTTCACAAATCCATAATAGGAACGTCATTATCAGACCCTTATTACAGTATTGCCACTTAATGGCATTTTTCCAATTGCCGTGCTGCTTTTCTCGGCAGAACCTAGCAGCTTGTTAGTAAACTGCGCAATCGAACGAGCCATGATTTCGATTCACCTCATGAACTTCTTCTTGATATAGTAAATGTTGGCCTTCGTAGTCTCTGCATCTATCGGTGCGAGGAAAGTCTTTTTATTCAGCTGCCGCTGCAATCGATGGTAACCGTGTGCATTTAGTGTGTGCTTCTGAGTTTCTTTTCGAGCCAGAGTGGCTCTGTGGCGTCTCCTGGCGGCCACTTCAAGAGCCTGCAGAACATCACTATGCAGTTCCCTGCCCGTCATAGTATTAAAAAATAAACAGAGAGACAACAGAAAGATCCTCCTCGCACTCCAAAGATGGCAGATGGAAAGAATGAGTTGAGAACAAAGCGTGCACACGGTTCGTATTTATGGCCATTGGTCGTTGATGGAGCGACAAGAGAGGTACGAGAGACGCAGTGACCAGAAATAGGCCGCAGTAAGCGAGGGCGCAGTGACACGACCAGCAGGCGCCCCAGGCGGGTCTGCGTACGTGCCAGGGCCAAAAATGACACACTGCGCCTTGCTCCAGGCTCTTTGGGGTGTGTGCAGAAGGCATTGCCCCACCGGAGGTTGCCGCCTAAAGCAGCGTCAATTGTCGCCGAGTTTGGAGGTCGAAACCGTGACACTTGGCTTTATTGTATAATATTTTATTTCTCTAGAAAAGGTAAAACTACTTAAGTACTAATATAGTTTTTTTCGTAAATGCTCTGGGCACAGGAGACCTGCTGCCGACGGTACGCATGTTTAAGTGGGGTACAATCACGTGGTCACGCGCCACGGGCAAGAACGTGTCACAGGGTGGGCATGGTTACCTCACTGTTACAACCACCGCAATGTCTCCACTACAGGTGTTGTATTCTTAACAACTGACGCTGATGGTCCTCTACGGCCGGTGACGTCTTGAATTTGCAACCACGACAGTACGAATCCCTTCATAGCCAATAATTCTGCCATCAGCAGGACGATCTCGAGGAACTACGTCGGCCTCGCAGCCAGCTGAGTGAATAACGCGTCTAAGATTTAGTAGAAGATCTCTTAACGACCCGCTTGCCATTCTATTTCGTTCCATGTCCTCGTCCGTTCCCCTGAACTCGCCATTGGACTCGCGATTTCCCATAGCAGTCTTCTTCTGTTGCGTCTTGATGACCTCACGAGAACAATGACCGGTAACGCTCCCTTGGATTTCGAACGCCGTCTACGAGAGTTAGAAGAGAGAACGTTAAAAACCGAGAAGGGACAACAGCAAGCTGAGCAGCAAGTGAGACCTACCAACTTCGACGAGTTTGTTCTTCAATGCCATAATTTGTATCGAGAGCCGAAAGTGGCAGATCTTTCTCTGTCAACTACAGGGACGATTCCTCTTCCGAAACGCAAATATTGTCCTACGCAACTAGTTCCATGGCATGACGGTCCATCTTTATTACAAGCAGTTTACGACTCTGTTCGCCGCCACTTACGATCGGGAGACGATGCAGCTCAACGAGTATTCCCGCCCTTAATCGCCCTGAAAGAAATTCAACGACGCGCGATGTCCCAGCCAATAAGCAGTGAGCAAGGGTTGCTGTTCTATGACCGATTTACTAGAGAACATCATATACGTGACATCATTGCTCAGTTGCGCGAAATTCCTGCCGCGCGGGAAGAATTTAACTTAGGCGATGGAATAGAGTTCGAAAGCCATATAAACGCACTAGAACAGCCCGACACGATCGAGGAGCTTCCCAAACCACCCACAACCATCAACAAGCCTATAGCCGACGTTTTCTGTATTACAAGGGTAGATGGTAAAGCCCGCGATGTCACTCTAACCTGTGAGCAAAAGCCGCCACACAAGCTTCCTCTTGAGACCATCCGCGCCGGCCTTAGGCCCATGGATCTATGGGAAGAAATGGTTAATTCTAACAAGATTCCTGCGGATCCGACCGAGAAACTAAAATACAATGCTACACGGCTAGTATGCTCAGCCCTCGTCCAAACATACCATGTTATGATGCAAAATGGATTGCCATTCTCGTATCTTACCATCGGACCAGACGCGGATTTGTTACTATGGGTCCCGGAAGAGCATCCTCACATACTTCATTATTATCTAGTTGAACTAAGCGGTAAGAACATAAATCCTGATGACATGATCGAACAGCCGACAACCTCAGTCACTAGCGTATTATGTCTCTTGATCATGAGCCTTGAATCACGTCCAAGAAGCCAACAGTGGCGAAACGAAGCACGACGGCAGCTCAAAGTTTGGGTTACGAGTTTCGATTCTATTCGCTCAGCGAGTAAAACGCCAGGTGCATCACAAAACACTGAACCGTACAGCTCCGAGACGGAACACCCAAGCCCAGAACCGAGTTCAGAATACCTACCATCATCATCGCTATTGAACGCCTCAGCAGCAAATAAAGGCGTGGCTGCAAGGTCGGGGGGTTGCTGTGCACCCTCTGACAAAGAAGCCCAGGAACGCGATACGTCGCCGGACTCGTCGGCTTCTGATGCTGGCCAGGGTAGACTCGCCAGGAAGCGTGGCTTTAGTAACGTGAGCGCACCTTCCGAATCAACCCGTCAACGAGATCCTCCCGTCCCCGGAGGATACCAGCCGCCTCGCCACGATGCAAAGTTTTGCTCGCAGCTGTGTATTTCTGGTCTGCAAAACAACGCGCAGTTAGATAACGACTGCCCGAACGTGAATGTCCATAGACGCCAGTCGAAACAGTCTCGTCACCCTATCTCAGCTCATGAGCTGCTCCTAAAGCTAAAGGAGCAGTTGGATGAGAATATAGATGCAAACTGCACGCCTTTCGCAGACCGTGGTTCATATGCCGTGCCATTTAAGCTTACCCTAGCTGCTTACGGTTATACTATTGTTGGGAAAGGAACAACATCAACGCGCTGGGGCGAAGTATCCAAAGAAATCCAGGCATATAAAATCCTACAAAAGCTCCAGGGAGGTGCTGTCCCTGTTTTCCTCGGCAGCATTGACTTGGCAAAATGGTATTTTGTTATTGGCGCAGGAGAGGTCCGTCATATGCTCATCATGGCATGTGGCGGGGAAGAAATCTCACAGATCCAATATGATCAGCTAAATGATGAGATCCGAAGATCTGAGAGAGAGATCAAGAGCTGCGGTGTTATTCACGGAGATCTTAGGCGTGCAAATATGCTATGGAATGAGGAAACTAGACGTGTCGTAATCATCGATTTTCATCGTGCCAAGCTGGCAGCACGGGCACCGAAAAGAAAAAGGCATCGTCCGCCAGAAATATCCCATGCAATGCGGATTCGAGCTAAGTAAAAACTACCAAACGAGAAACCTTGCCAACCATTGGCCGGTGTCTTGCGGAAGAGCTGTGACGACTCGTAGGTATGGCTCAGATGAGGTATCTTAATGCGCAATATAGCTATAGAACTTGCATCCTCTACCGGCCATTGTGCTTGTTAGATTATACACTTGGTTGTTCCAGCGATTTAAATAGCCTTTCATCTGGGTCATTATCTCTCTCCGATTGTTTACACTATGTCGCTCCTCGTTTTGGGCGTCTTGATTCAGCGCCGAGTACGCTTATTTTGCTTCGCCCACTGCTGCGAAATGGCCGTCTGTGATGGATTCGACTTCTCGGCAATACGAGCATTGTCCCAGCGCCCCGACTTTAGCTTCCGAAGCAACCGCTTGTCCTCCCCCGTCCATCGACTCTTCCTGATCTTTGGCCTAGAGCGAGGGATATCAAACTCAAGCAGATCTCGCATCACGCCAGGTTTGGCACGCAGCCCCCTATCCGCTGCTGGCTCTTCGTCATCACTGTTGTCGCTATCGCTTGGGGTGCTATCACGCATCGAAATTGTCACTGCCAACTTTACTGTTGCCGGCACTCTCAGCCACGCTACGTTTAGCAGACGGGACATGGAGTGCATTGTCGTGCTGGGGGCCTCCTCTGGCGCGCTCTATTAACTTGAGTCTCCGCCTGGAATCCTGAATATACCTAACCGCCTCGATGACGTCTTCCCTGTTTAATGTTAATGTTGCACCTTGCTGCTCGTGTAGCTTGGCCGCACAAATACTAGCATGAGCTTTCTGAGGTATGTCTCATCGAACACGCATATAATACGTATGCCTGATCTTAAGACGGTTAGTACGCAAATTCACATATCCACACATACGTCTGTTCGTTGCATACCATATAACCAGACGATCGAATCCCCTCGACGCTACACGACTCGCCAAACATGGTTTACATGATGGAAATTTATGTCGACGGTGGCTGTAGAGGCAACGGGCAATGGGGGGCAGTAGGTGCTGCTGCCGCGGTTTTCAAGGAAAGAGGTGGAAGATTCACAGGTGGTTGGACAAGACAGCTACCTAGTTATCCTTCACCCAACAAACCAGCGGGCCGAAATCACAGCTATTATCCTGGTACTGGAGAGAGCTCTGGAAAAATGTAGAGACCTAGACTCAGATCCATATATAGACGTCACGATCTATTCGGATTCCAGGTATGCGATTAGCTGTATGACAACCTGGGTTTACAAGTGGGTGCGAAATGGATGGAGGAATGCTGCAGGAGACGAGGTTGCGAACAGAGACCTTATTGAACAGGCTTATGATCTTCACTGTGAATTGAAGGAGGAGGGAGACGTGGACTATATATGGATCCCACGAGACGAAAATGACGTTGCTGATGACATGTGCAATCGGGCTATGGACGAACAAGAGTGATAGTCCAGTCATCGAAATGGTCACGGTCTGTCTGGTCTTCTGGTCTTAGGGCCAGACTGTCCGACCAGCATTATACATGGCATGAACCCTTCTGGGGGAGATGAAGAAGGACTTGACAGTCAATGGAAGACCGGAAAGTGCTGATGTACCGCTAAAAGCAGCGCTCATTGGCTAGAGATGAATGCCTGCAATATCTAGGTCACGCAGCAATAATCCCTTCAACTTGCTATGACATCGTCCCTAACCCGTGTGCCCCCATCATTGACACCCCAACCAGCCCAACCATAGGAATTGTGATCGTAATTTCGTGGAGAGCAACTTTCCAATGCTCAATCGGCCGTCGGGTCTTGCTGCTTCTGGTACCGCTGCAATCCTGGGAAGATCTTCAGCAGAGATAGGGATAGCCCTGCCAAACACATGTCCGTACGAGGTCATGATGTTGACCAAGTACGGTTTTATTTCCCCTCAACACCTGGGGAATGCCGTCGTTTCACAGGCCATCTCGAAAGTTACCGAGTCTAGGATCCTCATCTAGTGAAGAAATGATGAGGCGGGTGTCCGTCAACCTGGCTACCGGCGTCTGGGAAGCTGACCTGCGTGCATAGCTCAACACCAGGGTTGCGGCAAGAACTACCCAGGTGCATACATATATGTAGTTACCAGGTTCCTGCAGGCCGCCAACGACAGGTCATGCAATGGTACGGAGTATTGTCATACGGAATTAGTATCAGGCTCAGGGTAATTCTGCGACATGTTCTCTGGACTCGGTGGTAAAGGCGCCAAGTGTCATAATTCATTCAACAGAGTCAAAGGACTATCAACCGGTATTTTTGCGAAGCAGGATAGGTACTTAAGTAAGCTGGTAATTGCCAGGAGAACTATGGATCCAAGCCACAAGTAGTGTTCATGACACTTGGCCTGTCTCGCCTGACCAAGTTGGTTCCGAGATGTCAGCTCTGTTTGCGACTGGCCAAATCACACCTGTGGACTTTAGGTTTCGATCGCACAATCCGGGCCTCCTGTCATATCCCCGGCATACCGTGGTTGTCATCATGAAGATGCGGCCCCCGCATTAAGAAACAAAACATCCCACCCCATTCGCCTCACTGCAGCCTCGCCATTAACAATGCAACACAAAAGTGTGAGACAGTCTGCCTTAGGGCCCGAGACTGGCGGCGCAGTTTGCCTATTGCGCATTGACGCTGTCAAGTCGTCAAAGCTGTCAACTCTCCGACACCACCAAGAAGACGTTTGTCAGACACAGCGAAGGCGGGCGAGGCGAGGTGGCAACCAAACAATGAGTAAGCTGTGGAGTGACGGCTGGATGGCTCGTTGCGGTTCCGTGCAGCCCTTTGCAGGTTGATGGGCCTCGCCGTTGCCACAGCGTCAGATCAGGCGCCAACCCCATTTGAATATTACTGGCTCTCGGTTGGTTCGTGCTATTAATGGCAACCCATGAGCAGGAATCAAGGACAATAGCTGTCAGTGTGGGAATCTAGTGGCTGCAGCTGACGCTCGGCGGCGCAAGCCAGACGGCCCAAGTCGCTGTACCGCACAGGTCTGATTGTTGACTGGCGAAATGAACGGAGCACAACATGGAAGAAACGTGACGGTTGGATCTGGACCCCAGCCCGAAGTACCAGGCAGGCGCTTCCCAATGCCTTCCTTCCTGTAGTTGTTGCACCATGCCGGTCTGCCTATGCAGCACCTTCTTTTCTTCGTTGGCTCCCTTTTTTCGACAATCTTCCTCAACACATCCTTTTCGCCTTTAATGGCGAGACCTGAGAATCATTGATTCCATGTGCATGACGCCAAGCCCCCTACACTGCCCTTTGATAGTTCTTGCAACCCTCGAACCCGCCCGCCCGCTCAGCCTCAGCCCAGACCTGGTTGCTCCGGCCTTTGCAGGTCCACTTCCCTCCACAGCAGCAGAATACTGGTTGACGTGGGCGACAAAGTGACGACGACTTTTTGTTACGACTCGACTGGCGCAGCTTGCCGCAGTTTTGCGAATTGCGAATCACGCTTCTTGCATTCGTTTGCTTTTTAACGTTGGACTCTTCACCCGTTTCATACGGTTACGCCGTCGCAGGCCCAACACGTCCAACCAGACAAACTATTGACGCCTTCCCCTAAGTAAACACCACAGCACCCGCAACCCATAAACCCAATCACCATGGGGCTCGAGTTCGACCCGGATCTGGTTCCTCGCGTCAAGCTAGGCTTGCACTGTGCTCAGATTCTCCTAGCACTTGTCGGATGGTGCATGGGGATCGCTGTTTTTACAGGAAAGGATGCCAAGGTTGTGGGCAACAATGGATGGACATTTGGAGTGGTATGGTGATGACGGACACTACCAAGCGTGGGCCACAAGAGACCATTGACTGACATTGCATAGTTCTTTCTGTCAATCCCCGCGTGGCTCTATCTTATCATGACGCCCCGATTCGCACGCACTCGAAAGTTCGCCGAGCCTCACGCCATGCTAGCGGTTGACGTCGTCTTCACAATCATTTGGCTGTCGGCTTTTGCTACACAGGCGGCATACAACTCGTCGGGCCTCTGCGGGCAAGTGTGCAATGTGAGCAAGGGTGTTGTTGCTCTGGGGGTATTCGTCTGGTAGGTTTTGTGTCCGCAGTGCACTCCATGGCACTCAGCTAATTCTCCTTCTTTAACAGCCTCCTGTTTGGTGCTACCACCTTCGTCAGCGGCTACACGCTCACGTACTGGAAATTCCACGGCAGCCTTCCTGGATATGATAACCGAAAGCTCCGTGGCGGCGATAGCAACATTGACCCAGACAAGGCTGCTTTTTCAATGGCGCCTCACGATGAGGAAGCCTACGAGCGAGTCAACATGGATGACCATGAGAATAATGGCTACTCCGAACCTGGACGCTACGGCCACGCAAATCCCTACAGCCAAGACATTGAAGATCCTGATCAATACGGTGCCCTCCCTCCTCGTAGACATGAGCTGTTCAACCAGGACACAGAGTATAGTTCTGGTGGTGCTAGCATGCCTCCTGCAGATCACACCTACGGCGGCTCGCAGGTTAGCTACAACGATGAGCCTGTAAAATTTCCTGCCGGTAATTACGACCGTGTGGACCGATAGTTTTGAAGATGAGCAGCGATAAAGCATCACAGAGATACATATAGACCTTTTGTTGTAGACTTTTGGCATTTTGCAGTACTTGATGAGCAGTAGGGCAATTGGTTTTGCAGGCAAGGGTTTGTGTGGAGGATCCTAAGATTTGGATACCTAATGAAATTGGCGTTCTGACGGAGCCATCGTGGTCTGTAGCTTGCAGCTGCTGGCAGCGATGAGATGATACCCTAGACGGGATGTATATAGGCTGGTTAACTAGGTAGATAACAAAGGAACTGTATTTGAATGAAATGTATTTTCCATAGCATGTCAAAATATATTATGAAGTTTATACTCCAAACGCCTTTATGCCGTACATCCATCATGCCCGAAACTCTCTCGGTAGCCGGTTCATTCGCTCCGCATCTTCTTGATCCTCCGCCCAATATCCCTAGCTGTCTGCTGCATCGGATTCAACTTGGTATCTCTCGCCATCGCCCCATAATCATCCCCATGCTTCTCTACCAGCTTCTCCAACCACTCCCTCTCCCCCTCACTTTGATATCTCGCCACCTTAGGTGCAGGGTTATGCGACTCCTCAATCAGACTCCTCACCACGTCTGTCGTGTCCTCCTCCTCGGCCTCCCTCTCCGCAATGCCACCCCATTCCTCCCCCGCGCCGTCCTCCTCCGAATCCGAGTCAAGATTGTTCAGCGGGTCATTCAAAGGATTCGGCCTCGTCGTTCCCAAAACTCGAATAATCTTGCCGTCCGCGTCCCGCTCCACTTTTGCCTCGGAGATGATGGCCTTGCCGACGGATGTTATTGCGAACGGGTCGTTTTTCGATATCCCCGTCGTAGTGGCGCCGAGTTTCTTCTCGACGCCGCCGGTGGGAGCTTTGAGCCGCGCGACGAGCCCGAGGCGGCGATAGTTTTGGGCGAGCGTTTCCTTCTTGTCCCTGATGGTGAGGGTTAGCAGCTTGAGCTGAAGCGATTGGGGAGACGGGCCGTGGATTGGGGGGGGGGTTTCTTGGTCTTGTTTGATTGTTTGATGGGCTGGCGGTTCGACCGGCGCTTCTTTTTTTGGAGTTCGCGGCCCATGGTGGCGGTTCGGTTTGGGAGTATTTGGTTGGTGGTGGATAGGTTACGACGGGAGAGGTTTGGAAGTTTGCTGCCAAAATTTCTGAATGGTGCCCTATCGATAAGGCCGTGGGCGCAAAAGTGGAGATTTTGGCCGTGGCTTGCTTCGAGCATGGCGATTCCAGGGTTGGGGTTACATTAACATGGTATATGAGGGTTGTAGCAAAAAAGAAGGAAATGAAAGAGTGAACAGGAGAAAAAAGGGGTCAAAACTTTGACTTGGGATCATATGAGCACAACGGAGCGGTTTAGATATGCAGCACCCAGAATTGTTAGGGGAAAGTTGGATGCGTGTACGGAAAGCGTGGTACTGCCTCCATGTGGGTTCATTTAGACGGCGATCACGTATGCATATCTTCGATTTTCATTCAGCTTCGTCCACTACACCTTGAACTTTCTCGGGTCCAGCTTATCAATGTTCGCACTTTTAGCGACTCCGTCAAATAAATACTCGGACATCAATTTTCCTGTTGCAGGACCATTCTGAATCCCCCAGCATGTATGGCCCGCAGCCACCCACAATCCTGGTACCGTCGTCTGCCCTATGAGCGGACCACTCTCTTGCCCGAAGCGCATATGTCGCGGCAGATAACATGATTGCTTGGCTTTGATGGGTGCTGCAGCAAGAACTGGGCTGAATGTACTAATATACGAAGTAATATCGTCGCACCGGGCCTCGTCACATTCGACTTGGTCGACCGTGTCTGGCAGCGGGGTGGTTGTATCCCCTTCACCTATGCAACGAGTCAGTGTCATTTATTTCCGGAATACAGTGTTCCGTGGGGGGTTTACCGCAGGCGTACGCCTCGCCAAAGGGACGGGCATAGATTTCGGGATCGACGTGGCTCTTGTGCATCCTCTGTTGTCCCAGTTTCGCCCGGTGCTCTGGTACAAAGTCACTGGGCAGCTGGATATCGGTGAAGACGGCAAACGGTGATACCTCCGCATCATAAACGACACTATGTGCTCGCAAGCCTTCCACTTTCGCTCGCGGCAATAATCGTCCTGTCCATGGGCCGGCAGTAACCACAATATCAGTTGCATCTTTAATGTCCCTCATCTCCCCAGTGCTTCTATCCAGGTATTCGACCCTTTCCACGGCGGTTTTTGACGTTGCAACTTTGGTCACCTTGACATCCGTCCTAATTTCAACACCAGCCTGTTTTGCTAATTCGCCAATAGTGGTGGTAAAGTGAAATGGGTGAACTTGGGACGTTTCTGTGGTTCCGGGGCCGCCCATTTCAGCCCAGCTCGTCACCAAGTCTCGATCCACCCAATCTAGATCTTTGGGTAGTATCCCCTCTTCCAATAACTCTTGCGCCGCCTCGTCTTGCTTTGGTAGCTTTTCCCATGGCTTCTCCCCATCTGTGGAAAGCTGGGGCTGGTTGGGCTTGCTGAGCTTCTTCCTTGAGACGACCGCCTCAAAGCTCCCGCACTGTAGCTTTCGATAGCCCCATTTTTGCGCGCCGTTGTGCTCAGCAGCCAACTCTGCGTGTAGCTTATAGGAAAGAGGCACTATGCAGGCAGGATATGCCCACAGCGCCAGCAAACCACCAGCTTTGCCGGAAGCGCCGCATGCAAGCGACGGGCCAGCTTCGAGAAGAGTTACTGTATGTATAGCCGGGTTAAACTTTGGATGGCGAGTGAGGTAATAGGCTGTTGTGCAGCCAATTATGCCTCCACCTGGGGTGCTTGTCAGCGTTGTTCATTAACGAACGGGCGGCTGCGGCTGTGGCTTCCACTATGGTGGCAGTGATGGATTTGTGTCATGTGTATCACGTACCGATAATGACTATATTGCGCTTCCCGTCCATGGATGTAGTTCTAAAGCAGCGTCAGGTCAACTGTGATCTGGGACTCGGACACTGAGCAAGGACGTTAAGCGCTCGGCACGGGCAGACGTCTGGCAGGTGGTGGTGGATCGATTGGCGGAGCCTGGCGTGAACCAGACGGTTATCGAGCATCGACGATGCTGGGCCCTGTCTACCCCTTGACTGGTCGTGCTGCGTGCACAATGCACATGTGTTATGTCACTATGTGCCTATGACGCACGCGGGGGCGCGGGTTGCTGCCGAATGGCCTCTATTGTCTCTCTTTGAAGTGACTCGAGCAAGGCGGTTTGGAAGAGTTACTCTAGGTCAACTTGTGGTCAGAGAAACGTTGAGACGTTTAGCGTTGGCATGCATTACTCCATGCTCTTTAAGCCTCTCTGTAACGTGCATTACTTTACGTACGCATTACCACAAGTGCACAGGTTTATGTATATGGAGTCATGGCGCAATTCAAGTGCAAGCGCATCCAATCATCAGCCCACAACCCCTTATGCTAGTAGAGAAGAGCCCCGAGAATGTTATCCTTTGCTATGCGTCCCTCCACACAGTCTTGTCTCAACATTGAAGTCGGCTTGCGGAACAATCAGTCCCCGAGTCCCCAGAATCGAGCTTGCATCGCCCCGCCGCCGCCGATACTGAGGGGATAGAGATGGACATCAGGTACTCCGTACCTCGAGCTATGCAGACAATGAACGTCACGAGTATGGACTCTGGAGCCAACCTAGGCCCGCTCCATTTATCTCGGATATGGGAGCTGCCGAGGCTTTTGTTAGATGCTCATCAATCTCTCTCTCTCTCTCTCTCTCTCTCTCTCAAAAACCTGCCGATTTGTTACTTCAAGTACGGAGTGCAACATGGGATCATTTCCCCACCATCATCAATCCAGTCAACAAAAGTAGCCTGCCTTGTGCCTTCCCTCCTCTCTCTGGTTCGCCCTCGTCCCGTGAAATTTAGATGAATCGGCCCATTTGTCATCGCGCACCTCAACTCCACTCGATTGCTCGAACCACCATCGCAATCCAGCCTTGTTCGCCATTATCCATCATTGCTCCCAGCTATCCCGTCTGCAGCGTCTCTCGGCCTCTGGCACCACAGTCCGCTGCGCAGCCGTCTTTCGTAATTCACCAGACGCCCCGCGCATTCTCAACCATGGCTTCTGCAACTAGCTTCTACGACTTCAAGCCGCTCGACAGTTTGTCCATCTATCCCAGCCCAAGATGCTGCATCAACCTTGCCAATCGCTAACCATAGTTTCATTGTGTAGAGCGCGGCCAGGAGGTCCCTCTCGCTGACTACAAGGGCAAAGTCGTCCTCATCGTCAATACCGCCTCCAAGTGCGGCTTCACTCCTCAGTACGAAGGCCTCGAAAAGATTTACAAGTCCATCAAGGACAAGTACCCCGATGACTTCACCATCCTCGGCTTCCCCTGTAACCAGTTTGGCGGCCAGGAACCCGGCTCCAATGATGAGATTCAGAACTTCTGCCTCGTCAACTATGGCGTCAGCTTCCCCATCATGCAGAAGATTGATGTCAATGGTGAAAAGGCCAGCGACTTGTACGAATGGCTCAAGGCCGAGAAACCTGGCTTGATGGGCCTTAAGCGCATCAAGTGGAATTTCGAGAAGTTCCTAGTTGGTCGCGATGGCAAGGTCAAGGGTCGCTGGGCTAGCACTACCAAGCCCGAGTCGCTCGAGAAGCCCATTCTCGACGAGTTGGAGAAGTCGGCAGGACCAGCAAACTAATGTCTTGCGTATTTGCTGTATGGAAAGGTTGTTAATTAATATGGCATCAGAATTTGGACCCTTTTCACCTCCACCTCGAATCAGGCTCGCGGGGAGAACGTACCTGCCGCTTTCATCATGCCAAACACATTGTCAGATTTGCTAAAATTATCTTGATATACACTAGTGATGGACTCTTCATGGCGCTTTCCCCCAGCTGAAGCTGGCCGGACTACTGCCGTAGCCATATAATTTTCGCTCTCCAAGTTGAGCCCTAATGCTGCCGGCCGAAAACAACAGCTATGCCACCGGTTTTTTGGTATTTTTGGACTTTGCTGCAGTCTTATCCTGATCGATCGTAGGCCCTGATAAGCCGCAGCACTCACGGTGGAGACATTTTCGAAGGGTTGATTACAATGTTGAGGGTGAAGCCACGAAGCCACAGTGCAATGCAGGAGGTTGATGAAGAAGCCAGGTTTGAAGGATAGCTGAACTACGGAAGTGTTTTGCCAATGTGACCTCTATTAACTTAGAAATAAGGCTGTAACGTACGGTCCGGAATACATGTTGCTCAATAATAAATGGCTACTCCCCGTAAACCTATTGGCCGGGAACTTTTGCTTCCCACGAGCCAAAACCGCCCGTGGAGATGACATCGTGATGACGCAGAACGAGAGACAGAGTGTTGGAATCGGCATTGTTGCCACGCATCTCGTAGCGTAAAGCCACGTTCTTTACCTTTGCTCAGAGACTTTCAAATATCCGCCGAATCTCCGTCGTTTGTTGCGCAAGGGCTCTGTTGCCCGATTCATTAATCCTGATGCTAATCACGATCTTGGCCAGTCCAAGAATAAGCCCCATGAGAGAAGGGGGTCGGGGGAATCCATGGTCTGGGAATCCAGCCCCATTTGGGATGGCCAGGTCGATAATGATGTTTAAGCCTATGGGCCATTTCAGTTTTGGTACGCTCAACCAGACAAGCTAAGAACTGTTTAACATAACCCGGATATATATTGAACTAACGCAAGAAGTCCAGCCACAGATGTTCTTCCCAGTGTCCGCGACATATTTCTTGGACATGGATACCCATGCATAACTTTGTATAATCATAGTCAGCGTTGCAAAAATGAGTTGAATTGGTATCACGGTGGTGCTCAACAATGAGGCGAAAGGACGTGGTCACCGAAAAAAGGCGACCAGGCTACGGTCTCATGGCTATACTAAATGCTTACTCGGACAGGTAGCAACTCAGTCAACGATGCCATTACGTATTAAACTGAGTCACGTTAGGCCAGTAGGGCTTTATTCCGCCGCAAGCTGACGTACAGCAGCCGGTGGCTTGGCCGATGAGGATATGAGGACCTTTCTCAACTAGGAACATGAGGCTAGAGACAACTGGTGACCAGCCTGTGCCCTCCATTATCCATTAATAGTCTCAGTCCTTGGCGGCCACGCCGAGTGGCAACGGAAAAAGAAACCATGTGTCGGCATCTCGGCACGTATCTGGGTAGTTTCAGACCACCAAAGGCCTCATCGAGCACCAATATATCATGTCTACAGGGCAGAGCGTATTCACATACTACAATGCAATACGTTCATAAATGCGAAAGCCTGTCAGACAGTATCTCATCTCTACCGCGAAATTATATACTGTCAAACTGTCTCCTCCCGGCAGATTGGACAAACTCGACGTGGTTGCAGTTATCGCTACAGAGACTAAGCAAACCCTGCTCAGCTGTAACAACATGATGAAAACTGTTGTTTGAGCCGCAACTGACGATGTTCCAACAGCCAAACCGTGGTCGAGATGGGGCAGCCAGAGCTTGAAATGGGGTCTGGCACAATACAGCAACACCGGGCGAATGGATACAAAACTCTTGCGTAAAATTTTGAGGCTCCGGGATGTTAGCCTTGAGACAAAAGACTTGCCCCCCTGTACGGCGAGGCCGGTGAGCCTCCCTTGGCCTCGCTTGAGTTACGGAGAGAAATGGGCAATGACATGGTGCGCCCCCCGCCCTTTGAGATTCAAGCATTTATTCAATGAGAAGGATCAACTGGCAAGCATCATCGACCGTTATCTCTTGCTGCGTAGTGCAATATGACGCAGTGCGAAAGCTTGTCCGTTTCTTCGATAGTCAACACAAGGCAAGAGAGTGATCATGCTGGATCCTCGTGTGGGACTTCTATATTGACCGGCCTTTTCATGTCTTGTATTCTGTATTCGTTGTCCTACTTTATGCTCCGGAGCCATCCGAGCAAGGAGTTCCTTTACAAGATCCCGAAAGGACCAACCGGTTTCCCAGTTGTTGGTGAGACAATCATATTGAGCCCGCGTTGGGACGATGAGGGCCAAGACTGACAATACTTGCAACACAGGATCCTTCCCGTTTCTGACTCACTATCCGGAACTTACCCTTGATAAATGGGCTAAGCGATTTGGTGACTTATACTCTGTCTGGCTTGGACAGCAACTAGTTGTCGTGATTTCCAGCTCAGATGTCGCCAAAGATCTTTTGGTGACCAGGGGTGCAATCTGCTCCTCGCGCAAAGACATGTACATCAAGAGTCAATGTGTACTTGCCGGACGAGGAATCACCGTCACGCCGTACAACGATACGTGGTAGGCCACAGCGCATAGTCCTCTGATGTCCTATGAAAGGAGACAAAGACTGACGGAAAACATGGTTGGATATATAGGCGGAAACACCGCCGTATCGCAAATGATTGGCTGCACCAGAAGGCCGTTGACAAGTTCACTTGTGTCTTTGACAGAGAGGCTACTGACATGGTCAACTGCCTCCTGGAGGCAAGTAGTGATGGTTGCTCTCTTGTTGATCCCCGGCCATTCGCTGGCCGGTGCTCCCTCAACAACATGTTGACTATGGTGTTTGGTGTAAGGACAGGTTCGGTGCGAGACCCCCTCGTATCGACGGCACTGCGACTTGCCCGCGAGTTCATGTAAGTCAAGTCATGTCGACTCAAAAACACACCAATGTTATGCTCACTGGTCCTCTTGTAGGAATGTTACAGGTCCCTTGTCTAATCTCCTAGATTTCCTGCCCCTGCTACAACATTTCCCGTCCAAGTTTCGTTCTCGGGGCCAACAGTTACACCGTGACCTGGTCAAGACGTATGGGGGCATGATTGAAAACATTCATCAGCGTTTGAGCTGCGGACAAGAGGTTCCGGATTGTCTCGCTACAACCTTGCTCACCATGCGCGAAGAAGAGGAGCTGGACGACTTGGACATGGCCATGATGGCCTCGGCTTTTATGATTGGTGGTGTGGAGACTGTACGATGACTTCTTGTTATTCTATCCAACACGTACGTGTACTTGGAATTGGAGCTGACACATGAATCAACACGCGGCAGACGGCATCCATCATGCAGTGGTTTCAAGCACTCATGCCGTCGTACCCGGAAATCCAGCGTCGCGCCCAAGACGAGCTGGACTGTGTTGTCGGCAGAGACCGTCTGCCCGATGCCCAAGATGAGAAGAACCTCCCATACTGTCGGGCCATCATCAAAGAAGTCGAGCGATGCTACAATCCCTTTTGGCTGGGAACTCCACACGTGGTTTCCGAAGACTTTGTTTACAACGGACAGTTGATTCCAAAGGACACGGTTCTGGTCCTGAACACATGGACCATACACCACGACGAGCGTCGTTTTCCGGAGCCGCAAAAGTTTAATGTAAGTAGGAACGTTGTGCTATGCATTGCGAATGCTAATGCTGCAATACCGCCTTATGCTCATGTCCCCGACAGCCCGATCACTACATCAACGACACGCTTTCGTCTGCGCAGAGCTCAAACTTGAGCGACGCCAACGGGCGTGACCACTGGATGTTTGGCGCTGGGCGGCGCATCTGCCCGGCCATCTTGGTCGCCGATCGCGAGATCTTCCTGGCCATCTCGCGCATCCTGTGGTCTTTCACCATGGAAGCTGCGCCCGGACACCCTATTGACCTGAAGGATTACGATGGCCTATCGGGCCGGTCACCTATGCCGTTCAAGATCCGCTTGAGGGTTAGAGACAATAATGTGGCTCGAGTGTTGAAAGATGCCACGGAAGGCGGTCTTGTGTCTTGTCTGACTACAGAGGTTGAGTCACTATACGCATGACCTCGGGGGCTTATTGCTCAGTGCTGACCCTGGAAAGGGGCCTTGATTGTATTTGTCTGTATTATTTATTTATTTATTTATTTATTCTTGATTCCGGGACGTCACTCTTTTCTCTTTGTATTTTAGCACCTTTGCGTCGTTATTTTGTCAGATGCCTGGTACGCGGTTCCAGATACCGGGAGTTTTATTTATATAAAAGCGTGTCTTTTTAAAAATTAAAATAAAATAAAAAATAAAAAATAAAAAGAGAGAGAGAGAGAGGATTGAGGGTGCTATGAGGGTTTTCGAATAAGATGAAGTTTATCTTGGGATGTATAGAGATATTAAACCCGGCATGTATATTCGTACTGTCTTGTTATGCATGTGTGTACATGGTCCAACTTGGTGGAATTCATGTACCTTGCCTCTATTTTTTTCGCACATGATGTGCCGGCGGGTTTTGCTGTATAGGCATCAGGTCTGGTCAACTAATTGCATTTCCGACAGGAAACCAAAATTATCAACATGCACCACTCTTTGAAGCCGCACTCAGTCATTATTGAGGCAACGGGTCACCACGGCTCTCGGCTTACTATGGGCACAGTGACCCACAACTCCTGCTTCGGAGTCGCGGCATTCCACATTCCCATTTCCATGTTGCCTCGATCTTTCGCAGTTCTAGCCGTCTCGAGTTGATTCGACAAGTTTGGCAGTCAACGACGCCCCTCCTCAAGTCTGTGAGTTCCGGTCCGGTGCTGCAATGGTCGTCTTGTCTTTTCGTCTTCTCGTCTCCGCATCTTCTCGCCGCCACTCGGCATCTGCTTGCTAACGACTCCCACATAATCATGGCAACCATGGACGAGCTCGTTCAGAAATCCATCCAGCAGGCTGGAGTGCTGAAGAAGCCATCGCTACTGACTCCATGGATATCTGATGAACCATGGCCGCAACCATACTACACATGGGACGCGGAGAGCGAAGTCTGGCAGCCCATCATCAAGCCAGCCGCATCTCCCGCCGACCATCCAGCTCCGTTTTCCGCCATCACCACGGTGGCCCTGTACAGCTGGAACATCGACTTCATGCTACCATTCGCCGAGGCACGAATGAGTGCTGCATTGACTCACCTCGAGGAACTCACCAAACAGCTGCCGTCCACTACGGCCGTTGCCATCAACCTCCAGGAATGCCACCCCTCCGACCTCATCAACATCAGCCAGAAGAAATGGGTCCGAGAGAGCTTCTACATGACCGACTTGGACACCTCCGCCTGGGCATCGGGCTTGTGCGGCACAACCATGCTTGTTGACAGACGCTTGGGCATTGCCTCGTGTTTCCGAGTCCACTACTCGGCGACGCAAATGGAGCGGGACGCTCTCTTTATCGACATCACGGTGCCAGAAACCCGCAACAAGATTCGACTAGGCAACACCCACCTTGAATCACTGGCTCTCGATCCGCCCATGCGTCCCTCGCAGATGCGTCTTGCCGCGGCGCACCTGCACGCCGACGAGGAACTAGCGGGCGCCATCATCGCCGGCGACTTCAACGCCATCCAGCCCTTTGACGCCTCCCTCCACGCGGACAACAACCTCAAGGACGCCTACCTCGAGCTCGGCGGCCAGGAGGGCGGCGAGGACGGCTTCACCTGGGGCCAGCAGGCGCTGCCGGCCTTGCGCCATCGCTTCGGCTGTTCGCGGATGGACAAGGCGTACTTTTGCGGCAGCGGCATCCAGTTGCAAGGCCTCGAGAGGTTCGGGGCCGACGTCGAGGTCGACCAGGGCCAGAAGAGGCAGAGGGATGGATTGCTGGCCCTCGGCTTCGAGAAGGCTTGGGTTACCGACCACCTGGGCATCAAGGCCACATTTGGCATTGTAAACGATACTCCTTTGTGAGAAATGGCGGGTGCATCTACCTTGAGATCATGTCCCAAGCAGGTTGCCACGAGGACCAGAGCAGTCCGTGTTGGATTGCTACTGACCTACGCGGCTCGGCTAGATACACACGCAGTAACTAATGTAATGGCTTTGACGATCGCTTGGCATACGAACTCCCGGCCTTGGGGTGATTCTATCCCTTGCAGCCAACTTCTCCAACGTGCAAGAGCGCGCATAGTATTTTACGGAAAACCAACCATGCATTCTTTCAAGTAGAGTATCAAGATCCCTTCCTTTGTCTTGGCTGTTTTTAAGAATCGTGCTGTGTAGTAGTGTACCAGGAACATGGGTTGCCGCACCGTTGGCCAGTACAGATTCTTGACGGCTGCCGATTCGCAAAGCATGATAGCTAGGTTAACCGGTCTTTAAAATCCGGCATGCCCTCGTGGTACCAAACGACAGCGACTTGCCCAAAGACACAATCTCCCAATGGATACGTCCTTCTATATAGTTGACAGCTGCGAGACGAACCAAACATCCTGCTCTCAAGCTGTCTCGGGAGACAAAGCAACATGGCAAGGTGGACGACGCGAAAAAAGCCACGAAGAAGTTGAAGCGCGCGATGAATTCGCGACAGTCTGCTCGCCTGTCCCACAATTGAGGCGCGGAGCCATGAGTCCGGAGAATGAGACGCGATCCATAAGCGCTGTTCCCAACGAGAATGCTGGCCAAGGCTCAGGAGCGACTGTCGAGACCCAGACCGAACTAGCTGGGGGCTGGCTTCAAGCTGCGAACAGCTCGGAGGGCAAGACGGTGGCATTGTGTTGTTTGAATCATGCACCAAGTCACTGCATTCAATCGGTGATCGATGGACCCATCTCTAGACGATTGGAACGAGTGGCGACAACCAGCCGGGCTTGTAAACAGGATGGCCCCGCGCACTGAATCATTAAGCAGAAGTGCAAGAAGTTGACCTCGCTCAACGGGCATTAGGCTTAACCGGGGGGGGAAGGAGAAGGGGGAGCCGGCACTGCACAAGAGTATCGGACGCAAAAGACGGAGTAATTGAACGCATCCAGAGATGTTTCCTGGCTCCCGCTTAGCAACAAGAAGTAAAATGAATGGGTAAGCAGAGTTTATTACCGTGTCAGAGTATCGCCGGAAACACGTCCGGGACCGCTTCCATCTCCGTGAGTCCGCGCCGCCGTGGGAGTGGGGCTACAGGCGGACCACTGGCCCGAGACCTCCCGGGTTTGACGGCCAAAAGTCCCCACTATCCACTACTGGGGTTTGCGGGATGAGGCCGCTCTGGGCAATATTCCATGCAATGTGCCAATATCTGAAAGACTGTTCAATTGGACAGGACGCATGATGGCTTTTCCCCTCAAGACTAGAACGTTGCTCGCCCGATATCATTGTACCGAGTGTGCCTTGGGAGATATGCGTACTACAGGCACCACAAGCAGCAGAGACACTCTTCTTAAAACGGCGCTTCAATTTCGTTTCTCAGTTCTTAGCTCCTGCGAGCCAAATATCTGCTTATCACTTGATATTATTCTCTACTGAACTGATAATTCAGACCACTGCTTCACGTATCTGACTTTTGAGCATGATGCTCTGCCGAATAAGGACGCCATCATCTATGGATCCGGCCAACAATGCAGTATCCATGGCCAGACACTGATTTAGGTCTTTACATATTTCGGCATGCTACTGATAAAGTTTTTGCAAGAATTGCGGGCGGTAGTCACTCATCTAACAGTTCAGAGCAAGAAGCTGCATGGTGGAGGCAACTACCACTATTCTCATCGCTAACAATAGTACTCCCGAGCGATTTCTTACGTGTTGGAATTGTAACGCTATTATCGAGCAACATGCACAGCGGAATTGGAAGCTTTGGAAGGCCGAAAGTGACGGATTTGACAATGTTGATTGAATACACTTCTTCTTTGGAAGCCCTTGAGAACATGCAAATTTGACACTTGTATACCCGGTTGGACCCCTGAAACCCTGTATCGTGACCAGCAGTCTCTGAATATCATATATTTTGACCCAACACAACGGCAGCCCGGGCCGCACTCTCGGTGTAGATTGCTCGGTGCCACTGCTCGATGGTTCTGGTGCCACTCAGGACTGCATTTACTGCATTTGCGGCGAGAAGCCACCGGTGGGCTCGGAGGAGATGAAAGTGATGGTAATCCCTATCACAATGGTCATGTCAGTGCCAATATCAGAAGTGGTCGTTATGAATGTTGAAGAGCAGGCTTGTCAGCAGACACTTGTGGCGTGGGCTTTTCAGATCATCGCAATTACGGCTAGTATATTAAAATATACCCGTTGATAGCCAATTATCAGAGCAGCAGTCATCTCACAGGACAGTGGTGGCCCAACCAGCCAAACAAGACGGGAGAAAGGTAGATCACTCACAGTGTTGCTGTTGGTGGTGGTGGTGGTGGTGGTGGTGATGGTGACGATAACGATAATGATGATAATAGTGATGATGGTGATGTTGGTGATGGTGGTGATAATGATGATAATGATGATGAGGGTGGTGGTAGTAATAGTGGCGGTAGTGGTGGCGGTGATGCTGGTTATGGCTGTTGATGTTTTGATGGCTGTTGATGCTGCTGGTTGTGATGACGCTGGTGGTTGTGATGATGCTGGTGATGGTGACAAATGGTAATGATGACAGTGATAATGGTAGTGGTGATGGAGAGGAAAAGAGAGAAGATTGAAAAGAAGACAAAGGGATCGCTTACGTGTCCGATAGCAGGCCGATGGTTCTTTCCTAAATGTTGCAAGTCCACAAGATGACACCAGACTGCGACAGGAAGCAGCTACCAGTTGTGATGCAGCAAGCAGACCGTGGGCGCCAAGGCCAATTGGGGACAACGTCACGTTGGAGGCATTCTTCTTCATGAGGCTACATAGTACTAGCTTGGATTCTACAAAAGGCTGCGATATAGCTGCCCTCTCTACGGCGTTTACAGTGTCAAACAAGACTCTTTGCATTTACCTCTTTACATAGGACCCCATTGACAAGGCAGGCTTTCCAAAACGCATCACGAATGGGTCCTGTGGTGATATATACATGTTGGTACTCCGTACATGTAGCGATAGAGTCCTTACACGGACGTGGAGCGTTCTCCACTTTTTGTGGTGTCAATGGGCGGCAAACCCTTTCATTAGGTCCATGCTAGGGTCTAGGTTGCACATGTGTACATGTGCCTGAATGGTTCGCGCCACCGCCCACACGACATCTCCTGAAGTACCCACAGATTTTTGCCCTCGCGGATTCTCGCAAACAGAGCTTCCCGAGACATGGACAAAGCGGATTCTGCGCCCCTTGGCTTGGCCAAAGAGGCAGCAAGACAGTGGCATGTTCGATATGCCCATTCATGTCCCATTGAAAACCGATACTGCGCACTACATCCTCCCGAGCATCCCGGAAATATTCCCTAGGGCGGCATCATCCATTCAAGGCACAGAGAGCGAAACACAGACGTACAAACATAGCCAACTTTAACGTTAATTTTAAGGCGGGAAGCAGTTGTTAAACCCGGTGCCCACATCCGGGCTGCCTCTTTTGTCCAGAACGGCCAGTTTTTGTTCACATCCGCGCTTTGACTGGCAATCGGATTTACCTGCGGAGTAGCGCCCACCACTTCTCGCAGGGAGAGCCCCTGTCGATCGTGATCAAAGGCGGCAAACTCGTGGGTCAACATGGAGAAGAAGGGCGATTAAAATCCTTGTCCTCTGAGCGAGCCGACGCCCGACCCAGCTTGAACGGGCAGTGATTCGCCAGGCGCGCGCTATTCTTGGACTACTACCAGCATTAACGGCCCCTGCGCGAGATCATCTCTCTCTCTCTCCCTCTCTTTGGGCCTCGCCTCCGCCCCGAAGACGGCGAGGGATCATCGCAATTCGCCATGCCTTGGGTTCTGTAGGAGGGCAGAACGGGATATCGGGAATCCATGGTTCGTCGTCACAGCCCAGTTCCTCGACGAATGTGGTGGTGGTTAACATTTCCAACTGAACAGGAAACAAACCAAGACGGGGCCCGTGATTTAGCTCGCCGAGAATGAAACAAATGGCTTCAGTTATTAAGGTTGAGTCTGAGCGTCACCTGCATTATCCCTGTCCTCCCCACGTCTTTGTCAAAGCTAAACGTCCCGTTGTACAACAACAGTTCATAATATGTATCATCCCGACGAGCCTCGTTCAGTCAGCGAAAAGAAAAAAACAATTCCAGGTCATGGTTGGCAACGGCTCTCCACATGGCTGGCGCTTAATCTGCACATGCAGGCCACTCAGACTAAACTGTGCGTTACGTCGCCTTTCATTTCCACACAAGCGACATCATCCCTACCATGCCTCTGTGTGCCTGCCAACATGTCCGTCAGCGGCGTATTGGTGCTGTGCGCAATTGCGCTCTTGTTGCCGCCTAGTATGTATGTCTGGTAGCATGTCAGGTGCTGGAACCCTTGTCTTCCGCTTCCTTGTACGCCATGCAGTTGATGGCTTTTCCTAATTCGTGTCCAACTCACCAGGAGAGTTCCCTCATCGGGATGTTAGCTCGCAAACCCATCTTTTCAGAACGAACCCGCAAATAGAAAGAATGTCTGGTTGCTCTTCCTCTTTGTCTTCCTTGTCCTCCTCCCTCTCCCGTCCCTCGTGGTGTTGAACCACTTGTCTTTCTTTAAACGTATACATTCTTTCTTTACGAGCTGTTTTTTTTCTTCATTTTGCTTTGTGGGCCGCAGACATTCTTTTCTTTGTTGTGTATAAGACGTCTTATACACGTTGTTACCCAGTCACTCGTTTTTGCCGGCGTACGAATAAGAGGTTGTAAAACACAGAAACTGCCATCATGTTGTCCTCTCTCTTTTCACTTGCGGCTCTGCCACTGGCGACGCAGGCCTTGCTCGAGTTCCCCATGGATAATCGAATGGTACAGGAGCCTGGTCTGATTCGATTCCCGCTTGACATCGCTGCTGGTGCTCCAACCAAGAACAGAATGCTTAGACGTCAAAACGAAATCGGTGTCAATGCCGAGAAATCGGGCTTCTTTTACTCTATTGAACTGCAGGTCGGCACCCCTGCTCAAGCTGTGAGAGTCAACTTCGACACTGGTTCTGCCGAGCTCTGGATCAATCCCGTGTGCAGCAAATCTACAGACCCTGGCTTCTGTGATAAACTTGGTCGTTTCAATGGCAGTCAGACTTTTGTCGATACCAACACAACTCACGAAATTCGATATGGGACCGGCTTCGCCAAGCTCGAATACGGTTACGACTACGTCCAGATTGGATCTGCCAAAATCAGCCAGCAGATGTTTGGTGTTGCTACCGATAGCGAGTTTGCGAGTGCTGGTATCCTGGGTGCTGCTCCTCAGTTAAAGGGCTGGAAGAGCGATTACCCGCTGGTTCTGGACAACATGGCTGCGCAGGGTTTCATCAAGAGCCGCGCTTTCTCCCTCGATATTCGCACCTTGGCAAGCAAGCGAGGTTCCGTCGTGTTTGGCGGTATCGACACAAAGAAGTTCTCCGGTCACCTGGAGAAGCGACCCATCATCCCTGCCGCCGAGTCCCCCGACAAGCTCACACGCTACTGGATTTATCTCGACGGCGTCTCGGTGACCAAGGAGGACGGCTCCAAGGTGGTGATATTCGACCAGGCCAATGGTCAGCCCGTTCTTCTCGACAGCGGCTACACCGTTTCTGCCCTGCCCACCAAACACTTCAACAAGATCAAGGACGCCTTCCCCGGTGCCTCTGCTCCCCCCGAAGGTGATAAATCTGGTCTGTACCGCGTTCCCTGCGATGTTGGCTCCAAGAATGGCTCCGTAAACTTCAAATTTGGCAAGACCGAGATTGTTGTTCCTTACGACGACTTCATCTGGAAACAGCCCGACAACAACCTCTGTGTCCTCGGCGTCACTCCCGATGATGAGTTCCCCGTGCTGGGCGATACCTTCCTGCGCGGCGCATATGCCGTCTACGACCAGGACAACCGCAACATCCACCTTGCCAACAATGAGGATTGCGGTTCTTCGCTGCTTGCTATTGGTACGGGTCCCGACGCTGTTCCGTCTGTTGAAGGTGACTGCGGCAGGCCCAAGCCCACGACCACCTCGACTCACTCCAAAACTACTTCAGCTCCTATTCCCACTGGTCACAACAGCACGATTAGCTCTACGCAATCCACGCCCAGCTCCAGCTCTGTTGCCTCTCCCACCTCGACTCATTCTAGAACTACTTCGGCTGCTATTCCCACTGCTCATGGCAGCACTGTCATTACCTCTGCAAAGCCCACGGCCAGTTCCAGTTCTACTCCTTCACTCACTATTCCCACTGCTAAGAATAGTACCGTCATCTCTGCCAAGCCCACGACAACGTCTACTTTAGTTCCTACTAGCCACAACAACAACAACAACAACACCATCCTTAACACGTCTAAGCTTATAAGCACCACGTCTAAGCTTATAAGCATCACGTCCAACACTCCCCCGACTGGTACCGAACAAATCACCACTGTTCCTGTTACCTATACCTCAACCTTTACCACCACCAGCGTTCACACCATTACTTCCTGCCCGCCCTACGTTACCGGATGCCCCATAGGATCTGTCACGACCGAAACCATCACGGGCGTAACAACTTGGTGCCCCGACAACACAACTCCATCCGCCAAACCTCCTCAAACCACCGAGACCAAACCACCTCCCACTACTGTCATTACTGCGCAGCCAACCATCACGTCCGCGCCGAGCATCACGTCCGTATTCACTACCATCAAGACGCACACCATCACCTCATGCCCAGGGCAGGCGTCTTGCAGCAAGGGACATGTCACCACCGAGGTCATCACATCGACTACCTACCTCTGCCCCGAGTCTACCGCCACCTTCACCATTCCCCGGACGCACACCTGCCGCGAGGGCGACAGCGAATGCAAGCCAGGTGACACGGTCACGACCGTCTTCACCGTCACCGTCGAGCCTCAAACGACTGCCGACCAGCCTACCCCCGTCCCCGGCTGCGGTGACAACTGCGTCCTCCCTCCTCCAGCGCAGACTCAGCCTCCTGCTGAGACGACAGCCGCCGAGACCCAGCCAGGCATCACTGCTGTCGTCACGGCGCCCGGGTCTGTTCCCACGACAGTTTCCGGCACCAACGGCACCATCACCACCGTAACCAAGCCCAGCGACACGCCATGCAGTACATGCAGCCCTGAGACGACCTCACCACCTCTAACGGGTGGTGCTTCTGGGTCCCGCGTTCCCATCATGGCCGTTGCCATTATTGTCGGGGCCCTGGCTGTCACTCTGTAGGCGGAATAGTTGACAAGCCCGCTTTCTTTTTCATGTTTAGATTGTACAGATTATGGATATACATTATTCGGGCATGCATAGTAATATATTCTTTCTTCTTCTTAGTCCGAGCCGTCTCTTGGATGAACAAACGCCTCGTTGATGATGGCACATTTCAAGTGCAAACTTGTCAGGCATGCCATTGCCGATGTTGCTCGGGCAATAATTCGCCACGGCCACGATTACGCATATTCGTCGGAGAGCACAAGGAACCCATGCCGTATATGCTGACAACAGGCGGCGTGTGGCCTCGACTTGTCCTCTGCCCAGGCAGGCAGGCAGGCCCAAATACATGCCAACTCACGGTTTTCGGCTATACTCACAATATGGTCTTGGGTCTCTCCCATGTACTACTAGTACCATGGACCTATCACCGTACATATGCTGAATCATGATTCATTCCATTTAAATAGTCACTCGGCTATAGCTTTAAAATACCCGAGTCTCAAACCAAAATAATTCGTAGCCAACTCTAGGGTAAGCCTAAATTCAAAACCAAGTTTATGAATGCATTTCTCGCTCATGATTTTAGTCAACGCCCTCGAAGGAAATAAACTTGCACGCCTCGGAAACCGATATTGTACAAACGTTTCTCAACACCAATGCACCGTACAGACTCGGCGCTTCGATGACGGCTTCATGAGAACAGATGACTAACTCCCCGGGAATTTGGGCGCAATCTAGACATCATCACTCGGTTTCCCACGCAACGAACCTATCATGCCCATGCTAATAAGGTGGGCTATTAGTAGTTAAAGTTTAAAGGGTCCCATTATCGGCCGCATCGTATCTGTCAGCCGGCAAGAGGTGTCTGCCGACTATTATATAATCCCCCGCACAGTCTTTGACCGGCCACTCGCAAACTCTATTGTTTGGCCTGGCCGTTATACGATGTGCTTTGACCCTTTTTTGCTCGTTTCTGCTCCGCTACGCCAGAGGGGGGCATTATACATTGGTTGAGAAAAGATGAACTGTGTATTGTACGTGTGACAATTTACCACGTGTAACGTTGTGTATCAATCAGGGACTACGAGTGACAAGGGGCAACCCCAGGTTATGTAAATGTGGAAAAATTCGCGGCCAGGGCTCAGGTGTAGGTTTTTCAAGTGTAAGCAATGACAAACTGGCCGAGCGGGAGGTCGGTGGTGGTTTTTGGCGTTCTGCATTTTTGAGTGATGGTTTCAAAGGGTGATTTGCATCCATCCTCACCATGCTTCTTCTCAGCCCATCGCTCGGAGTTCTCTTCTGCATGAGAACCTGTCGATCGTTGGTTCTCCCGACTTTCGAGGCTGCAAAACCAGCCGATCAAGCCGCGACAGCTTGTAGTGCAAATCAGGAGAGATCTAGACGGGAACAGCACTATGCATCCCGAAAGGCCTTGCTGTCGATCAGGGCGCTGGGACGAACCTGGTGAGAAGATGTCGGATGCCATGCTTGCTCTTCCATCCGTGGGTATCTCCTCAACATTGAACTAGTAGGACCTTTCACCGTCGGGCCTGTGGCTCCCTCGAACCTGCAACATTGCGCAAATGGTCTCTAGGCTGAAAGCGCTCAATGAACCGGATCATCGTATTCCAACGCCCCCCTTACTGAAAGGAAAAGCCCGTGCCCCATGCTACCCCGTAGCTCCCTGATAAGGACAAGAGAAGATTCCACAGACCTTCCCCAAGCGGCCCGCCTCTGCATTCCGCATCACGACGTTGGGGATTTGCACTTGGGTCCAGATAAACGCCGTACCCGTCACGACCTGGGGGTTTGCCGCTTTCTTTCTTCGTCGACTGCCCCATGGAGCCTGGACGTATGTATGCCGCGGCGATTAGAGCCCTGGTGCCATGACCAGAAGGGAAGGAAGAAGACCAGCTCAACACAATAGCGGCAGCCCGCTACAACGTCATTATTTGGTCCAGGTGCCTGTGGGGGTGTTTTCTACATAAATATGTAGTCCTGTAGCCGTACCAGCATATATTGCCGTGCTGTTGTCCTTGCTGGCGTCTTCGGCTGATGAGGCGCCCTGCCCGTGCACGTGTGTCCGTCACGTTATCGCCTGCGCAGTCAGAATCGAGATGCAGAGCGCCGGTGCTGGTCATAGTGAGGACTCTGTACGCGCGTGGCCGTACTTTGTGCAGACATGGAGCAAGGGCCGAGTGACGGCATTGATGGAGCCTTTCAGCCGCCCGGAAGCTTGCATGGCCGCCATGAAGAACAAGCATTCGAATGTTGCGCTTTTGGTAACTGATGTCGAAATCGGTTTCATCAAAGGCAGGCCTTGTTTTAGGCTGCAAAAATATTCATGCATACATCCAATGGTGATTGGGTAGGGCTGCTTCATCCGAGCGCGATTGACAACATCGACGTCCATCTAGCATTTTTGTCTGCCTACCCAAGTTAATTATCCCCTGGCGCTCATGGATAAACTGTGTGTCGGCTAGTGAACCATGGCTATTCTCGGCCCAAATGCCATTGTCAAGTCTGTTTGATTTCAGGCTGGCCAACCGTGTTTTTGTGTTTTTTTTATTATTATTTTTTTTACACATCATCTTCAAACTGTGGCGTCAAGTGTGGAAGGCAGGAGGGCTCGCTTGTTGCCATGACATTGTGATCCGACACTCGACAGGCATCAACGTGAGGACATGGGGGGGAAGCTGGAAACACCAGTTGGCCTCATGACAGCCTCCTCGATTGCTGCATGTGCGGTCCCGTCCGATGTTGCCCATCCCTTGCAACGGCGGCCATGTCCAGCAAAAATGCGTCTTGACCGCCAAACGAGGGCCCTGCGTCTTCTCATGAATCTTGGCGATGAGAATTCACGATGGGAACCGTTACCGTGGGGGCAGCGCGCATGTTACACGCGGGGTCAAGCACCTCACTGAAGTCTCGGCCGAGAGAAACGTCGTCGACTGCTTGATGGACTTGTTGCTTCCATGGGCAAAGGGGACCACGGGGCGGTGCGGACACCCAGCGCTGGTGACATGGAGAAGCATGGACAATGTGCAATCCTCCATGGCTCTCGCAAATTGAAGCAGCACCGGACTGCACTGGAGATGCGCAGGGCGGTGCGATTACCGTCATTCTCCGGACAGTCAGGAACTTTTGCGCCTGCAGGGCGGGGGTTACACCTGAACTGACCGGTTCCTACCACGCCCCTGTCGGCAGCGCAAGCGAATTCCATGTCGTCGCGGTTGTGTAATAGCCACCCTGCCGTTGCACGATCTCGAGCTTCTCGTCGAGGAAATGTTTGCTGGCCCGCATGCGTGCTGATGCGGTCTGGTAACAGTTTGCGGGTTAGCGAACACTCGGGGAACGGCTATGTAATGGCGCGTCGACCCCGTGGGGATGCTGGAGCCTCCCACGTGTTGATCATCTGGTGGTTGACGCCGCCGTCGCCAGTGTGCAAAATATCCAATTCCCTATATTTACGGTTATAATGACCTCACGTTGGACAAGGCCGCACCGCCATCGACATTCGGCCATGGCCATGATGTTGTCTCCCTTTTCTCCCCCGATGGGAGGACGGCTACCCATTGTCCGCTTCATTGTTGGGCATGGGCTAGCACTGGGAGTTACGTTATTGAAAAGCGCCAAAAACCTCAAGGGCTAGCTCGGGTCGTTCTCGTCAAATCTGACGATGCCAGGGCCCGCCCCTGGGGTCTTGCCATAAGCCCCATCTTTGCGGGGAAATCATGTGTCAGCAGGCAGAGAAGGTCTGGGGAAGACCAGATGCATCTTGGTGTGTTTGCCGGTTAATTCTGTATGCACCAGTAACCGCCTGGAACGGTACGATGGATATACAATCGAGAAGCTCCTCCATTGTGTATACCCATTAGCTCAACCTCGTGGCCAGACCTCTGTCACCTTGGACAAGGGCAAAACCAAGAAAGCCAATGGTATTGGCATATCGTCGGAGAAGGGGGTGTTTGAACTAGCCAACTGATAGTGTAGAGCTTTTGGAGATTTTGTGCCCAACGCATCCCCGGACTTGAATCATTGGACTTGCCTAAAAAAGACTTTAAAGCCTAGAAAAAGCGAAATTTTCTGGGCCCGAACAGTGAGTCGCCGGAAGTCTTCATCTCATCACGCCGCCAACTGTGTTGGACCACGAAAGACAGCAAGGACATGGAATTGTAGAATAAAGTCCGAGCATACCTCTTGAACTTTCAAAGAGACTTCTCAAAGAGAACCAACTGCACTTTGTTCTTTGTTTTTGTGTTTCAGAGGCGAAAAGTCAAGTGCTGGGACTTTGCCTGGCAGTTAGACATTCGTCACGCCAGGCCGGCTCCGAACTCCAAGGGTGAATTCCGATGGGCGGGACATTGTTCCGCAGCTAGATATGCCGGCACAAGGCGAAGAATACCGAGTTGGCACCTATCCTGCGCCAAGACAACAAGCACAACTCTTATTCAACGCCATTCAAAGACTACCAAAGACCAAAAGGCTGTGCATTCTAGCCGGGGCTTCCGGGTTTCCAGTTCTCGAAACACAAATAAAAGAGAGTTGTCGATTCTTTTTTGGCCATGATCTTGCCTGTTGTTCGTACAATGTAGATAGATGGCTCTATGACCACGAATGCTGTGACACTCTCTCCGCGTCTCGTATAACGTTTCCCAACTCGGCAACTAGTTGGTGAGTATACATGAAGATAGTGCGGGGGAGCCAAGCTTTTGGACCAAGACCGCCTCAAGCGGGGTTGAGGACCAACGCACGCGGTTGAGAACACCCGCATGGGCGGCGAGCGGCAGCCTCAAAGGACGCTTAGTGCGTGGCGGCCATGTATGTATGTACAGGCTGGAACATTGTCAGACGAGGACTCATATCAAAAATTGGATATGAACAGGTGGTACGTACAGTTTGTGGTCATAATTTTTCGACCACCCAGTGGGCGAACGATGAGTGCAATGAGAGCTGAATGGCCACAAGGTGAAGCCGACCGTGTTTGAACAGGCAAAGGGAGGCATGTCATTGGC